TCAACCATTCATATGCCGCCCACTAGCAGATGTCAGTTGTTTAGTTCATGACAACGAGCAGAAAACATACCTGAACGGCATTCACAATGAACGCTCTGACACTGCAGACTCCAAGGCCACGATAGAAAGCCTTGATACCCTCGACATGATAGACCTCCTTCGCAATCTGGAAGGAATTCAACGTCTGGCGCTGTGAACGTAACAGAGATTGGCTCTCAGTCCCAGGCGCATAATCCGTAATTGTCTGTGCCTGCAGTCGTGTTTTGATCATATCCAAAGGAAACACCGAGCCCCAAGTAACAACGCCGGCAATGCCACCGCAAAGCAGAATCTTCAAAGCAGCCTGGTGAGAACCCTCATCGTGGGAGGTCATAAATCGTTTGCAAAGTTCGTAGGACCAAAAACTGCGCTACGTCAGCACTAGATCTCCTAGATTGATACACTGGGGTAGCCGGGAGTGGCGTGTTGGTTCCATACTAGAATCCATAGCCAATCGAATCTCTGGCGCTAGTAATCAAGCCCCCAAAGTAGAGACCCCTCCAACCACGCGTTCGGAAAATATCCTTGGCGACCGTCCACGACGAGACATCTGGCCGGCGATCCAGCTGTGCCCGACATTTGATGAACTCCGTTGGCGAGGAGATGGTCCAGCTAGCCAGTCCGCCTACCGCACCGGCCAGCCAGATCTTGTAAGCCGAGACCCCCACGGGATTGGTGGGATCCGTTACGGACCCGTCCAATGCTGCTAGCGATCGGTTGTAAGCAACAAAAAGAATCGCATTGAGAGCTCCATAGCCTAGGATCGGAGCAGCCGCGCCTGTAACGATGGTCAATTGATTTTGCTATCGGTATCGCTGAATCGGGGTGGCACGGACCTCGAACAAGAGAGCTTGCTTTTTCGAAGCGGCTCAATTGTGCCCGCGATGCATCTGCATGTGAGTGTCCCGCCTGCAGCCGGACTTTGATGAGATCAAGGGGATTGCCGATGATGATCCCAATGGCCCCGCTGATGTAACCAGCCCAGAAGTCTGCGGCCATGAGATGTCAGCTCCAAGGGCCAGATTGAAGATTCTTGACACAAACGGTAATGATTCCAAGCTCCCCAGATTTCCATAGTGGGGTGGCCCATCACGTGCCGGTGAATATATACCAGTAGAGCATCCCCGGGGCGGGCCGAGGCAGATGGGCCATATCCTGAAGTGATTGCGGGCCTTTGGTTCATTGATGCACTACGCAGTATAGAAGCTGGAAATAGCGGGGGTGTGTCCTGGACCTGTATGTGCGATCATATAACGGCGGATCGTACCCTATAGTATGATGTTACACCTGTAGTTACCAGATATATATATAGTCATCTCGGTCACACGGAAATTAGTTTGGGATGACAGAATCGTCGCTGTAGGGGAGGATGACTATATTCTATGATTCTATGTTCTCGGTGGAGTGTGATATATAGAGCACTTTGAGCTTCGTTGCTAAGTACCTAAGTCCTACTGCTCTTGAATGCAAAAATATTATCATTTTTCGGCAGGATGATACAACAAAACATCAAATCATTCTATGGTCATGATTGTTCCTTCCCAAATGAATACACTCCAAAGATACAATGTGCCCAATAATGTAGTAACTCCGAACCTGCCCAAGTATGCCAAATAAGTGTATCAGTGACTGATGTACTGGAAAATAGCCGAAACATCCTGCTCCCCACTCTCTTGACGAAGAAGCAGATCCTGGATTTGATTAAGTGGCCCCTTCTCGCCAGTATTGACAAAATGGTTCCACGAACTAGTATCACCATACAGCATGGCGGGGGCCTTGATATATTGCAAGCCGTCGGGCCGGCAGCGTTTGCATTTGAATGTGTCATGAGTGTCACTCCGAGTGTCTGGTTTGAACTGGAAGAGTTCTCGCAGGGAGTCGAGGGAGAAATGACGCTCGACATCTTCCGCAGAGTCCACGACACATGACGAGAGGGACTGTTTGTGAGACTGGCGCTGGAAGATCTTCTCTTCGATCGAGCCTGTTGCAATGAACCGGTAGACGAAACAGTCTTTCTTCTGTCCGTCTCGCCACACTCGTGCCAACGCTTGCTGGTCAGCGGCTGGGTTCCAGTCTGGATCGAATAGTACCAGCCGATTGGCGCCGATTAGATTCAATCCACACCCGCCAGCCTTACTACTTAGGAGGAATATAAATTCCGGACTCTCTGGGTCATTGAACTTGTCGACTAGTTTTGTGCGCTTCTTAATGTTCATGCTGCCGTCGAGGCGCAATGAGCCGTAACCCCGCGCCCGGCAAAGCCTCTCGAAAAGATCTAAGGTCTGAGTGTAATTGCTGATGAGGACGATTTTGTCATTGGTGTCTTGTCGAATTCGGGCTAGCATGCGATCGAGCACCATCATTTTGCCAGAGTACCAACTCTTTATTTCTCTATCGCGGCCTCGAGAATCGGGTGGTGAATAGTCCTCAGGGAACGTGTGCTCGCATCCTGGAAGGTCGTTCGCTAGATCAAGCAGATCCGGATGATTGCAAAGCTTTTTCAAAAGACCAATGGCTTTCAGCGGCTGACTGCCTTTGCCGCGAAGAAGGCTTTGAATCTCCGGGCTCTTAATGAAATGGTTGTAAAGACCGCGCTGGAATTGTGACATGTTGCAGAACACAACATGCTCATACTTGACGGGTAAGTATTTGGAGAGGAGCTCGTTCGTCCGGCGGATGATGAACTTGTTGACAATCCCAGAGAGCTCCAGTAAGCGTTCATCTCCTAGCTTCTTGTCTGCGTCTGTGCCTGCGGCATCCCGGCCTCGCAGAATCGGTAGTTCGAACCTCTTCCGGAAATCGGCCTGGGAGCCGAGAAGGTTCGGGTTCGCGAAGTGAAGAAGAGCGAAGTACTCAGACAGATCATTCTGGATAGGGGTTCCAGAAAGAATCACTCGGCGAGTAACATTAAGTTTATTCAAAGCAGTCCATGTCAAGCTTTCCTTGTTTTTTAGTCGATGACCTTCGTCACATAGAAGAAGTCCGATCGGGGTATCATTCAAAGTGTCCGCATACATACGGAGTGTCTCGTAGGACACAATAAGGACGGGCCTGACAATTCCACGCCCTGACGCAATGGCCCATTGCTTAATCTGTGTTATTAACTCAGCCTTCGTGGCCTTTCCATCGATCGCAAAAGGCGTGGTGGCGTCCTTTCCAAGCCATTTTACTGATATGGTCAGTCAAGTTAATAAGAAGTAGGGTACGCATAACTCACCCAGTTCGTTGGCCCAATTACCAACTAAACTTGACGGACATGCAATGACACATTTCTGAATGGTAGTTCTTCCGGCCTCGGGGGCCTGCTTGAGTAGCGTCCACATCAATGCGATGCATTGAAGCTGTGTTCGTTAGAAGCAAGGTATGAAACATGGTTGGTCAATCTTACCGTTTTACCAAGTCCCATGCCGTCTGCCATGATGCATCCATTGGCGTTCTTGTCAACCAGCCCAGTAACACATCGATAAAGGAACTATACGTAAGCATAGTGTCAGCTCTTCTCCCATGGCACAGCTTATCTCGGAGCGCAATACCTTCACACCCTCGACTTGATGAGGCCGAAGTACTTTGCACAGTCTCGGATCAATCACGACAGGCACCTTTGGTCTTTCCTCCACGTTCTTTTTGAGCCCCAGAATGTCTGCTAGACTCTTATGTATAATTGGCTCATCCAATGTTGGTGTATCCTCCGTCGGTGCTTCTGGGTTTTTGGGCGCAGGTTCCTCGATGTCGTCTACTGTAGGGTCGTATAGAACAATCGCAAATTCTCCACTGGGGTCATGAAGTGGCTTGACCACAAATGTCGCGCCTTGTCGCATCCCCAATGTTGGAGCCACCCGACCGGAACTGTATTCGCCGGTGGCTTTGTTAATGAACGGAACCTGAAATCGTGACCTGAACGCCACATCTTTGTCCCTCGGTTTATACGCGGGGAATCTGTTGGCCTCTCTTGTTTCCAAAGCGAGCCGGTCATCATTCGTGTATGGCTTCTCCGCTCCATCTTCCACGCTCCCGTCGGCGTTGGCATAGTTGACCTTTCGTCTCTTTCTTGATGGTTTCTCAGATGCGCGAGTAGGTGTTGCACTCCCTGGACACTTAAATGGCCTTACAAGTCGGTCGATCGAGTTCTGAGTATTAACAGATTTCGGTTGTAAGGGAGTCTTGACGCTGTCGTCGCCACCGGCCGGGCGTTGTCGATACCTTCCAGGCATGTCAGCATAGGGACTTGAAAACGATTAAGATGAGGACTTACATTTATCCCAAAATAGATAAAACAAATACACCAACTTTGGTAGCTCTACAATGATCCCAAGGTTGAGGCGAGGCAAGTGCGATGAGGTCGACGCGTCGCGCATTCGCCTGAGGCTCCCAAACACCAAACTGCCGCGTCCCAAAAATAGCTGACCGCCAAATGAGGTATTATATCGAGTCACCTACCTAAAGCCTAAAGGAGATACTCTGTATGCATTATTTTTGAGCCTAGGCCTGCGAGGTCTTCATATCATCACTTTATATTCTGGGCTTTGCCATTGTTTTATATCCTCTATAGGTAAAAAAAAATACATTCTATTCATTTTAGCTGACGTACTCTACACACGTATTTTCCTTCTTATACACCTCTACGGGCCCGTCTTCGTCTCACGTCCACGTCCACGTCCATGATACGGCGCCTAGCTCGGTGCCTGGCGTGGTGTCTGGATTGACATTGTTTGCTTTCAATGTTTGAATACGACTGGAAATACAGGAACGAGTTTCAGCCCAAATAGGCGAGAGTGGACCTATCTAGCAAAACTCTAAGCCTAAAGAAGCTCTTCCTCCGACAAATGCGGGGAATCCTCCGAATGCAATACCGTCGCAGGAGAACAAGAGAACCATAGGCTTGAAATAGAGGGACTTACCGATATTCCCTTCACAAATGGGTTTCATCTGTCTTACAATATTGGAACCAAATTGCCTGAATAATGAGTTTTGGGACATTGTACACATTTCCTGTAGGACCCAATGCCAGTGTTTACACTAGGTTACCGATTGCTAATATCCCATTTTTCTCTCAGGGCGACCAGTGCCGAACAATAGCCATCAAGGCCGTGGCTAAGGATAATGGTCTCGATCTTGACATTTGCGAGATGCCCAGGACTCCCGGTCATTTGAGTATTAGCAAGTTCGGCAAAGTTCCTGCATTTCAAGGCGCGGATGGCTTCAAGCTATTTGAATGTATGGCAATTACCCTATATAGTCTGTTCAACCCAGACCCTGCTAAAGCTGTACAAAGCTGACAGTAGTTCACTAGTAATTTCTCAAAATGAAGAGACAAAACTTCTTAGAGAGAACAAGAAGGAATACGCCGAGATCATCAAATGGATGTCTATCTTCAATACCGAGATAGTCATACTTATGACTCAAATATTGCTACCCCAGATTGGTATCATTCCCTATGATAAGGATCATTCCCTAAATAAATTGAAACACCCGAAAAAGGATACATGTAGAATATTATCTAAATGAAAACCCTTGGAAATTGGCAATGGACTTCTTCATGTTTCTCGTAGAAGAAGAACAGCTACTCTTGTTCATATCTCGACAAGCCCGACCTCAGCAACCTTCACATTGACTTTGCAATTGGGGATTTCATTAGGTTGCTCCGCCACGACGAATTGCCGAGTCGTCTCCAAAATAGAAGATCTAAGTAGCGAAACGATATTCGCGAGCTCCACTTCTGTCGTAGTGTAGGCCGGACAGACCAGAACGTGATCAACCTGGTATTCACCAGTGTGGCCCAAATTTCCGAGAATATTTAAACCCATACTGAGAGCGACCTTCACAACCTTGCCACAGAAGTTGTCCCGAGGCAAGAAAGCAGACTTTGAGTTCTTGTCAAGCACAAACTCAATAGCCCAGAATAGACCCCGGCCGCGGATATCACCAACCAGTGGAAGAGGGCCGATCTCTTCATAGAGAAGCGCTTCGAGTTTATGGCCCATTTCCGCCACTCGTTCGATCAAATTATCCCGCTTGATGATTTTCTGTACTGCGATAGCAGCAGCGCACGCCAGGGGGTGGGCCTAACAACCAATTTAGTTTCAGCCATCAACTGTGCATCCCATAGTAATATACCTGGAATGTGTGGCCATGCGCGAGCCCACCAGAGCCTGCAGACAACGCGTCGAATATCTTCTGATGGAGCAAAACACCGGAGAGCGGGACAAATCCTGCACCGAGGGCCTTACCGATGGTCTGAATATCGGGACCACGTATACCCTCCTGCTCCCAGGCGTGCATAGTGCCGGTTTTGCCCATGCCGCAAATGATCTGTAAAATAGTCAATCACCGTCTTGCGCTTAACTGAAAGCGCTTAGCACCTTAATGGAAGAAGAAACGGGGTCATACTTCATCCAGGATCAGCAAAACTTCATATTTGTCGCAAATATCCCGGATGGCTTTGAAATAACCAGGTACGGCGGGCAAACAGCCGAGAGTGGTTCCACTGACAGTCTCAGCGATGAAGCCCGCGACGCGGTCGGGGCCAACGCGGATGATTTCATCCTCAAATTGACGAGCTAAGCGTTGCGCGAAGTCCTCGTTCGATTCCATCTCCCACTTCATGCGGTAGGCGTAGCAAGGGTCCACAAAGGACACATTAGATGACATGAAATCCTTGTAAAATTCTCTTCGCGACTCATGGCCCGAGACACATAGAGCGCCGATAGTGTTACCATGGTAGCTCTGCTTCCGAGAGATAAAATGTGTGCGTTGAGGCTGGCCACGTTCGTGCCAGTATTGGATCGCTAGCTTGAGCGCTGCGTCCGTCGCCTCGCTACCCGAATTGACAAAAATTGCCTTGGATAAACCGCCGGGCTTCTCAGCGAGGAGGATATCAGCAAGCTCCTCTGTCGCGCCATTGGTGTAAGGAGAGCCGGAATAAACGTAGGCGATGTCATTTTTGAGGTGATTCGTAATGGCGTCAAAAACCTCAGGCTGGGTGTGACCTAGACAAGATACCGATGGACCACAACTAGCATCGATCACTTTCTCACCATTGTCTAAGATAAGACTGATACCATCACCGCCCACTATCTTCGCAGGCTGCTCGGAGAATGCCCGGTGTAGGATGTGGGAACGTGCAACGAACTCGTCGGTGGCCATTTCGAAGGGAATAAATAGTGAGAGATCAGAGAATTCGGTTAGCTTGAGAAAAACCCCTGGATAGCAGGATAATTTATTTGGTTTTATAACGAGGGAACTTCACATCACCTTGTAGCCCAAATTCTAACTTCATTTACCGACGCTAGAAAAAGCCGCTGTTGACGCCGAGTCGAAAGTCTAACCTCCCAGTAAGGCGGGCCAGAAAAAGACCACTCCACATCACAGGCCCACCCTGTTATTCCAAGATTGTAGATTTTAGTGCAATCGTGGAGGCAGTTGAAGTATCCATTGGTTTCGCCGCCCTTAACGCCGGAAGATTGGCGACTACGTACCGTGACGAGTCCGTATATATAAGACCTAGGGATCTCCCGAGGTCCGACATATCCGAATAGACATCAAGACCATATCATCACAAAGCCAAAATGTCCAAGGTAAACAGTCGATTACATAAAACGCCTGTGACACTAGCTAACTAACTAATGCCGGTTGTTCAGACAATGGAGAAGGGCGATCTTTCCACCGCAGCTTATCGGGGTCCCAAGCTGCCTAGTGTCCCTGACGACTTAGTAGTCACCGGCGTTCTCGACTTGGAATGTGACGAGCGGTTTTGGGTCCCCCAGGCCAAGGATGTTTGGTTTCGTCCGTTATGCTTCAATGTGTCCCACGGATACTTTGTGAACATCCTACGCGTCAGGAAGAGCGGAATCTTGTCACGCCACCGACACACAGGACCCGTCCATGCTACTGTTCTACGGGGTCGATGGCACTATCTTGAGCACCCTTGGTGGGCCGAGGAAGGTGGATATGCCTTCGAGCCCCCCGGCGACATCCACACTTTGGAAGTGCCCGATGGGGTTCAGGAGATGATTACCTTGTTCCACGTGACGGGCGCGTATATCTACGTGGATGTTGACGGCAAGGCATTGGGAATTGAGGATGTCTTCAGCAAGCTTCAGGCAGCGCGGAAGCACTACGAGGAGGTTGGTCTGGGCGCCAGCTTTGCGGATCAGTTTGTGCGGTAGATCTCGTGTCATTTTATACATACAACATGATTAAAAGCTGCTCCAAGGAGATAGACTTCATGAAATCTCTCATGATAAAGAAAGATAGATCCCATCCTGCCGTACAATATCAAGCCAGTCAATTCGCACAGAGGGTTCCATTGATTCTCCCACCATTCTCAGCCGCCATAGTTTTTCCAGGACGGACAGCGCCACTTCCACGTTGCGAAACAACCGGGATTTAATCATATCAAGCATTCGCTGTCGGATAGACTGAATATGTGATTCTAGGGTGGCTTCTCCCCCTGCAAGGAATAGAGGAAAGAGCAATGCACACTCCGGTAGACTACGCGTCGGCATCTGTGAAACACTACTCACAATTGCGGCGACCTGACCAGTAGTCATTGCTAAAAGCTCGTCTTGTCGCTCCGGACACGCCCAGCGCATGACACGATATAAATGAATCATAGCCGAGCTGCGATAGGACTCAGCCAAGAGCGCTAAAGACATATCCGCAGACAAGGGACACTTCCAGTCAATAAGGCGAGCCTCGAGCGAGGCAAATTCAGGCATCATTTCGAGGATTCGCATAGCCTGTTGGCCATCATCGGATCCATCCTGGTTAGATTCACCCGCAACTGCTGGCCCAGAGAGCAAATTCTTCAGTTTCCCCTTGAGTGTACTGGTGATTGAGAGAATCTCTAAGATCTCCGACGCAAGCCCAAAATGTGAATCAGGCAGCTGGGGCTCGTCCAGTGTTCGAAGCTGATGGGAGCTCAACAAGGGCGGCCGGTCCTGCGCAACGGACATTACAATGTCGCGATATGCGAAGTTGCGCAGCAGCCAGCGGCCCGTATACGCATCTGCGAAATGTCGTAGCATGCGTTCCGAAATTTGTTCGGAGCCTCCTAGTGACTCCGGCGTATTGAGTTTGGAGGCAATGACCCCGGCAGCGCCAACGAGATGAAGATACCAAGCATTGCCGTTATCGGCCATTATGCTCTCCAATGAGCACAAGACCAACGACATGGCAAGGGTGATCTCCACATTGACTAAATCGGAATCAAGTGCATGTCGGAGATCCCGAAGAGCCAAGCACCGATTCTGAGTAGCAACTTGCAGGAACGAATCATCACGTAATGACAAATGAGAAGAAGACCAAGCGACCAAGGAGGTCAGGAGGGGCGGGCTATACATGGCCATGGGGAGAAATGCTATCAAGACGGAGTCAGCACCACTAGGTGTGAAAGTATGGAGCAACACCAAAGACCCACCAGATAAGAAACAATTATTTTCCATGTTACTGGTGAGAAGAATGCTAAAAGTTTGAGTGTAATAGCGGAGAAAATGACGTCGACTCGACGAGCTCGCACAATCGGAGTGCGCATCGACCCAGAATAGGATAGGATCGGGATTCCGCAGGAGGCGAAACATGCTATTTTGGTCATTCTTGATCTGAGCGATTTGCTGCAATGGGGCAGCTTTATGGTTGTCGCCGAACGCTCTAGGGTCCTCCCACTGACACCTATAATTTAAGCGCACACATTCTTTGCATATAGGTTGGCCGAGGTCACATCTCTTCTTTCTGGGAGAAGTAAGTATATATACATCGACCAGAGCAAAGATGGAGAATATAGATCGATTATTTACCTTTGTCGGCAGGTCAGACATCCCGTGCGCTCACGAGTGGTTCCTCTCCTCTTGACAATCCGCCGAGGAAGAATTCGCTCAGATGCGGGGAAAGGAGTGACTTCTGTTGGGGGCATAATGATAGTCAGGGCAGGTTGAGAGGGCACAGTGGACTGGAAGAAATCATATCAAATAACCTGGCGCTAATGGCGCAGAATTGGTGGGGAAGTGCGTTCTAGGGATATTACGAGGTTATCAGACGGTCTGAGGGTGGAGAAACGTCCAAAGAAGGTGGTGGAAACAGACCAATCAGCAAGCAAGCGGTAAAGGCGTGAAAGTGTTGGCCAATCGTTTACATAGACCTCATCCATACCCGATATCGAGGCTCTTATCCGTCCATCGAGTTATCGGGAGCGGAGGGAATAGATTGTGAAGTTCAACTTCATGGGGTCAACGTTCAGGCTTTGATTGAGAAACAGCAGTGAAGATAACGATGACTAAAGGCGAAGAGTTCGCCAGGCTGTTCCTTTTTGTGCATTTACAGAAGTATATAAGTCATGGAATGTGCCATGTTGCCTTTCAGTAAACAAAAGATTCATAACAGGGTATATACCACCACTATGCATTCGCCAAAGTTCCAGGATGATATCGATCTTGAAGCTCGCGGATATCAACGTGCGATGCCGCGACAATTCTCCACATTCAGTCTTGTTGCCCTCTCTTTCAGTCTAACGTGCACTTGGTCCGGCACTGGCTCATCAATCGGTATCTCTTTACAGGAGGCCTCGGCCGCTGGCACTATATGGTCTCTTCCAGTGGCTGCTCTCATGACAGCAATTCTGTCGGCTGGCGTGGCGGAATTAGCATCGGCCTATCCAGTCGCCGGTGCTCAGTACTACTGGGCATTCTGTCTTGCATCTAAAGATTGGCGAGCTTTTGCTTCTTACATGTTCGTGCTTCCAATACCTATCAGATGGTTGATGCTAACATATTGTGCAGGAATGGCTGGTTGAGCATTTTGGGGTGGTGGCTAGCCAGCGGTGCAGCCTGCAACTTCATTGCATCCCTAATCCTGTCCATCGTGGTTCTCTGGTATCCAGACTATGAGATCCAGAACTGGCAACAATGGCTCGTCTATCTTGGCATAGTATGGCTCTCGGTCGCACTCAATACCTGGGGCTCACAGCTTCTTTCTCTTTACAATCGTTTGAACTGTTGGTCAATCCATGCTCTACTTCCTATTGAATATCAATCTAACGACCTTAACCCATCGGCAGTCCTCGTCGCATGTGTCACTCTCACCGCAACAACGATCACGCTGTTCGTTTGCAGTCGAACAAACCACGCCGCTCCTAAGTGGACACTCGGCGATGCCACAAATGGAACAGGGTGGAAAAGTGATGGGCTCGCCTTCCTACTAGCGATCAGTAACGCCGTGTACGCATTTCTTGGAACGGACTGCGGAGCACATGTCTGCGAAGAGATCCATGACCCTGCTCGAAACACGCCTAAGGTCATCCTATATCCCGTCCTTATGGGCTTGGTTACTGCGCTTCCCTTTTCTGCCGCTTGCATGAATGCCATTACCGATCTGGACGCAGTTCTGAATTCGCCATCGGGTGTTCCCCTAATCGAGATTTACTATCAAAGTACCGGGTCTAAGGGAGCTTCGTCTGTTCTGTTGGCTTTGTTCGCGTTCTGCTTTTTTGGGTGCACCGTTGGCAATGGTGAGTCTACTCCTTTTTGGAAGATTATCCTTGAATACTTGCTTATATCTTGTACTTCAGGCACCACATGCTCGAGAACGATCTGGGCTGTCTCACGTGATAACATGCTTCCATTTAGTGAGAAATGGGCAATCGTCAACCCTAACTTTCAGATCCCACTGAATGCACTCTGTCTGAGTAGCATCATTGTTTCGGTAAGTATCTCATGTGATAAAGCCTGGTCATTTCTAACCCCGGTTACCAGCTATACGGCCTGATTTTCCTCGGCTCATCAACCGCCTTTTCTGCGATGGCTGGTGCCGCCGTAATCTTCCTGCAAACTTCCTGTGCCCTGCCGCAGGCTATTCTTTTGTGGCGTGGTCGGCACATTATGCCTGAGCGGCCCTTTTCGCTCGGTCGATTTGGGTTTGCCATCAATCTTATCTCGGTGCTATGGGTGATTCTTCTTGACATCCTTTGCTTCCTCCCGACTGAGATGCCGGTGACTAAAGAGAATATGAACTACGTCTCTGTCGTGTCGGTTGGTCTGACGGCGGCTGTACTCGCACTGTATGTCTTTTCTAAAAGGGGTCAGTATCTTGGACCCCGGCTACCGAATGAACTCGGCCAGATAGTGGATGGAGAGGAACTTGGCAATATGGAACTGAAAGATTCGGGCGAGAAAATGTCTAAGAAGGAGTGAATGTGAGCTGTATGGTGCTGCGTGCATTCAGGCCAAAGATATTGTTGCATATGGTTATCACTGTTATCACCATTGATTTGAAATATCCAAATCGGCTTCTCGAAGCTACAATAAAAACCAGACGGTCTATATAAACAACTACCATTAAAAGGAGGATTATCGCAGTGGTAAGATTCCAACAAAGCCTGAAATCTCGGAAGAGACGACTGAATCCTCATTTTGAGAAACACGACCCCATAAATGGTGTTCTAGAGGTAATCCGTCCAAAATACCACTGTGTGTCAACCATGATGTCAACCTTGATGGTTGATGGAAGACATGGCAGGTTACCCATAACCCACTTCTGTTTTCCGGATGCACCCGCACTTTCCGGAAGTTCCGAGATCTTTGCCACGCCAAATATGAAATGAATTTACAAAGGCAGGAATGAGGAATTGGCTTCTAAAAAAATATGGAAGGCTTCAAATGTAAGGGCCCAGATGGGATAGCTGAATACTTAGTCAGCATGCCTGGTTGATATCTTGGAGAGTTATCGGCGCAAACACGCTATTATACAATATCTGCAAAGCTCCACACAGCAACTGTTTACACGTATCCATCCTTGAAATAAAACCAACGGACAGGATTCGGAAGTACACAAACGAATTCGGGTAACCTTCGTTGTTTGCTGGACCCGCAATCAGGCCTTATTCGCAATCTGAAGGCGAGATGTGCTTGAAGTCCACATTATATTTCTGTTATTGAAATGCTAGTCTCAATAATTCAGATAGGTTCGTTCCCCCCGTTTACGGAGTACAGCACAGACGTTGCGACCACGTGGTATTAGATTAGGAGATGCCCCTTCAATGCCTAAATCCCTTCCTAAGATAACGTCTCTCTCCACTTGTCAAATCCAGTTTAGTCCGGATTGTCGTGATAGAGCGGGTCGACCGGTCTGTGCGAACTGGACATCGAGAACGTCGCGTGGTGTCTATAAAAAGAAACATTCGACCTGGTGAGGTGCAGGTTAGATGGCACTGTCCTCGATTCTATCTACAACATACTCGTCTACCAATTTCAACCAAATCAATACGCCGTACGCAGATATCAACATCTCTACATGAAACACATGCGCATTGTCTAGCCTCTCCGGATATTGAGGCGCTAATTTAGTCGAGTCTCCCCACACCCCCCTTTTCTTTTCTGCAAGGCTCTCTTCTTCTCCTCGACACCCGTGGACTCTTGATGACTTCTGGGGAAATCGTATCCCTCTTTACTCTCATTCAATTGATTTGAAATCTCGACATTCTTTAACCCCGCTGTCCCGCTAGCCATAGACCCTGTACCTCCCTCACTCCTGCTTATCTCAAGTCTCGGCCTTGGACCGGCGCTTACCGAAACCACTATCGTTATCCAGTAAGCCCAGCCTCTTATTTATACCCAGACACGTCAACGTGGATCGTCAGGGACTGACCCGTTCTTCACAGAGACGTCAATTTTTCCTCCGGCATAACTCCGCTCGCGTTACGTTCCACCGCGTTCCACCACGTGGGATCGTCGCCTTCACACTCTCTCCAGTTTCAGAACACCCAATCTTAAGCCTATCCATTGCTACGTTTTGCATTTCAACCGTCACAATGGGTCTCTTCGATAAACTACAAGCCAGTACGTTCCGCGACTCCCGAAAAAACATCCAACCGATGCTACGTCACTGCGAAATGCAATGAAATCTTGAAATACTGGGATAACTAATACCAAAGCAGAACTCGAACTCTACCGCCTCGAACAGCGCTATGCGCGTCGCAAGCACCGCAGCAACTTCTCCACGGGTGCGCAATACGTCGACGGCGAATATGTCTACACGGGCCCAAGCTCGCCCACGAGTACCGGCTCATCCAAACAATCCACTGCTAGCTGGCGCCCATCAGGATGGAGCGGCCAGTCTCAGGCATCCCGATGAAGAACATTTCCAGTCGACATGCCTGAGCGATTCTTTGTGTTATCGGTGTTCTTTTTCTTCTACTTGTCTTTAGCATTTTCACCCTTGTTCTCTCGTTTCTGAAGACTTTTTCTTCTGTTCTATACCTTTGCGTGATGCTTCCGCGGAGTCTCGACGAATTCTTGTACAGTCACCCTGTCTGTTTGTTTGTTTTTTTTTTGTCTTTTCTGGGATTGTTTACTCCCCTTTGCGTCTCAGTCTTATGATATCTATGTGTTAGCGGGGAGCAATGTTCGAAAAGTTGGGATCTGGTTTCTCATTTTAGATCTTGATATCTCCTGCGATATGCCTGCTTGGTCATGTGCTGCTTCTCATCTTCGTCTTGTTTCATAGTCATCTACTTGGACTTTGATATACTCAACGTCTAAGATTGAAATCATTTATCTCTTGACATTTTTCTTATTCAAGTCACCAGTACAAAAATAGTCGGTGCTCACGGGTCTCTGTCCTTGGCGCCATACAACATACGACTTTAGTAATTAGATCTATTTGGCCCAAGATGATATCAGGGGTATTATATCTACATTTAAGGATGTCTTTTAGATATTTATACGAGTACAGCTCACAATTTTTGCCTTTGTATACTAAAAGGGGGCGCCAAGTAGTCAAGACCCTGTTCCGAAGCTGGGGTGGGTTCTTTGTTCTTATATTCCGTTTATCTTGCTTATGGTCATCACGCATACCGCACCTAAGATAATCATATAAAAAAGCTTTAATTCCATCGCAGCTTACGAATCCGGCACCTGCAGGTGCACGACTTATCTAGAGCTAAAGCCCAAGGCGGTAAGGCTCGAGCGCGCAGACCTTACGTCACACCACCGCTCTATCTCCACACTGCCAACGCATCTCCCTCACCTGTTCATTAGGATTTTACTTGTGACCACGATCGAAAAGCTGCCGGACGATTTGGGCTTTTGTGCTTGTGCGCCTTATCATCACACTTACCCCCCACACCCAACTTCCAAGCTCCCGACCGTCTCGCGAAACAGACGCGCTGAGATACCTTCCATTCACAATGAGCAGTGCTTAGCCTACCATACTGGGGAAAGATTGCAGCATAGGCTGCTTTGACAATGGATCAAGCAATCCAGCGGTTATTGAATGACAAGCTCTACGACAGGAGGAAACAGGGAGCCTTGGAGTATGTCAGCTCGGTTTCACCGCTCCGCACTTGAAAGAACCCACACTGACTGCTGTCTATCTACACTAGGCTCGAGAAGATTGTCCGTGACGCTGTTTTCCAAGGAGACCAGGAGAAAATCCAAAAGATCGTTGAGCAGCTCTGCCACGATTATGCATACGCCGTGCACCAACCCCATGCCCGGAATGGAGGCCTGATCGGATTGGCTGCGGCCTCGATTGCACTAGGATCGGTAAGGGGTGGCTATAACTACTTGAAGGACTCGCTGATACCTGGGATATAGGAAGGAGTTGCGCCATACTTGGGTGAAATTGTACCACCTGTGCTCGCATGCTTCTCCGATCAAGATGCACGAGTGCGGTACTATGCATGCGAGAGCATGTATAACATAGCCAAAGTAGCCAAGGGAGAGATATTGCTGTTCTTCAATGAGGTTTTCGACGCGTTGGCTAAGGTGAGAGGTGCCGATCGGTTTAATTCGGGTAACACAGCTGACATTCAATACAGCTTGCATCCGATGCAGAGCTATCAGTCAAGAACGGCGCGGAGCTTCTGGATCGCCTGGTGAAAGATATCGTAGCTGAATCTGCCGCCTCATATGTGTCGATCCTACAGCTCTCTGAGAAAGATACTCCAGAATTGGAGAATCAGGATGAGCAGGAACTTCCCATGGCATTCTCTCTTGCACGATTCATTCCTCTGCTTAAAGATCGGATTCATGTGATCCAACCGTTCACTCGCAACTTTCTAGTCTCGTGGCTTACCCTTCTAGATACAATCCCTGACCTGGAGCTCGTGAGCTATTTGCCAGAGTTCTTGGAGGGATTGATCAAGTTCCTTGGTGGGCCTAACAAAGACGTGAATATTGCAACCCAAGGTTTGCTTGATCGGTTCTTATCGGAGATCAAGAGGATTACCCGACTGAAGAAGGGGATTGAGGAAAGCCGGAAGGGTCAGAAAAGCAACAGACAGTCGCCCACCAGCGATACGATGAGCAATGCGACGGGGCAAAATTCCCAGGCCGATGGCGCCAGTGACCGCAGATTTGACCTTGCCGTCGCTGACTCGGCCTCGGATTCGACACTCGATGATGATGAACTCGCTCAGGCAGATGGAGATTGGATCCCGGGACAAGATGTACAGATCGACCACCCCAAGATTCTTAATATTCTTGTCGGCTTTGTCAATACCACCTATGGTAAGAGTGGCTTTACCCCTCTGATTCTCATATGCTTACGTTGGTTTAGAGGAGGAAATGCAATTGACGGCCCTTCGTTGGATTGATGCCTTTTTCGAGATCAGCCCTGAAGATATTCTTCCTTTCGTTCCGCGGCTGCTCACTCAAGTACTTCCGGCCATGTCCAGTGGCTCAGATCAAGTACGAAAAGCAGCAAACCAAGTCAATACGTCCCTTGTCCAATACATCTACTCCTTGTCAGATGATACAAGCGAGGAATCCCAGGCGCCATCGTCAAAACTCCCTTTCACTACAGCCAGCAAAGAAACTATAGAGCGAAGGTCGTCGACTCCCGGAGTCCGGCCTTCAGAGACAGCGAACATTGACACAAAGAAACAAACAGCCCAAGATAATTCCATTGCAACTACACCACCACGTAGTAGCAATGTTTCCACGCCGCTTCCTCCCGTCGACCTTGATTACGCCGCTGCCGTCAACTCCCTCACTCTCCAATTCCTCAATGAAAATGAAGCCACTAGAGTTGCGGCCCTTGTATGGCTCATTATGCTCCACCGTAAAGCCCCGCGGAAGGTTGTCGCTTTCAATGATGGTACCTTCCCAGCTTTGCTAAAGACACTATCCGACCCTTCAGAGGCAGTTGTAACCAAAGATCTGCAGCTCCTTTCCCAGATCTCAAGAAACAGCGAGGATAGCTATTTTACCTCTTTCATGGTCAACCTGTTGCAGCTCTACTCCACTGACAGACATCTACTGGAAGTACGTGGAAATCTGATCATCAGGCAGCTTTCTCTGAACCTGAGCCCGGAGCGTATCTATCGGACTTTGGCAGAATGCCTCGAGAAAGAAGAGGTGATGTTTATTGCACATTTTGGGGTCCTATATGCTAATGTATCATCAGGATCTTGAATTTGCTAGTATCATGGTTCAGAACTTGAACAACAACCTCATCACAGCGCCCGAACTCGCGGATTTAAGAAAGCGCTTAAGAAATCTCGATTCCAGAGTAATACACCCAGACACCCTGTCCTACGTCTTGAGATTAATGAAATATTTAGGATGGTCAAATGTTCTTTGTTGGGCTTTTCAGATCCTGGTGCCACAATGCTGTCTCTACGTTTTCTCTCTGTCTTCTTGCCCAGGCCTATGAGCAGGCATACAATCTCCTCCAAGTCTTGTCAGTATACCAGCTCCATCCACCACGATATCCGCTGACGGAACCATCACAGTGCCGAATTGGAAATGACAGTTAATATGCTAATCCAAATCGACAAACTGGTGCAACTACTCGAGTCACCTGTATTCACATGTCCGTTTCTTTCCATCAACCCAACATTAGTCGAGAGACTAACCCCAACAGATCTCCGCCTCCAACTCCTTGAACCCGAAAAATACCCCTTCCTGTACAAATGTCTCTACGGCGTCCTCATGCTCCTCCCGCAGAGCTCCGCCTTCGCCGCCCTCAAGAATCGTCTGAACAGCGTTAGCAATATTGGTTTCCTCCACGGCGGAATCCGCAGGTATGGCTGCTGTTCTTCGCATTCTACCTCAAAGTTTACTGAGACGAACTTTCCTAGCACCACACAAACGGCCCCGTCATTCGACCGTGCTACAGGCACCCGCCTGAAAACCCGCGACGAGAACTCCATCCGCTGGGTCGAACTCCTCGACAAATTCAAGTCCGTCCAGGAACGAGCCCGTCGAGCAGCCCTGGGCCCCACCCGTCACTCCTTCGACCAGTCCGGCCCTATGAGCAACCCCTCTCTTACAGCCGCTCTCTCCGTGGCTGCCGCAGACCGTCCCAGACACCGTGCCAGTCTGTCCGATACTCCGCGCAATGCTTCGGGTGCCAGTAACGTCACTATTGGAAATTCAGCGCTGGGTTCTGGTCATGGCGCCGGTGGCACCACTGTCGGACGTGTATTGGAGAGCAGTACGAAGGCTGGACCATCTGCTCACAAACACAAGTCTAGTCTTCCGAACCTGGGGCGGCTGGGTATTGGATCACGGAAGTCGTCCAAGAAATAGTTACATGTGTGAGCTGGAACTTCCAGGTTGTCTCCTGCATAGACTTTGTTTTCGTGTCTTGTACTTAGCTGGATTCGTTTTGTGATCATACCCGGGATCGTCCGTCTGTGAATAGTTATCGCGTAGGTTCGATGGTTTTCAATGACATCATATTTCCTAACCTCTTTCATTTGTCTATGACTTGACGCTTTGGTATACATCTAGTGATCTTTGAGTATGGTATTCTCAACTCTTAACTGCCATGGGCAACGCCGGCACCTGGCTCTTCGGATTCGAGAAGGCCTTTTAGACAGTCGAAGGAAAACCCGCATGAAAATGGCGAGAGACTACATAGCCTCAGAGCTGGGACTGTTGATCCCAGGAGTTCATCCGTCACTGTTACTTGCTGTGCCGCGAACAATACACGAATGGGATCACCTTCCCTCACTGCATCTGATAGACGCTTGAGGTACACAGCGTTGACTGCCTCGGCCCGGCAGTAACCATCTGCCTTTGGATCGAAAGTGTGAGATTTGCCGCTTATTGAGTATGCCGCGCGCATTGCCCCTTTCTTCAGTATGTTCTGGGGAAAGCCATAAATTGACACCTGCCACCCATGGCGCCGGCCAATGTCCCTGCCCGTAGACTTTTACAGGCTACATCGACTCCCACAAGGCCGCTGGAGCATGCCGTGTCTATTGTGAAGCTGTGAGAACCCAGAGGAGATTTGTACAGATCCGGAGCATATCGAATTGTCTCCAGTGGGTTGGAAAACCTCATTTGTTGTGGGGTACATCGAACACCAGCCCGAGCACATCGCAGGCAAGTGCTGCTGTTACTCTCTCTCCTGCAATGTAACTTCTGGCCATGGTAGCGATCGCAGGCTAGATGGGCAAGCACTAGATCGTGCACAAGCATGTTCATTTCACGTTCGGCGAATGATGTGACTCCGGCGTGATTCCGGTTCTGCCCAATACAGTACGGACTCCTACTAATGGGACGAGCCTGATCGAACAAAGGAAGAGAGGTATAACCGATTTAAAACCGAAACTTAGGAAGCTAACGCTTTTCGGTGATGGATATAGCTGCTACATTTTTATAACTTTGAAGCTTACTCGGCCATAGGTCAAATAGACCCCTCTTCAAACCCTTCGTACTTTTTACCCGCCTATTCTACATCAAGAGACAGGAAATGATATGTCATTGGACTTGGTGTGCTGGTGGGGACCTCCGTAGCATTGTGGCGTTCGTTTCCAACTTCATGGATTACTAGTGAATACATCCTGCGTGGGGTGTCGGATACACGAGGCGAAACACTCCTCTGTCGGAGATAAATCTCGCCCATCACAGTCCTGTTTTCTTGTCGGCCGAAGGCGCAGCATTTGGGGGCTATCAAGAGAATCCGCTACGGGTACATACGTGCTGCCGAGGTCATTAGCAAATTATCTTGTACAATATACAGATTTGTCCAAGCGTGCATGCCTAGTGGCCTTGGCCTGTGGATACCAGCATACTTGGCTCCAAGGCTGATATTTCGTTATGTACCAGTTAAGTCTAGAGCCTTATTAAATCGGACTGTCGGAGAGCAAACGTCTCCCGTTTAAATTACAAAGGCGTATAACGGAGTGGGGGGTAATGGACCGGAACATCCCGAGGTCCACGTCCTATCTTTACGTATTGAATTCATAACAATAGATCCTTCTAATTTGCGGTCATCAAATAGGTACGGCAACGTGAGAGCAACCGTACTTTCAACACTGTTAACATATTACCCGCAATATATGTACATTTTATGTTTCAGCAATACTATCGACCAGATCCACTACGTACAAGAAGAGTCCGACCTTGCACTTTGACATTTACATCTTTCATTCCAAGGTCCTATGCCTGTCACCACTCGATCAAACGGACGCACCGGGAGAAATAATCCCAAGAAAATGAAGAAAAAACTCCAAAGATCCATTTCCAGCCAAAATGCCCGATAACCGTCGAATTCTAGAATGGATATCGCTCAAAGATGCACCCAATGGTGTCATTTCCAATAGCGATGAAATTTTTGCCGTCCTCCAAGAGATACAAAAACTCCAAGAGTGCACCGGTGTCGCCCGAGGCCGTCCGCAGGAGCTGAGGAATATTGAGTGGTTGATTATCGGTACGCAGTATTACACTATTGGTTTGAAAGATGCTTGCTATATCGTCTTTTAAATGTCCAAAAATTAATCAAATACTAGAGTGGAGAGGCAGCAGAGACAAGGAAGAGTTTTGTACGACGGAACTTTATCTCCGATTAGAGGAAGCTCTTGCAACTCGCTCATGGAGCCGAGAAGTTTCCTGCCTGCTCCCGGATAGGGGGCACATCATAGCAGCCCACCCGATGTCTCCTCCTATGCTTTATGAGGTCCTGACAATCTACTTCCCTGTAGACTTGGATCCAGCGACTATTTCCTGTCTTGAAAAGTTTAGCGTGTTACCCCGCTGGCACATCGATGGTGAAGACCCCGTTGAGTATCCCTCGGCGGCGCTCAAGGCTCAAACTCCTGTGATGTGGAAAGAGGGCACTTGTGAGTACCAGGGACAAACTGCCAGGCGGTTTGTTTACTTCATCAAATTTGTCAACAAGGAAGGAGAACGAATCTATAAAGAAAAAGTGAGGTATGATCCAGGCGGAAGAACACCTCTGGATATCATGTCATATTTCTTTGGCCGGCTGGAAGATCTTGGGATGATCGGATATGAACCGCGGCATGTTGAATTTGTGGAGATTGTTCACTATGTACCGGAAAACTACGTGTCAGAGCCTCTACCAACTCAACCGATGGAATGCCCGCCACATAATATAGCAGACCTCGAAGGTGATTGCGATGACCTGTAGTAGGAAGGAAATGATAGAGCAGGCTTCACAGTTTTCCTTCAAATGTGCTGAAAATGACCGATGGCCTCTTGAATGACCTCATTTTAACTTGATTTAAGATTACTCGGGCACATCAAATAAGCCCAGGAAACGTCTCGTAGGAAGGTAGATATATTAAGAGCAGATCAACAAAGCTTCATATCCATCAAGCCAGCGCGCATTTTATAACACTGCATCAGGTACGCCTGAGAAGTTTGTGAACGAACTCCAGCTTCAACATCGACTTATAGCGCCTCGAATCATCTTTGCGAGTGATCACCATACCTAGGTACCAAATCATGCTTACTTCCGATCACCTTGCAATCCTGCCAATACACGGGGGAATAGCGTACGCCAATTTGTCTTTCGCATAACAGGCATATCAGTGGTTGTTTCGTTGTTCGATCGCCTAGTGACAGTTGAAGTGCTGGTGCTCTGAGCGCAGATCATTCGAGACCAGTCACATTGATCGAGATACATAGCGGTAGCAAACCATGCATAGGAATTGGCATTCTTGATGGCTTTCGTCTTGGATTCAATGGCAAGTTGATAAAATCCGATAGCAGGGCTTTACCTAACGGACTATTAGATCATCTTTTAGTTCTCGTGGTATTTATCCCTTTGATCCTGAGAAGATTCTCGGTCTATTACGGGAGTAAGTAGCGCAGGGGAAGCTCTTAGGATTATCAATATACTATCCCCCCGAGCCTTCTAGCTTAGTGACAAATTCGCTACCAGATACTATCCTATGGGACAGACCCACCCTGGCTCCCATGGTGGGATGGTAAGACGGCTATGTTGTTGCTATGGACTTGGCATTATGAAACACTTCAACACAAATAACTCAAGTCTGGGAGTAGCTGATAAAATAGTCAGAATAAGTCTAGTTCATCGATCTACAACTAAAGTTCATTCTAAATATACCCTCCTGCTAGATCTCGCTGATCTTTTTAAACAAGTATTTTTCTTGTCTTTTAACAACCGAGCACTGTATTTCATATTAATCAATAAATACAGGCGTGACTGTACTATACGGAAGAGTGGGATTCCTGAGATAATCCACGGTGGAGTTGAGTGAATGAATTTTTTTCTTTCAGTCACCTGGCTAGTGTATGAGACAGTATTAAAAACCGTAACTTTGATTTCACCCGACAGATTGTAGGCGCTCTTGTCTTTGTTCTGGGGCAGATAAATTTGGAGAGCATTTTTCCCATCCTTGGAGTTCCAACTTCCCCCCTCCCAGTGCTAAACATGACAACCGACCCGCCAGAACTTTCGGAGAAGCTGGTAAACAGCGGGCAGGGTAAGAATATATTTCAGTCGACACATGGGAGTCAGCGGGAACATATGCTGACATCTATTTTCATTGCTAAGGCGCTGCTGCGAATGCAGCCGACATGCCTGTTTCCAACCGCGCCGCAGCAAACCGGATATCGGGGGAAGGAGAGAACTCAGATGACGGTGAAGATCAACCGGCAGTAGCCGTTGATGCTAGCGCTGCCAAGAAGAAGAAGAACAAAAAGAAGAAGCCCAAAAAACAGCCAAAGACTCAGACCGATCCTCCATCGATTCCCATCTCCCAGCTGTTCCCGAACAACACCTACCCCAAGGGAGAAGAGGTCGAGTACAAGGACGACAATCGATACCGAACTACCAGCGAGGAGAAGCGATACCTGGACAATCTGAATTCCGATTTCCTTTCCGATTATCGCCAGGCAGCTGAGGCACATCGTCAGGTCCGTCAGTGGGCACAAAGAAGCATTAAGCCTGGTCAAACACTCCTAGAGATCGCCAACGGCATTGAGGATAGTGCGCGACGTTTAGTAGGGCATGATGGCCTTACCGAAGGCGACTCTTTAATAGCTGGTATGGGATTTCCTACCGGTCTGAACATTGACAATATTGTCGCCCATTATAGCCCAAACGCTGGCTGTAAGACAGTGCTTAAGGAAAGCAATGTGCTTAAGGTCGATATCGGTATCCACGTTGGCGGTCGGATTGTGGATAGTGCCTTTACAATGGCATTCGATCCTATCTATGATAATCTACTAGCAGCTGTCAAGGATGCAACTAATACTGGTGTCCGGGAAGCCGGTATCGATGTTCGAGTCGGAGAATTGGGTGGCTTAATACAAGAGGCTATGGAAAGCTACGAGTGTGAAATCAATGGCAAGACTCATCCGATAAAGGCCGTTCGTAACTTGTGCGGCCATACAATCCTTCCTTACTCAATCCATGGGACTAAGAGTGTCCCTTTTGTCAAATCCAATGATATGACAAAGATGGAAGAAGGCGATGTTTTTGCTATCGAAACATTTGGTAGTACCGGTGCCGGCCGATGCGTCGAAGGGGGTGAAGTCTCTCATTATGCTCTACGCGGTGACGCAAAAAGGAAGGATTTAACTCTGTCCTCGGCAAGAAATGTATTGGGTGCTATCAAGAAAAACTTCAGCACTATCCCTTTCTGCCGGCGCTATTTGGACAGAATTGGACAAGAGAAGTATCTCCTTGGTGTATGGAATTGCCTTCAAAACATTGGATTGGATTGGAACTATTGACTGACATAAAAGACAGTTGAATAATCTAGTGAAATCGGGAATTGTCGAAGATTACCCCCCTCTGAATGAGAAACAGGGGACCTATTCGGCCCAGTTCGAACACGCAAGTCACCCCCCTTCTTCTTTTCTGGAGAGGAACATCCCACTGACGGAACTCAGACAATTCTACTTCGGCCTAACGTTAAAGAAGTGATTTCTCGCGGAGAAGACTTCTAAACGTATTCGTCATTTTTCTTTTCTTTCTTTTTTGGTGGACTCAAGGGCCACTCTTGTACGAAAGATATATCAAAGGTTTCATAACCTGGCAATCAGAACATTCATTCTTACTTCTTGTCACCGGGTCTTTTTTCTTCTTTCTCAAACAGCACATCTTCTCGGTCGTAGCCTCCAGGGCTGAAATACTAGTACATTACGAGTCTTTATAGATTTCGGCTGTGGAGTCCTTCGGCCAGATCCGAGTTTCGGCAAAGTTTCTATTTCGGTGTTAGACTCTAATTTACGATGTCAGCTCTGGGTCTTTTCGGACGTGGACCGGGGCGATGTGTCGGACCCGATGCCCATCGTACTTACCAACTGTTCATATCGAATTGGCTTCAGAGACATATGAAAAGCCGCTGGTTACTGGAGAGACGGTGATCCAGGATTAAGTACCAATATCTTGCTCAATGAGCGAGGATTGACTTCTCATTCATCGTTCACTTCGGAGGCGATTCAAATCCTTTCCACTGCCGTTGGAGAACTTGGTTATGACAGGACTACCTCAAGGGCTACATGGAGGCCGCGTTCCAAGTACCATTGGAATGAAGCCGAGGTGGCGGCACGTCTTCAAATTAGAAGATTTTCTATGGCTTAAAAATTACCGCATACAAGGTCAATCCGTTGTCCCTGCATCTATCATTTGCGTCTCGGCACTTGCGGTTGCGATGGATATGCGTAATGAAAAGAAAGTAAACAGCATCGAGCTCGCAGACGTTACTCTAGAGCAATCGGTAATACTGGAAGGACCCGCCTTAGAGTTTGATATCTCATTGTCCGTTGCCGACCTTGTCAATCCAAATGTTGAAGGCATCGACGGCGTTGAAACAGAATTCAATATTGAAGTCAGCGGAGCTGCGAATCACAACATACCCACTATCGCCAAAATATTGTTACGCGTGAACTTTGCAGGCCAGATTCACTCGACCGATTGATCTTACCTTCGTTCAAAAATACCAGGCCGGGCAGGCTGAGGCCTGTTAATATTGACCAATTTTATGATTCACTCGCAGAGTCATATCTGAGCTATAATGGACTTTTTAGAGCTTTGATTTCTGCTGAGCAGCACCTGGACATTTCCTGCGCTGCCATCGCGACCACAGCCGCCGAGGGACTATGTTCTTCAACTCTACCTCATCCAATCATTCTGGAGGCAGGAATCCAGTCGCTCTTGCTGGCTTTTGCCGCCCCGCGAGATTGTTCCCTGCGAACACCTTTCACCACTACGAAGATCAGCTGGTTGGTATTGTTTCCGAATTCATACGATGGCCTTGCCGCTCCAGTCCCACTAACTGTCAACGCACGCCTACCGGAAGACACGCCATGGCGTGGAACAAAAGTACCGGCGATCAGAGGGGATATCGATATTTGCAATTCGGAGACTGGAGAGATACAGATACGTCTGTTTCTTGCATATAATTCTCTTCAAAAAGGATGAAGGCGATAGCGGGCCGTTTCCGGGCCGTTTTTGGTGGGAGTCAATAACTAACAATCGACCCCTAACTAGATTTTCTGTAAGAAGTTTTCCGAACAAGACCCTGTCACTCCCTACTATGGATCTCATATCGGATCTTCTTTACTTTGTGCTTCGCCCGAACCAGCTCCGCACGATAATCCAATGGTAAGTCTATAGCCATCTCTAACATCTTTACAAACACTGCATTCGAAGGGTACTGACCGTTAATAGGAAACTGCGGCGCCATCCTATCCATGAGAGAAATAAACAGCAGGAGTCTTCAACCAAAATCTGTTTCGACTTCCTGGATCAAACCGGTCGCAGCTACAGTCCCGTTGTCAAGGAACTGCATCCCGAGCTACGTTTGCCCGTTTGTGTGTTCTACTTGATACTACGTGGTCTGGATACCATCGAAGACGATACTTCAATCCCCCTCGAGACAAAAGTGCCGCTCCTTCGAAACTTCAAAGATGTCCTGGACCAGGATGGCTGGACCTTCACCGGCAACCGCCCCGAAGAAAAGGATCGCGAGCTATTAGTGCAGTTCGATAACGTGGTTGCTGAATTCCGACAAATGAAACCTGTCTATCAAGCGATCATCAAGGATACCACTGATAAAATGGGGAATGGCATGGCCGATTTCGTGGAAAAGGCGGCTGTTGGAGATATAGCCGTCAATACGATTGAAGAGTACGACCTCTATTGTTGGTATGTAGCTGGCTTGGTCGGCGAGGGCCTAACCCGCCTATTTGTCGAAGCTGATCTGGCGGATGCAAATGTGATCAATCAGTCTCACCTGCAAAAGTCCATGGGCCTCTTACTGCAAAAGAACAATATCATTCGCGATATCCGTGAAGATAATGATGACGGTCGACAATTTTGGCCGAAAGAGATTTGGTCCAAACACGTCGAGAATTTCGAAGACCTGTTCAAACCCGACAATCACGAGCTGGCCCTTAACTGCAGCTCTGAGATGGTGTTGGATGCTCTGAGACATACGACTGATTGTTTGTCGTATCTTGCTGGCTTGCGCGAGCAGAGCGTGTTCAGATTTTGTGCTATTCCCCAATCTATGGCGATGGCTACACTGGAGTTATGTTTCCGCAACCCGGCTCTCTTCGAACGAAATATCAAAATCACCAAGAGGGAGGCGATTGGACTTGTCGTCGAATCTGGTGCAGGTCTTCAGGGGGTGTGCAAGGTCTTTTGTCATTTTGTCCACCGAATTCAACAGAAGAATGACCCCAAGGATCTCAATTACTTGGAGATCAAGACTGCATGCGAACAGGTTAGTAATACCTATTCGACAGAGGTCTGTAGCCATATGCTAACTGTGTATAGATTGAGAGATTTGCTGAATCCCTAAAGCCGCAGAGCATCAGACTTGCGAATAGCAAGATCAATGAGAGTTGGTTCACTGCTAGGCGAGTCCTTGCTATCCCAGTCACCTCAATCCTGGTACTAGGACTTGCTTGGCTCGTGCAAGCCAACTTGAACGCGTCTTGATCTCTTGAACGACCTACCTGGTTAGACACTCTGTACCACTGTAAATTAGTCTAGGAGTAATTCTATTCATAATAAACCCTTTTCATAGTCTATCAAGTTAGTTATCACGTAACATTTACTTGCCATTCATCCAATCTAAGGAAATGAAATCCTTCAGCATTTGCCTCTACTGCACCAGCTCTAGGCTTCTAGCTAAACCCAGGATTTGTGGTGATCACCTACTTGTTTGATGAAGCAGGTACAGACCTCGATCTCCTCCGTACCTGATTGATAAACTTTGTGGGCCGCGAGGCGGGGACTTTTCGTCAAACCGGATCTACTAGATCGAACGGCCCCACATCCCGAGCACAGTTCCATTAGGTATCTTTTGTATATCAACTCAATACAAAAGATACTTAATACAACATGACTTTTTCAACAAGTTACAACTCTTGTAAGAGAAATCTAAATCAACTTCCATGATCAAGGAATCTCTTATTTTCGAAAATGATTTTGAAGGTGAAGAGAAAAGCCGAATTCAGTTTCATCAGCCATTTTCGGAATATTCTGCGGGATTTCCTTTTTAGGCTAGGACTTTGACGTCTCGTGATGTACTCCAACGGCAGTACCAACTTAGGCCTCCCGACTCGACGGTGGAACATGTGCGGAATATGGACACCGCTATCTCCACTCCGGGATCTCTCTTCAAATTTGGACTCACGGAATTACCAAGCTCGGAGAACCCTTGGCGAAGCCAGTCACATGGAGAGACTAAGTCGGGATGGACACTTTAAACGAACCACGTATTTAGAGGTAAATTGCTTTATCCTTTCCCTACCAATAATTTACCCATCAAACCATGTCCGACAAACACTACTTCCCCTCAACAAGCGCCAATTCTTTGGTCCCAAGAGCGCTGCGAGCTCTTGTCTCCGCAAACGATCACTTGAGTTTGAACTACACAGAGAGAGTAGTTTCCAATGCGTTTCATGATGACTCAAAGGTGAGCATTATCAGCGGAGGCGGCTCAGGACACGAACCGGCGTGGAGTGGCTATGTTGGTGATGGCCTGCTATCAGCTGTTGCGTGCGGTGATATCTTTGCGTCACCAAGCGCAAAGCAAATCCTGGCTGCGATTCGGACGGCCCCATCGAAGAAAGGGACTATACTACTCATAACCAATTACACTGGAGATCGTCTTCACTTCGGCCTTGCGGCCGAGAGAGCTAAGGCTGAAGGTCTGGTTGAAAATATTGCCATTCTACATGCTACAGATGATGTCTCCATTGGAAGAAGTAAAAATAGCCACATGGGTAGGAGAGGGCTACCTGGTCATATTTTTAGTAAGATTGTTACTTGTTCCCTGGTTTGATGGCTGCTGATGGATACGCCGTAGCAATGAAGATCATCGGGGCAGCTGCCTCGGAGGGTTACTCTTTCAAACAGTGTCTTGCACTGGGACAAGCAATAAATGGGCAGACGGTTACGATCGCCTCGGCTCTTGACCATTGCCATGTTCCAGGCAGACACCAACAATCATCCGTCCCAGACAATGTGGTTGTCGTCGGCGCCGGTATACATAATGAGCCCGGCCAACTTCATCTTTCCCCCGCCCCCCCTGTCGAGCAACTTATTGAGCAGTGTCTCAAATTCCTTTGCGATGATTCCGATACAGAGCGAGCATTTGTCAAGTTTGAGCCACGCGATGAAATTGGTTTACTGGTCAACAACTATGGTGGCCTCTCTGTCCTCGAGTTATCTGCTCTGACCGATGAGATCCAATGTCAGTTAAGCTCACGATGGAACATCAGGCCTTGCAAAACATTATTTGGTTCATTTGAAACGTCTCTCAACGCGCCAGGCTTTTCGATTTCTCTCTGCAACCTTACCGCCGCAGCTCGGCAATCGAATCAATCTGTCGCGACCTTGATACGGCACTTTGATTGTCCCACCACTGCTGTCTCTTGGCCAAACACCTCCCGTCCCTCTCCTTCTCAACAGAAGACCACCTTCGATGATCTCGATGCCGAGGTAAACAGCCAAATTACCGCTTCCCCTCGCATCAAATTTGACCCTTTACTATTGGAGAAAGCCTTAAGGACCTCGTGCGAAAGAGCCATTGCAGCAGAGCCAAGGCTGACCCAGTGGGACATGGTCATGGGCGATGGAGACTGTGGCGAGGCAGTCCAAGGCTTGGCCGAATCAGTCCTGCAAAGTGTCGATAAAGGCTGCACAGCCTCAGGCGATCTGCTAGAGGTAATTCGGTCTGTGTTGCAGAATGTCGACGACATGGGTGGAACCCTCGGTGCAATTTTTGGAGTTCTTCTTTCCGCTCTTTATACAGCCCTGAGAAAGAATTCGCTCGAGGGAATCTGCCCTAATACGCCAAACTTCTATTCAACTGCTCTGGCGTCCGCGACGACAACCCTGAAGTCGCACACGGGAGCAAGGGAAGGAGACCGTACTGTTATGGACGTTTTACTCCCTTTCAGCGAGGAGTTTTCGAAAACAAATGATTTTCTGTCAGCAGTGGATGTGGCTGCTAAAAAGGCGGAGGAAACAAGACATCTCAAGGCCAAGTTCGGCCGAGCAACGTATGTCGGGGATGCCTCAAGTCAGCAACTCCCAGACCCCGGGGCTTGGGCTTTGTATGAGATAGTTGCGGGCTTGGCGGATGGACTTGGGCTTTAGCCTAATTAATGCGTCCCCAAGCGCGAGCTATCAGACGGTCTATGATAAAGCAGAGGGTTTCCTCTCGAGAGATATGGCTAGAGCAAGAGTCAAGGAAGAGATTTGGTCGCATCACCAAAGGCCTTTCGGCCTTTCAAAAAATAAAAAAATACAACGTTTCACAAAAGACAGCAGGTAGTGCTAGGTTAAACTTCATGTAAAGTCTCCCGGCCGGGTCCCTATATTACTAATTACTAGTAAATCACATGATTCGTGTCGTCTATAAATAAGAATTCAATGTCCAAAGTAACTTCAGACAGTTCGTGACTCCGATCTTCATCTTTCGCTCCGTTTTTACCTGCCTGTCTGCTTCCCACCACTATACCCGCCAATATGTCTATGAACTTAACCAACTCATCTTTGAATGCATATTCGATGCCATCTCTAATGGCGTTTTCAATATGAATCCCCCTGGCCCTGCCCCTACCGCCGCCACGCCGCACGGTGTAAGGGACTACCCTTATTCCATGCTGACTGGGTTCATTATTATATTAGCAGGCATTGTGGTGGCAGGCAGGCAGGCAGGTAAAAATGGAGTGAAAATGATACCACCTCCCCCCATCTGTTGCAGCACCGGTAACTAGTTATGAACCACAACTCTTATGTGACTAATAGGCCAGGCATCTGCTAGAATTTGATTTTGATTCAAATTTACCATATTCCCTTGAATTCAAGTTGGTCAGGTATGGCTAGCTAAGGGACTATCTATTATCCGAGGCGGTAGATCATGTGTACCATTGTTTTCTTTCCCATTCTTACTCCGTCTACCCCCCTTCTAATGTCTGATGCTGCCATGACTGTTCAACTAGACAATAACCAGTCGATCATTGACTATTGCCGGTCTTGTCCAGAAGATCAGCTTACTGGAGGATTGAGGTCTGGTAACCAGGTCGTTAAGCTACCAGATTGTGACTTGGTAGTCAAGTTTGGCCCCTTTGTCTCCTCCCATGAGGCAAAGAATCAGCAAAAAGCATACAGCATAATTAATCCAGATATCGTTACAGTCCCTTCGGTTTATAAATTTTTCATGGACGATGAGGATTGGGGCTATATAATATCGGATTTTATTCAGGGCAAGATTATCGATAATCTTTCAGACTCTCACATTCAAAGACTCGCCTACATTCTTGAGTATTTTCACTCTATTACCGTCGATAGGGCTGGTAGCCTATGTGGTGGCCCTTCAATTGGCTTACTCTGGCCAGATACAAATGATCTGACCATTAGCAATGTTCAGTAAGTGGAAGAATGGTTCAATAGCCGGCTTTTTCCCGGGGATGGTAAGGTTCATTTTGATCCTACCCCACTGGTGCTCTGTCAGTTAGACATAGCCCCCCGAAACATCATCTGGTTAGATGATGGCCGTGTCTGTTTATTGGACTGGGTATCAGCGGGATTTTATCCGAGACTGTTGGAATTTGCCAGTCTATTCTGTCAAGAATACTGTTTTAGCGAGATGCTTCTGAAAGCAGTCGGTTTCGACTATGGTCGTGATAAAGAACAACAGCAGAGGATCTACAAGGCATTGTATAACAATGAAAGGTACTCCTTGTAAGTCAGAACCGACCAGAATTGTTTATCTTTGTCAAAATCTCTGACCCGGAAAATAGTCGTTCGCACGATGAAACAGCTGGTTGCATCTTTCCTCTTCCATTACTTCCGGAACCGCAAAAACTTCTTGACGAGGGGGAAATGGTACTGAATTATGGTTGCTAGTGATCGACGTTAAACTTAGCAGTCTCCTTCATACAGGCTTTAGACGCCATGGACGTGTTTTTCAGAAATGACACGGTCATTGATTCTCTCATTGCACATATAAGTCTCTCGAACATAGGACAAAAGTAGCCTCCATCTAGAGTCAAGTTCTGGTACCAGCCTCAGGCTCGAGTTCCTATGGCTGAATTGATGAACGTAAAGTGCGTGTTGACAGCAAATATCCGCAGCCGGACTACGCCATTCCGCCATTGACCTGCACAATCTGACCTGACATCCAGCTACTATCCTCTCCACACAAAAAGGCAATGACATTAGCAATCTCCTCCGGTTTCCCAATCCGACCAAACGGACTAAACCCAGCGACTGCATTGAGGACCTGTTCTGACTTCCCCTTCAAGAAGAGCTCGGTAGTGGTAGGCCCCGGTGCGACGGCATTCACGATAATATTCTTCCGTGCCAGGTCTTTGGCCATGACACGAGCCATTTGATTGATGGCACCTTTAGCAGACGCATAGAGAAGATAGGCGGGTGCGACGCTGGAAAGAGCAGTGATCCCTGTAGAGATGAAAATGACCCTGCCACCGGAGGGCATGTGCTTTGTGGCTTTCTAGAACACGGTTAGTATCATTGAATGCTATGATTTAGGACAAGAATGTACTCTAGTACTTACCTGGGCTAGGAAGTATGGGCCCTTCACCATGAGATTGTATGCGTTGTCAAAATCCGCTTCGGTTGTATTCTCCAAGTCCTTCATTGGGAGGATTCCTGCATTTGGAATGAGGATGTCAATCTTCCCGAACTTGGCGACTGCGGAATCCACGAGGCGATCGAGATCGGACAGATTGGATGCATCTGCTTGGACAGCTAAGGCGCGGTCGGGCCCGATCTGTGCGACAAGGTTGTTGGCTGCGGCTTCATCGGAGAGGTAGTTGATTATTACGCTGGCTCCTTCGCTGGCAAGGCGGAGGACTGTTGCCTTTCCGATTCCTTTGGAGGAGCCAGTGATGAGGACGACTTTTCCAGAGAGAGACATGGCTCTGGAGAATGTGTAGATGGGATATCTTGGAAATAAATGATGGATTTGATATTTGATAGAATCAAGGGTCGGGGTATCTATTTAAACAAAGTGAGTATCATGGATTTGAGGGATGGCGATGCCGGAGTTAAGGTAGACCGTAGACTGTCGACCTGGCCATCTCAATAGAGAAAGCGAGAATGTGACACTGGAAAAGCAGTGATTCTGATTGGACTGTTGGCCAACTATAAACGGATTTAACAAGAAGTTAAATCGAAGTCCGGATGCGATCCGATAAGCCGGATTACCGGATTTAAAGCTCGGAGTCCGCAGGATGAAGAAACAATATTTGATCTCTACATTCAACAGAAGAGACAATACTTTTGGTTCAATCCCATCGATTCACAAATTTAATAATCTTCGCCGCAGTAGCACTCCGCTCGAATCCTCCAAGATTATCCAGAAACACGATTCGGAAGAGTTCCTCATTATCCGAACCTATAACAAAGAAAGCCTTGAAGCGGTTGATAAGAGCATCATCCGATAAAATACCGTCTCGAGGCGGCGACCTCAGCAGCCGGATCTCTAGCGTCGCCTGCGGCGTACTCTCCAATCGATCCATAATGAGCTGCCACTGCAGAATGCCACAGTCGTCCGCCCGCATGAGGGCATCGATCTTCTCAAATTCGAAATAAGAGGAAAACCAATTGAAGCTGAAGCGATTATCGCGGCCGCGCATGCGCAACACACGTATATAGTCCCGATCCGCCTCGGGGATTACAGCACAGGCTGCGCTCGGGAGGGGGTGTAGGGTGCCGATATCACCAGTGATGTAGCGTACCAGCGGGTTTCGCAGTCGTTGGAGAGATGTCTGCACGATGAGACCTTGTTCTCCTTCTGGAAGCAGGATTGGATCAGGCGAAGATACGCCGTCGACGGCAGAGGGAGAGACGATCTCGATCAGGATGTTGCGCGTGTCGAAGACGAAGTCCGTGCTATTATTAGTCAGGCTCTGCTCCCCGGTCAGATCGGGGCTGCTGATTGCCCAGGGGCCTGCCTCGGCACTTCCCATGAGGGAAATTATCTTGACGTCGCCCAGAACCGCCTTGATGAACGCTCGCTGCGGACCGGTTAAGGGCTCGGAGGTGTAGATGATTTTGTCGAGGGCGATGCGATTGCGATCCTCCGGCGCCATGAGGGAGATGTGGTAGACGACTTGGACGACCTGGCTTCCATCACCGGTTAGGATGTTGACGTGATAGTCGGCTAGGGATTTAGCAACATCCGTAGGTGACATGTAGCTTCCGGCGCTGAGAACGGTGGCTCCGGCGTTTTCTGTGATTTCCGTCGTGAGATCGAGGGACCTTGTTCTTAGTTAGGATATCGCGCCGTCTCGTGCAATTCGGATCTAAGTACCTGTAAAACCCTCCCGCTACATGAGTGGATAGGACCCAATCTCCAGGCTGAATGACACCGCACAATTTGAGAAATTCCCCAAATTGCGCTCTCTGTCGACGGTTCTCGTGCACATCCACGGCGAACATCATCGGCACCCCGCCAGAACCACCGCCAGTAATGCTCACGTAGGAACTTTGTCGGTAGGTGTTGCGCGGGTCCACATCATGTGAGAGTCGTTCAATGGCCTTGTACCTGAGCTAAATTAGCCTAGCTAACTACTGTAGAAGGATGTCCGATATTGTCTTACAGTGTTTTCTTTTCAAGAAGTGGCTGCTCTTGGAATTTAGCCTTCGCCTCTTGGTCAGTGACCGTCTTCCGAAGATTCCGGATTGTTTCTGCATCGGCAGGGTATACAGTGTCCGGGTTGTAGAAAGGGTGCGTCTTAGCGACGGCTAGCACCTCTGCTAATGAATACCTTTCCGTTGCCATTGCGAGAATCTGCTACGAGCAATCTCAATTGAAGGTAGGAAATTGCGGGAGGGTGAGTCGGGGCGATAGGCTTAATTGTGATTGAGAAGACTCCGAATATTTGAATTTGATATTGATGGATCAAGACAAGGCAGAGAAAAACCAAAATGAACTTGAATTTGTGACGTGGAGTAGCTGAACTTTGTATGGAGTAGCTGAGCTACGGAGTACGATGGAGTAGCTACTAGTTCATGGAGACGACCTCATGAAGGCCGATCAGCTGAGTAGTGCCTGCAGATCTCGGGTCTCCACCGGACGATCGCGAGGGAGTAATAAAAAGTTTACGTGTATTTACTCTATTTCCATACCCGGTGCAGTGTTTTCATGTATTAATTGAAATTACCAATGAGAATACCGTATTATATCTGTGGGCGGTATTTTCATTCCCGAGCTGTCGGGCCAAATCTTGGAACGCGGGTATATGTGGGTCCGATGGCCCAATTAGGTCACCGTATTCCGATGGAAAAGAAAAACAGGAACAAAGTACACAGTCGCCCGAACTATTCTTCCTCAGCATCTTCTGATCCTAAGAAGACCATGGCAAGAGCAGCGAGGAGGAGATATAAGAGACCTGCTATCATTAGTAAGTTACCCGATTATACTAAGATCAAACCACTTACTCCAAGTCCAGCTCATGCATTTATAGCCGACCATTTCCTTCAGCGAACCGCCTATGATTGGACCAATCATCATCCCGAGGGAATCAGCAACATCCATCATAGAGAATACGCGCGACATGCCTCCTTTAGGTCCAAATGTCCCTGGGGACTGTTCCTGGATAGCTTTGGCAGTGGCTAGATATTTTTAGCACTTATTCATAGCCGGAGAGAGACGACTTACCCGTCAGTTCGACCGGCGCGATGCCAGACACAAACGGCCGCAAAATGCCTATAGCAACGATACAGGCGACGTAAAGCGGTTTACCCATATTTCGAGCACCCGCCCAAGGAATATCGCCAGCAATACCCATTAGGCCAAGTACTATTGCCTCAAGAACGGCACAGACCATGGTAGGTCGTCGTGTTCCGACTTTATCACGGACCCAGCCAGCAATGGGACCGATCACGACACCCGGAATAACAAGGCCGGCAAAAAGGAATCCGACGGCACGAGGACCCCATCCGAATGTCTCTTCAACGTGGAGGGGAAGCGTCGCGTGGAAACTCGTGCTCACGGTTGTACCCGAGATTATAATCAGCAGACAGGTCCCAACACGGCCGTTGCATAGCATTGTCCGCCAGAAACTATCGTTTCGGGATGGAATTTGCTGCTCTTCGCAAGAGGAAAGCAGACTCGCAGTCTCGGTTGGCATAGAGGGAGGACTAGACGGACTCTCGATCATACACACGCGTGCGATAAAATCGATCGTCAGGACCACGAGCGGGATCGACCATGTTATCCAGTACCCGGTGGCCTCTATCAGCAGCCCGGCAATCGCGGGCCCGCTGATTACTCCGGTGTTTGCGCAGGACATCATTAAGCTCATTGCGAAACCTATGCGGCTCGGACTGACAGTGTCTGCGACTGTTGCGAAGCCGACAATCCACACAGCAGACCCTGCGATGCCTTGCAACACGCGGCCGAGCAGTAGTATAGGGACTGAATGAGCGCCGGCAACCATGCACGTGCCGACAATGCACCATCCGAGAGATAATAGTAGTGCGGTCTTGCGGCCTGTATTCTTGTCGGCGAAATGACCGATTATAGGGCCGGAGACCATGGCGAGAGTACCATGTAGGGCAAGAGCGGCAGAGGTTAACTCCTGAGCTTGAGATGGCGGGACATGGAGGCGGTCCCGAAGCATTTCTCCGAGGATGGGAACTAGGAAGCCATAAAGGAATGTTTCTACTCGATATTAGTGTTGTGTTGTTTCAATTATTCTAGGGGCAGACAGACCAGCAAACAACGCGATTGCGATGGTAGAGAGAATGAACCACTTGGAGGAACGCCAATTGTAGCCTATTGGTAAGGTCTTTTCGGTAATGACAGTCATGTTGGCGAGGTTGTTGGAAGTTGGAGAGAAGTGTCCAACGCCGTATAGGCTCGTCTAGTTTAAATGTCGATGTCCTGAACTAAGCCCTGACAAGTTAAGTTACATGGGATGAGATCCCATTTCAGGTGTTCTATTTTTATTTTCTTATTTCTATTCTTATTCGTCTCTCTTTGTACGTACGACACATTCATTGCGCTCTCCGTGTTTCCCGAGTGGGTCAGCTCAGCCGCATCTATAGGAGTTGCAATTAATCTGATAATTTGTACCATACGCTGTACGCAGTAATCTGCATGCCAATCATACAGCATTACACTACATATGTGTCTCATTCCCTATATGACCAGTCGAAATATATTGCTCCTCTACTCTGTCCTCCGCACAGGGTATGCTGCATATATTCGTGATATTGTTCTTCTTCGTTGCATTTGGAGCTGTTGGTATATATGTAATTGAGCGCCGACTGCTCTTCCATATCTTACATGGTGGTTGCACAAAATGCATCAACTCTTCCGTGCTGTTTCTACAGCCAGACTGACGGCAAGTTATTCTACCCGCCCTATCAGTATGTATCGTCTGTTATTTTCTTCTTCTCATACTCACTATAACAGGAGATTTACGAACCTCCAATCTCGTCCCCCTAATCGAAATTCCCAAGCCAGCACTCGCCTCCGACGCCTCCCACTTGAGAGCCGTATACGATACCCTCGAAGCGAAAGGTGTGCTCCAAGTACATCTAGGGTTTAGCGACGAGAACAGCACATATCTGCAGAGTCTGATATCGAATCTCCACAAAAACCACAACCACGGCCTCCCAATAACACACAGCGCCGAGCGCGGTTGGTTCTGGGATGTTCGGCCCTCCCCAGCGAGTTTCCAAAGCCATGGCCACCAAGCCCGATCAGAGACAATGTTCCGATTTGAATGGCACACCGACTGCAGCTATGAAGAGCAACCACCCAGATTCTTCGCCCTCCAAGTCCTTCAGCCAGACCGCCGCGGCGGCGGGACGTTGTCTGTGCTGAACGTCGATCGACTCCTTACCTTGCTTTCGCCTTTCGCGCAAAAATGGCTCTCCAGCCACAACTACAAAATTACAGTCCCTCCTGAGTTTATCAAAACCGAGAGGAAGCAGCATATCGTGGCTAATTTGCTCGCCGTGAATCCTGACGGGAAGTCTGGCAGTCAATTGCGGTTTCGGGAAGATATCACGGTTCCCTTGACTCCGAATGCTACCAAGGCACTGGATGAACTGAAGGAAATTCTGTACGGTGGTGGCGCCCGGGATGAGACTCTCCACCTCACACCCCAGTGTCTTCTCCAAGGATCAATTATCCTGATGGATAATCGCCGATGGCTGCATTCGCGCAATGAAGTCAAAGACCCCAACCGACATCTTCGGCGTGTCCGATGGGATGCCGCACCATTTGGAAGCTCATGAATGTTTCAATGCTGTATTATATGTATAGTCGTACATACGATCTCAAACCTGTAATTGCAAGTCAATACGAGTCAAAATCTGCCTGTATGGCCCCACATTATAGCGGATCCCTCGGGTGAACCATTGGACCCACATATACCCGAGAGGCCCCACTGTACACGAATACATCACATTACATACATACATACAGAGAACATCAGAAAATAGGGATCGTCTACGAAGTACTCCGTACTAGATCTGGCTTTCTCCACCTCAGCTCGGGATAACCACTAGTTGAATAGTTCGATTCAAACATGAAGGACATATATCATCCCGTCTTTCCATTATCAACACAAAATATCCACATACAAAATGAAACCTCTCCATCTGATCAGCTTTCCCGATGACGATGCCGTCGACTACTCACCAGTGACAGCAGAAGGGCTAGATGTAGACCTCTTGGGCAAAAGCCGCCACAGTTATATCTCGAAGTTGAGCGACTGCTCCTCTTCTTGGCCAGCCGGATCTCTGGATGCATCGTGTCCTTTCCCTGTGTTAACTACCCAACGGCACGATGATAACATGAGAAATTTGCACCTCGCTCTGAGATTGGCCATCGAGGATATTATCGAGCGATGGTGGACGGATGATGAAGCCCGGTTTCCTCTCCGTGTGCCGTTGGAGCAGGAGGAGGAAGAGTTACTGCGCGTAAGCTACATCCCTTCTACGGCTCGGTTTGGCTTACTGAGTGGTTGTTACAATAGTGGATGGACTCAAACCGACACCTGTTCGCACCGTGGAGCGAACGACAAGGATCTTGGAGACCAGACTTTTTGGTAGAGAAAGATGAAGCTGGCGGGGAGGTTTTTCGCATCTGTGAGATCAACGCGAGGTTCTGCTGGAATGGGTACATGCATACTGTCTTTGGGCAAGATTCGCTTTCGGCATTCAATCTTGGATCGCGAGGTCTGACTAACGCCGTGGAAGCTGAAACGGTAAGCGAGTGGAGATTTGATATCTGGGCTAAGACAGATTGCTAATGGTTAACTCAAAGGTCTTCGGTGGATTGTTGGAACTGTTCGACAACGAGATTCCTTTGCACCTTATCAAAGGCGAAGAGCACGGGATTGATATCGGGATGTTTATCGAATTTGCTCAGAAAAGACATGGATTAAAACTGCGACTCATAACTCCGGACACTCTCCGACTCATTCCAGATCCCTCCAACTCCGGGGGAAACGGATACAAGCTATGCTGTCTCGCTGAAGCAGATGCTGTTGAGACAATCACAATCGAGTCCGGCGAAATAGTGGAAGAGATTCACCAAATTGGCCTTGAACTCCACCAGCGGGAGATCAATGCTCTCGATCCGGAGATGAAACGACAGATCAGCCTGCGATGCTTCAACGACATGCGAACTATCCTTCTTGCTCACGACAAGAGGATGCTAGGACTTGTTCTTGAAGAACTCAACAATTTAGTCTCCAGGAACATCATCACTCCTAAACAGGCCGAAGGCCTTAACCAAGGCTTGGCGCACACAATTCTCCCGGGCTCGACGGGATTCAACCAATTTATCGAGAATTGCAAAGTCTCGGATTCGTTCCAAAACGACTACCTCCTGAAACCGATCAGGGGAGGAAAGGGGGCTGGTATCTTGTTTGGCGATGAACTGGGCCATTCCGATTGGCTAGCTCTGCTGGAACCGTTGCAGTGTCCGAGACTGAGACCCGGAAAGACCCTCTACGTTGTCCAGCGGAAAGTTCGCCAGCCATACTATGACGTGATCTTGAGATCGAAAGCCGCGTCAGAGCGCTGCCATATGGTTGGGACCTATCACGCAGTTAATGGTCGCTATCTTGGACTGGGGAGCTGGCGATGTAGTCCCGGGAGATTATGTGCCGTTTCTAATGGGGCTGCCTGGATATGTTCGGTAAAGCAGCAATCCTAGTCTTGGGCAATTTATTTTGATGCACGTATGCGAGATGCGAAGATTCGAGTCTTGTGTAAATTCCCTGTGCTTAGTTGTTGTAGCTCTAGCCGAAGACTTTTCTTTTCTTTTCTAGATCAGTATTCAAGTTCGGGTCTAGACCGCTGACAGATAATACCGTATCTTATTCCACGTACTCCGATATGGCGCGCTGGGGGCTTGAATTTCTAAAGCTGAAGTACTCCGTAAAGCTAGCGTGGTAGACGCTCGTATGGCATAGGATCGAACAAGCAAGATGCGTGGCTCAGCTGAAGGTGGAGAAATATACGCAATTGGGCTGGTCATGTTGTGTTTTCGAAAGAAAATAAAGACCGGGCTCTAAGGCTGAAGCCTCAAAGGATCTCCATTGACTCTCCTGCTTCATCTTCATTGGTTGGAGCTCTGCTGGGCCTCGGGTACGGGCATATCCCTGACCGCCATTTATCGCCGCCTTCACCAAGCATATACAACTGGTGCCAATTCCAATCTGTATTGATTTCAACTTCTCTTTTATTTTCGATGAATATGCACTATTTGTGATTATTAGGAGGGAGGTCAATCAAAAACCGGGGAAAAAGCATGTAAGAAGCCTTTGACAACTCCGAAAATCAAATAAGAGCTTGTCGCCCCTCCGGTAAATGAGGCTCTTTCCTCACCTTTGCCATCACCGTCATTTCTCTTTTTGATAATTGGCTCGGGGTAAGAAAACGAGTATACCTAAGCAAATAATCACAAAGAGAAATGAGGGTGAGGGCAAAGGTGAGGAAAGAGGCTTCTTCTTGCCTGCCTTTTCCCCGGTTTTTGATCGACCTCCCTCTTAATAATTACAAACAATGCATATTCATTGTTCGATGAACTCTGTCTAGCGACATTGTAATTTCGATCCAATAATCCCAAAGGGTAAGACGTAATGGATCTCTACTGTAATACAGGGTATCTCAATCTAGTGGCAGTTCCATGACTGATATTGCTACAGGGTAGTAATGGTATTGTCAACAGACTTGTGACAATGCCAGTCTCTTGCTTTTTGCCATGTGGCGGATAGGCTCTACATATCACTATTTTCCCCATTAATCATCGTCGAAAGTCGGGTTGTCCAACCGGAGTCGCATTTTCTCTAGGGCAAAGGTATCATGTTCCTTCCTCGAAATGCCATAGTCCTCAATCCGACCCTCAATCCAACCACTTGTGCCGCGGGATGTTCCCAACAAGCTGCCGATTTTCCCGGCCGAGCCAAAGTCAATCAGGACTGGCATTCCACCACTGGCCTCGGAGTCGTCGACTAGCACATTCGTTGGGTTGAGGTCATTGTGTGCCAAACCGAGTGAATGTAAGTGATAGATAGCAGACTCAAGCACATTCATGAATGCTTTCTTATCGATATTTCTCACTCCGCCACTGAGATAATTCTTCAGGTCGTGCGAATGGCGGCCGAGCACGATTCCGGTTATATAGCCTCCCCGGAAGCGGCAGCCGTAGTATGGACGAAATAAGGATGTAGGTGTACGGCAAGAACTTCCATGGTACGGGCCTCCTCCAAAAAGCTTTGGGCGAGCAGGTGTACTACATTTTGTCGTTAATACACATCATATTGGGACATGTTGGGTCGCTTGATGAAGACTTGAACATTGGCGGGGAGATCCAGTGGCGCCTGAGTCAAGGGTTTGTCGCCAGACAGTGGCGACTCTGATAATATCTCGCTGTCGGGGATTGGCTTGAGCATGGCCTGGCCATGACTTGCTGAAACGAGGTCTCGGCTTTGCGGGTAGGTAGTTCGCCGTAGTAGATGACATCGTCCGAGTTGATGACAGCGAACATTTTGTATTGAAATTCATTGGTTTCTGAGTCAGATTCCTCGGATACATGGGCAAAGTCGGCCCAAATTTTGACCTGTGGTGTCATAATGAAGGTAGTGGGAGAAGACCCCGTGAAAAATTAGACAACTTGGATTCGCAGTACGGCGCGATGTTAGGATAGCTGAAAACGAAATGTTGGAAAAGAAAAAACAAGGAGAACTCCGTGCGCTCGCTACACCGTTGTTTACTCCAAGGTTCGATGCTATTGATCATATGGTGGAGTATCCAAATATTGGCTTCTAATTCGTCGCACTCGCTTTTTTGGTATCAACGGAGATCGGATGTATCAATCACCCCTATCTTAGTCAACAAGGCCCCCCCAATGGTGTCAATTTAAGGCACGCTTTGGTCAGATACCCCGGTCACTGTGGCACTCGTATCATCGCCGAGTCTAGACATCCTTCTCATTGGAGAACAACACTTCCACGATAGACCAACCGTATCAGCGAAAGAGTAATCAGCGGCAAGGCAGTATTAGCCAACAGTACTCCGTAAATAAGTCACCCATGGCGGCAATAGGCCTACTTGGGATATCCGCCATATCGCCTTCATGGGATCGCCTAGTCAACTAAATCTGGCGCCCAAGATGATTAGTAAGTTTCAATCGCGTGACGTAGTTAGTCTGTAGAATCTTGAGCACAGCAAAGCTGGAGTCAGTCAATATCTTAAGAAGGGTCCAAAATGCAGTTTTGAGTACAGTATCGGCTCTACATCGCTACGACGCTACCTGTGCTTCAAGCATTCAGCTGATGTCCATGAGGACATACGACGAGACGAAGATAATAGTTACCAGAATCAGTGCAACAGCTATTCAATTCTCTTAGCTCCGAACCATATCCTTTCTCGTCCTCTCCACAATATCTCTCAGTATGTTTTTGTAGGAGCCAATTCCAAGCCACGGGAATGTACAGAGCCCCTCAGGATCAATCGGAATCGATTAAAAGTATGGAAAAGACTCATTGGATAGTGCTGCAGCATGCAAGTCATTGCAAGCAACCCCACCGTTGAATCAAACACTCATACAGGCTGTGGTCAATCTCGCCAGCCCCCATATCAGGGGTACTGTATGTCACTGTAGGGTGATTGGTGTTTACTCAGACCAAGCAATATCCAATGCATTCATGACAACGGCACACGGCTGGATCTGCTCATTGCAGTCAAGGTAGACTGCCCCGACGATTGCCTCCATGGTGGTCGCCATGATAGTCGGTCCAACGACTAATTGGGTAGGTCTTTTGACGACAAATTTGGAAATACCGAGATAGAAGCCCTGCGCACAAAGAGAGGATTTGCTAGCCTTAAGGGTGAACATATCGGAGATTTGACCTAACCAGAGCCGAAATCGTAAGTTTGTGAAATAGTAGCCAGTGTGAGAGAAACACATACCACGCGTCTTCTTTCCTTTGAGGCCGTGATTCACAATTACCAGGCGCATAATTGAATTGCCCACCATTGCAAGTTTCTTATTGCCATCTTCGTTAACCCAGGTCGCGGGTTGGAGTGCCTCCCGGAGCAGAGTTCGGTTGGAAAAAGAATAGTTGATCTTCTGCTCCAAGACCTGGAGTTCCTCGTCCGAGGGTAACTGGAAGATATAACGTCCGAGTTCCATATTGCACTATGTTCCAATGATAACAAAGCTTGGTGAAAGATGATTAAGATAGATGGGAGAGTAGAAGTGTCTAGATGAAGAGAATTTTGGGAGATGAAAGAATTTGAGACAATCACCGGCCTTGCCTGGTTTGCCTAGTTCGGCCGGCTGCAAAATAGCTATTTAGCGACTTTCTGTTTGTCTATAGACAATCAAATCTTACCTCCCTTGCCCGCATAACAAAAATGAGAGTGATCCCGGAGCACTAGGCATAAATGGGGTCTATTGGGTAGTCTATCTATCACAGTCGAACATATCTTATCCGTCAATTATATGATGCGCAGAGGTACAATATATGAGAAGAACAAGAAGTGATGATTAACAATGATGCCAAAGGGACAAAGCCCTGAGAAAGGAGAGGTTTTACACAATTCCTCACCGTGTCAATGGATTATATACCATAAGCAGTGCCTAGGTAGTTTAGATAATGATGGACTTTAACACTTGGCTTAAGGCTCTAGGTATATGTCAAACTTTGAAATCATCCAGTCTCTTTCCTATTTCGTAAATATATGCAGGCGACCTGGGAATATTGAATTCAAATAATGCAAGTGGACTCATGAGATTGAGAAAGCTGAAAGGCTAGGATAAGATAGGACTATAGAATCAAGGAAACTTTCTTCTCCAAGCACCCAGGCAAGCTGAATAATTGATGAAAAAAGGGGAAGGGTCGCATCAACCGGGGGTAGTGTAAGCCCAGCGACACAGTGCAACGAGGCATATGCAATATAGAGGCTAAGTCGCTAAGTCCAAAGATTATAAGTAATAGAAAGATCTACCTGTCGCATCAACCGGGGGTAGTGTAAGCCCAGTGATACAGTGCAACGAGGCATGTGCAAGCACAGAGGCCAAGTCGCCAGGTCAAAGAATTAGGAAGACCTGCAGAAACGTCAGTGGAAGTCGGAACTGGAAGGGGGAAGGGGGATGGGGAGAGAAGAAAAGAAGAAGAAGATTTCTGGGGACAAGAGGCCTTTTATACCTACCCTATACGCGGGTGCACGCAGGTACGCTTGGTAAGAGAGGCGACTTCATGGTGGGAATTTTACGAGCTTTCTTCTCCAAGCACCCAGGCAAGCCGAATAATTGATGAAAAAAAGGAGAAAGGTCGCATCAACCGGGGGTAGTGTAAGCCCAGTGATACAGTGCAACGAGGCATATGCAATATAGAGGCCAAGTCGCTGGGTCCAAAGATTACAAGTAATAGAAAGATCTACCTGTCGCATCAACTGGAGGTGGTGTAAGCCCAGTGATACAGTGCAACGAGGCATATGCAAGCACAGAGGCCAAGTCGCTAGATCAAAAAATAAGACTAGGAAGATATGCGGTAACGTCAGATCTACCTATCAGTCAGAGGGGGTTCGCATCAGCCGGGGGTAGTGTAAGCCCAGTGATGCAGTGTAAGGAATATCTGCAGAAACGTTAGTTGAAGTCGGAACTAGAAGGGGGAAGGGGGATGAGGAGAAAAGAAAAGAAGAAGAAGATTTCTGGGGACAAGAGGCCTTTTATACCCTGTGCACGCGGGTGAATGCCGGTACGCGGGATGCAGTGGATAACTAAGAGAGGTACGCAGGGCTTTGATAGTGCACAAGGTCTCATGATAGAACTTTTACGAGCTTTCTTCTCCAAACACCCGGGCAAGCCGAATAATTGATGAGACTACGTGCATAGTTGGTAGCGAATGAATTAGTACTCGTAGGGAGTATATTCATAGGTCATTAGATCTATAAAAAACAACACAGGCTATGAACTGACATAAGTAATGAAGGTGTGTTCTAAGTATTTGGTTCATTGATGTTATAGTCGTTGGCCAGAAGTAGGCTAATAAACTGATAGCATACAGTCTAAAGGTAAGCAGCCACATTCATATGACCATGCTGCCGTGTCAAGGTCAGGGTATGGTCCGTGTATGCAGGCATAACTACATACAGTTAAACTCAAAGCCGAGCTACTTCCTTGTGTGTAGTCTCGGTATTCATCAAAGCTGCTCGAGATTTCAGGTTCAACCGCTTCCACATGGCCTTGCGGCGTTCATGTCCTTCAAAAAATGCCCGCACCCATTCGCGACGAAATTTGGGCAGCTTTCGTCCCTTGCCCTCCTCCCCCTCGCCGGCTAGATGTCTCACCGTCTCAAAGTAGTCTTCGAAGTCCGGGAAGATCAATGTAAACTTCACGCCATCACCCCGAGCTTTTACACGATCCGCTTCCCATTTTTGCATCACTTCAACAGACGGTAGGGTAGCCCGGCCAGCCAGCAACCGTGCGGCTAGAACAGCTTGCCATTCAAAGACCTTGAACGTCAGACCAGCCGCGACGGCGCCGACAAACAATAATGTCGGGTCTTTTTGCCAAACAACGTGTTGGTACAAATCTGGAACCCGATTATTGCGGACTGGAACTGCTGGGAGGAATGGCAGCGTCCAGCTATAGCCTGTGCCGAAGATTGTGTGGTCAACATCCGTGATGCAGTTGCCATTCGTCAAGTGCACAGTCCTGTTCGAGACTCGTTCTATTGAAGGGTGCTTTTGTATCTTGGGGTGGTTAAATGCCTCATCGCCAAAGTACCCGTTGGCAGCATGGCCAATTGTGATTGCGTGGACTGGTTCCTTTGCCGTTTCAACAAGATCAACTGCGATATCGGCTGCTGAGACAGATGCGCCGACAACCACAACTCGCTGACATTACGTTAGCATGATGACCCTAAAACCTTGAAATTTTGTTGTGAGGAAGTTAGCTTGCCTTGCCAGCAAACTTATCTCTCCCACGGAAGTGCTTGCTGTGAAGTACGCTGCCCGGTCTGGTCTTCTCAAATGCCTCCAGGCCTTCTATTGGGGGTATATAGGGGACCCAGAAGTGGCCACTCGCCACGACTACCGCATCAAACCACTCAACCCACCAGTAATCACTCTTCTCTCCATCTTTTCGGAGTGTTACTTTCCACTCTGTCCCCACCTTCTCGACCCGTTCGACCGTGGTGTTGTATGAGACCCAATCGCTGTAACCCCGGCGCTCGACAAGACTCCGAACGTATTTCCGGACCACATCCCATTTCCGGAATGGGGTTTCGGGTCCGTGGTGAGATATGGAGAGCTCGCTGCGCTCTTCTGGGAAAGGTTCCTGGGCGAACTGCATAGGCAGAAAGTCGATATTGGTTTCCAGGTAGGGGTAAACAGACGACTCAGTAAAGCGAGGCTGATCCGATTTTAGAGTCTGCGCAGGCAAACTTTGGGGGATAGGTAGTGGAGGATCAGCTGTTCTCGTCGCCAGAGATGCGAAGTCGCGGAGCGTTGGAGGCTGGGATGAATCGCCAATCCTGGGGTTTCTTGTCAGTCGTCGCGAATAAGCTCCGGAGAAGATAAACGGACCAACAGCCTCCAGGACCTTCGCGACGCTCAAATACACGGATAATGTCAAAGGTCTTCTCCTGCGCCAGAGCATCTATCGCAATAGCTCCTGCCGGCCCCGCGCCGATTACCGCAACGCGTTTAACAGGCACCATGATAGAGATTGAGGACTAAGACAGCTATAAATTCATCCCGAGGTTAGATTGCGATATATAGATACAATAGGCGAGATCCCGTCGCAAATGCCGATCTGGGGAATTTTAGCACCGATCTAGGGTTCGCTGCTGTCGTCGATTCTGGGCCTTGTCACGCAATTTGGCGTCGCGGGGCTACGGCGTCGAGCCAACCAGTTACGAAGGAAGAAAATCCACATGGCTTCACTTGGGCGGTTTGTCTTCAAATCCCTTCAAATCCCGTTGATATTAAAGCGCGGCGCCCAGAGAGAAAAATTGTGGTTTTATAGTAGTTTGAAGGTCTGGTACGCCTCATTTAGGGAATTTACGGTAGCACGCCATATTATAAATTATGATATGGCAGAGGAGGTAATATCTTGCAGGGATGTCTATAATTTATAGCTAATACTTGCAATATTCATCCTCGGTTATCTCTACCTTGCCTGTCGTTAGGTCTCTTCTACCATCCACGTCTAACGGAGGGAAATGATATAATATGGATGTCAAAATGAACGATGAGAAGCTAGATCTCAAGGATAGCGCCTCTGAGCACTCTACTTCATTATCGCTGCCCTTACCAGAATGGGAACCCAGCCATGAGCAAAAAGCTCGCAGAAAGTAACCACCAATGACACCCCATAGATGAAGTATCAGGATTAGACGCTGACATGAACTTCTCTAAGGATCGATATGTCGGTGCTGCCTCTGCTTTTTCTCGGTCTTCTTGTTTTCCAGCTAGACCGCATGAATATTGCGAGCGCATTGACTGGTGGCTTCGCCGCTGATATCAACGTTTCACAGTCCACAATTAATTTGGGAAATCAGCTCATGTTTATGGGTATCGTGGTGTTTGAGATACCATGTAATATGGCCTTGCAACGAGTATGTACAGTACCAGTTCCCTGGAAGGCCTGCTTCTAATAGTAACTTTGGCAGATTGGTCCTCGCAAGTGGATTTCGGCCCAGGTCTTTCTCTTCGGCTTACTTGCTACCATGCAAGTATTTGTCCACAATCGAGGATCTTTCTTGGCTATACGGCTGCTTCTAGGGTTCGCTGAGGCAGGATATATTCCCGGTGCAGTCTATACTTTGTCGTCGTGGTATACGAAAAGAGAATTAGCTAAGAGAGTTGCGATTTTCTTCTTTGGGATGTTTGGCGGCAACGCTCTAAGCCCTATCCTAGCCTCTGGCATTCTGCTTCTTGATGGTCGACACGGCATTCGAGGATGGCGGTGGCTCTTCCTAAGTATGCATCTTCTAAATACAAGACTTCATTCGCTAACATATCAACAGTCGAGGGGTTGTTCACTATATCTGTCTCATTCCTCCTATTACTATTTCTACCTGGATCACCCGATCTCACCCGGCCATTGTTGAGCCCGGGGATTATCAAATTCACAGATTCCGAGAAGGAGATTCTTCAAAAAAGACTCGAATACGACAATGGCGGAAGTACCGAGGGCGCGTATGGCGTGCGCATTCCATTGAAAGTTGTCTTTCGTACTGTGTGTTGCTACCGTCGCTGGCCGCACTTCATCTCTACATTCGTCGTGTTTTCGACATGGAGTCCTCTAACCACCTACACGCCGTCCATCATCATGTGAGTATTCACTGCCGTTGTAGATGGATGGATCTGAAGCTCATTTATACAGGTCACTCGGATTTGACAGGACAGCAGCAAACGCGCTAGCTGCAGTCGGCGCGTCCCTATCACTTGGAGTTGTATTCTTCTTCGCCTACATAAGTGACCGGACCAACCTCAGAGGTGCAACTGTGATAGCTGCTCAAGCCTGCTATCTGATTGTGTTGATAGTAAATTTCAAGGTCCAGCCCCATGTCGGTAAATGGTCGCGTTGGGGACTATGGACTGCTGTGAACAGTTTCGCTGTGGGATATCATCCCATACATAACTTTTGGGTTCAGATCAACTGTCGAGATCCAAGGGAGCGGAGTATCAGCATCGCGTGCGTTTTTCCTATATTCCTATTTTGACTTGACTAGAGCTGATGAGAGTTGACTGCAGGATGTGGGTTATGTCTGCGATAAGCGGGTTAATGGTTGGGACACAGTATTTCCAAGCAGGAGACAAACCATTGTAAGTTAAGGTATTCTCCGAAGGTAATTACTGGACAGTTGCTGATATCAATCTCAAGTTATTCGACGGGCCTACGTACCATGATCATTATGGTGTCTGTAGGAATCGCCAGTGCTGCAGCGCAGATTGTTATTTATGTCGTTCATAATAGGCGTGTTGCTCAAGGCAAGCACCAGCCCAAGGATGGATCAGCACCTATGGTGTATGTTCCGTGAGGGTAGCGAATCATGAAATCTATAGATGAGGAACTAGTCCACGTTATCTTTTGTGCATAATCCTATTGTTATCTATCACCGAAGACATGCATGATGCTGTTTACATCGGATGCTATGTGCTGCAAGCTTTTCAGTACGGCTTAATAGTAGCCTAACACTTGTTGGATGGGATCTCACGCCTTGGGCTGAACATCCTCAACCTGACTCTGCTCCAGGCTCCCATCATGAGCCATTGTCTGTTCCTGGGCTGAAATTGAGTTAGTAAGGAGTATTAACAGCAAAGAAAAGAGGACTTACTATTCCAAAGCTCTGCATAGGTGCCGTCATGCTCGAGCAACTCGCGGTGTGAGCCCATCTCTGCCACATGACCTTCCTTCAAGACCAAAATCTGGTCACTGTCGGAGATAGTGCGTAGGCGATGAGCCACAAACACGCTTGTGCGGCTCTTCTCTTTGAGAATGCTGTTGATATTCTGGAGGAGCGCCTGCTCCGTGTAGGTATCTAGGGCGGATGTCTATAGAGAGGGTGATTAGTTATCTCAATCAAGTGGGACCAAGGAATGATCACTTACTGCCTCATCGAAGAAGAAGAGTTTCGGGTCCTTCAGGATCAACCGAGAAATTGCTAGCCGCTGCTTCTCACCTCCGGAGATCATCATACCACGCTCACCAACCGCAGTTTGGTAGCCATCAGGCAGACCCTCAATAAGCTTGTGGATGTGGGCTCGTTCCGCAGCTCGGCGCACTTCTTCGTCCGACGCATCAATCCGTCCATAGCGGATGTTATGGGCGATAGTGTCATTGAACAGAGGTGTGTCCTGCGGTACCACTCCAATTGCCTTGCGAAGGCTGTCGACGGTCACATCGCGGATATCTTGGCCGTCAATCAAGATACGACCGGACTGGACGTCATAGAAACGGAAAAGCAGACGTAAGATCGTAGACTTGCCGCAGCCGCTAGGGCCGACAATGGCAAACTTCTGTCCTGCGGGGATAGTGAAGGTGGCATTCTTCAGAATCGGTCGCTCTGGGTGGTAGCCAAACGTGACGTTCTCAAAGCGGATCTGGCCGCCCTGCGTCAGCTGCAGCGGCTTGGCGTTGGGCCGTTCCTTGATGGTGACGTTCACCTTCTGCAGGTTGAAAAGCGTCTCCATGTCCAGCAGGGACTGGCGCAGCTCACGATAGACAGACCCCAAGAAGTTGAGGGGGACTGAGAGCTGGAAGACCAGCTGGTTGACCATGACTAGGTCACCGACGGTCATGGTTCCGTTCGCAACTCCATTGCAAGCCAGGTACATCATTGCGGCCAGCGCAGAGGAGAAGATCATGTTTTGACCAGAGTTGAGGAATGCCAGAGATGTAGTCACCTTGATTGATGCATCTTCATACTTCTTCAGGGCTTTGTCGTATCGTGCCACTTCGAATTTCTCGTTATTGAAGTACTTAACGGCCTCATAGTTGATGAGCGAGTCCACAGCAACGGTTGCTCCGCGGTTATCAGCCGCATTGGCTTGTCTCCGGAATTTTGTTCGCCACGCGGTTGTAGTGATGGTGAACACCGTATAAGCTATCATTGTTGTTGTTGTGATCGCAGCAAATTGGAGGCCATATTGATAAGTCTACAACGCGTTAGTAAGATAGAAACGTAAATATAGGTTCCAAATCATACCAAGATACCGCAGACAAGGGAAATCTCAAGTGCTGTTGGTACTACGTGGAAAACCATGGAGGTAAGGAGGAAGCTGATGCCCTTAGTACCGCGGTCAATTGCACGAGTCAGACCTCCGGTCTGCCGAGACAGGTGGAAGTTGAGATCCAGTCGCAACAGATGTTCAAAAACATTTGACGCCACCTTCCGAATTGCCTTTTGCGCAACGCTAGCAAAGACCGCATTACGGAGCTCTTGAAACAATGTAGCTCCGATTCGGGTCACACCGTCTAAGACATATTAGCGACAAGTCTCTCTTCGATATGCTGTTATCCTTACATGCAATAATCATTGACCCAGCCACGGTATAGGCAGTTCCACCGACGGTAGCAAAGTCTATATTCATGGAGTCGACAATGTTCTTGAAGTAGAAGGGGATTTCCACATTGAGGATCTATTGGATTCATATAAGCATATTTTAACGAAAACACAATAACAGACGAAACTTGCCTTTGCACCAATAAGCAGTGAAAGTGCTGTGCCGACACGGAGCTTCGTGCCCCAATCATCCTACCAGCTATAGTTAATACCCTGTTACTCCATACCAATTGCACTCGAGGCTTACCTTTGGCCACAGATACTTGGCCATTTCTTTCATAATAGCCCAGTCAGCCTTTCTTTGTTCTTTCTTTCCAGCCATTGGCTCGCTCAGCAAGTCCTTCTTCGGTGGGGTCTTCGCATTGCCGCTACCTTCCGGCTTCTGGATGATATTGGCGTCTGCTAGTTGTGATGAGGCGGGAGTAGAGGTAGGAGTAGCTTTGACAGATGCGTGATCTTTCTTGTCTGTGTCTGTGGATTGACTCCATAATGAACTCTTATTTGATGTGAATGCGCGCAGGTGTGTTCCATTGAGTCGTGTGCTTCGTGGCTTGCCGGCGAAGCTCGGATAGGTGAATTGTGCTGTGCGCCAGCACGGCGATCGTGCGGCTCTGAGCAGCATGGCCGCTAGGAATAATATTCTCTAAGCTCCTGAGTAGTTCAGACCACCGAGAGGAGCTTCGGAATAAGTAAGAAAGATTGGCGCGCAAGGTAGCTATGTCTCCGGATAGCTCGTGGGGGGAAATCGCCGGCTTCGGAGTAAAAACCGTCGCTCTCGATTCGACTCCGGGATGGTCGCAAATAGTCAAGCAGAAGTAAGATGTAAAGGGAGAATGAGGGTAATTCAAAGACTTCTTATAATAAAGCTTCCAAATGTCGCAATTCAGAGGGGCAGTTGTGTACTTCGTAGGCCGCATGGCTCTCGGGCCCACGATTTCCCGATTTCCCTTTCGTCACAACTGACGTAAATTCTCCCTTCGGTAGTCTTTGCTCTTTTTTCAAACACCATGCGCCCCCTCCAAGGTGTTCGCCCTCTATCCTGGACTCGAGTCGTTCCTCGCGTTCACCGGCAAACGCGATGCGTTCAGATTCGCGCCGCGCCCTCGGGAGTGCCTTCGGTTAGTGGCGATAATCTGCCACTCGCTAGCACGCCCAGCTCTGTTGAATCACGAGGTAATTGCAATTGCCCCGGGACATATTATTATGGCACTGACCATGAGGGCACATAGATGCGCGCTTCGATGTTGTCGGCGCTCCATACTCGCTTCTTTCGGTTTCGCTCTCGGCCTCGCAGAACCTATACACACGACGAGGAACGCTGGTTGGATTGAGCGGAAAGGCGGATAATGTACACTATCCCGTCATGATGTTGTCACGAAGGAATGGTGATACTAACGCATAATCCGCGCAGGTGATTTCCACATTGAGCGTTCTAGAACCCTTCCGGAGGGCTATCGTCGGAGTGCCATTTCTTTATCAGAAGGTAAGATGCGCGATGCAGATGCGGATTTGAAGACAGCGATTGACAGTTTCCTAGATCTCCTCGCCAAGTCCTGTCACAGCTCTTGTCTCCGTTCGATCGCCCAATACCTCATTCGCCGTTGTCAACGTCAATGGTTCCGTTGACTGGATGGTTGCCCAAAGACGGGCTTTGCTTGCATGGACGGGCCGGTCTCTGACCATCAAGCCTACTATCAACGCAAACCTAGTGAGTGGAACTACGATTCCGTGGGGAAACATCAAGCTAATTTGCGCAGAGCTTGTCTCATTGGGGTAGCTCCGAGGTGACCGGCAGAGGTTTAATAGCGTTGGTCGGAAACGGACAGCTATACTCTGTCGAATTGAAGGATGGAGAGCAATACATTGCGCATCCCAGGTATGACCCTCGCCGCGATTGCACTGACGTCGCTAATATCTGATCGACAGCAATGTGGTCGCTTACACCATGGCCTCCAATCCTCCTCGCCCCTACCGTTTCAAATCCACCACTCTCAACTTCCAGGTTCCGGGTCTGAAGACGCTACCAAGACTTCTACAGAATGCCAAGTTCGTTCGTGACGTGTCTGATTCCAAGGCATACAAAATTGCTATGCAGTGGTTCCACAAGCTGCGTACTTGGTCTCGAATGACCATCTGGGGAGATAGAGTATGGCACCCCATTTTGGTCCTTCATTCTTTGCCAACTAACAATGTCGTCTAGCTCTTCCTGCAGTTTGATGGTCCCACAACCGTCCTCATCCAATCCCGTGGTCCTCGCCTCAACGACGTTTTGTCCGCGCAGGAAGTTAATGAGATTGCCAATGTCCCTAGTGGCTTCACCTTGTCCCCTAGTACATCCGCTCCTCGGTCCACCGAAAGCGGGAAGGAAATAGAGGAAAAGCCAGTAGACGAAAGGACAGAAGCCGAAAAGGCCGTCAGCAATGTCCCTGGCCTGACGCGCTCTGTCCAGGAACTAGAGAATGACATCGAAGGGACGCGCCGAAGCGTTGCAGAGATTCGCAAAGATGGGAAGGTCAAATTCGACGAAGTTTCTCGCACAAACTAAATAGAAAGACTCGCTTGAAAGGGTCGACTTGGAGGAGTTCTCTTCGCATTGGGTTTTGTACGGGCTAGGGCTAGAGCGGTCTCCATTTGGGATGATTATCACGTTACATCCTGTACAGTATGGGCATTTCTTTTATCTTGGCAATTGCCGACAAATCTCTTTTTCTTGCTTCTGATATACAACATACGAATCCTCGCTACCTTCGAGTAGAAAGAATGCAATAAGACATGGCTCCAGAAAATCGTATGAGAAAGATGCCACATAAGGCTATTGAAGAGGGACAGGAAGCTGGAATATTCTTCATACGAAGCGGTATACCTAGGTAGCTACCAGGGTTCAACCCCCGAGTGATATTGATCCTGAGTACCTGAGTTAGTACCTCTATTTTTGACCGCTTTCGACACCGCTCTATTGTGTACTGTAAGCATGTTGTATCTGTACATTGGATTGGAGCCATTCAGGTGAACTTGGGTACTTTGCTTTTAGTACGGTGTCTGTAATATATTTTCTGCCGGAAATAAACCGCTAAGTAAAAGGTTCAATATTCACCTTTCACTATCGGTGACTATCCTCCTTCATTGGCTTGAATTCAACTTCGATCCGATCCATACCGATCCCCCGTTTCTTTGCATCCTCGATGATCGCAACAGTGGCAGTAGCCCCAATTCGAGTCACGCCAAGACTCATGACATGAAGCAAATCATCAAGAGTCCTCACACCCCCAGCAGCTTTAATTTGAACATCGGGGCCGGAATACTGACGCATTAACCTGAGATGCTTCACAGTCGCCCCTTTGTAGTTGTAGGAACCATCAGCCTGCTTGACGAAGCCGTACCCGGTAGAAGTCTTGACAAAAGCAACACTTGACTCGGTGCAGATCTTACAAAGATGTACAATATGCTCAGGCTTGAGGTAATCGGTTTCGAAAATGACCTTGAGGATAGCGCCCTTTTGCACGACTGCGGTGTTGATCTGCTCGATTTCCTGGGAGACATATCCCCAGTCACCACCGAGGACTTTGCCGATGTTAACGACCATGTCAATCTCATGACTACCGGCTTCGACTGCGGCAGTGGCTTCCTGCACCTTGATTTCCGTGGTGCTGTTACCGTGCGGGAAGCCGATGACAGCACATATCTCCACGTCTGTGTCTTGGAGCTCTTGCTTGGCTAGTTGGATATGGTAAGGCTTCACACAAGCTGTCGCGACATTGTATTCCTTGGCAACTCTGAGGCCGGCGATGACGTCCCCGTCTGTCACTGTTGGGTGAAGGAGGGAGTGGTCGATCATTTTGGCCAGTTGGTGAAGGCTCACAGCCAGAGTGTTGACTTGGGCCATCGTGGTGACAATAATTTGGGAAACTAGAAATTGATAGCTGTAGAATATTATAATGTGACGTTGGGTGGGGGTTGTACAACACAGCTCCCTTTGAGTAACTATAGTATGGACTCACTTTGTACATACTTTCGAAACTATATAGTTCAGAGTGGAAGGCGCTGTATCTCTCAAATGCGATGCCTATCAACCAAATCCAATAGCCAAAATCCGATCCATAGTGATAACTACTAACTGGCTATTACATTGACCTTGACGTCGTACTCATACATATAAAAGTGCGCCTTTTCCCAGACAGACCCTACAAAAGGTACAAGGTCGAACAATTTTGGTCAAAATGACTGTAACAGCCAATGAATATCAGAGATTATGCTGTTTCAGCTGCATCTAACCAAAATGATATGTTTCATATGTTTTGAACTCGAATGACATTCATTGCCCAAACGAGTAATATCCCGAAGAGCTAGCTAAATCCGCCTCGGACTTCGGGCCATCGCAGACATGTCCGACCACTGCAGCCTTCCAGGGCCAGTGAGGATCCAGACCCCGGGTTCTGTGAGATATTGGCCAATCGCAGTGAAGCAACGATGCTTTTCCCTGGAGGGCTTTCCCTGGACTAGTACGGAGTATGAAAAGCATAATTAAGCAGCTCGGACTTAGCTAGAAACCGATTGACCGATTGACCGAAGTCCCTTTGCATTTTTTTTTGCAGGTCTTTTCTCCTTTAAATATCCCAAATGAAGGCCGACTTAGCATCTTTGAAACTGAAACGGAACCAGAAGCTCGGAATATTGTAATCTGCAAGAGTCCTGAAGCTTGAGACCAAACGCCTGGGCCGACGTTGAGGTGAGTTTCGAATCGATCTTGTCCAACGCACAATCTTGTTTCTTAATTTTATACTTCCCGTCTTCGTTTGGGGTCTATAAATTGGGGGTCTTCTTTCAAAATGCAATATCTAATACCTCAAAGCAGATTACAGTTCCAGTCTACTCGAAACTTCCTCTATGTCAACAAAGATGGCCAACAAGCAGACTGGGATGGCTCCCTCTATCGACAGTACCACCACCACACCCGCCGTGAGTGTGCATGGAAATAATGACCCGGAGAAAGGACTCCCATCGGAAAAAAAAGAAGCGCAACCTGTCGAGAAGTCAGTCGCTGCTGGTCCAGCACCCTCCGCACCGGCGATCGGTCCCCCACCAGATGGAGGTGCGCAGGCATGGCTGGTTGTATTAGGAGCTTTCTGTGGACTATTCGTCAGCTTCGGCTGGATCAATTGTAAGTACTGTCAGAATACATGGACCCAACGGGATACTGATATCATCCAGGCATCGGAGTCTTCCAAACATGCTATCAAAGCCACCAACTGAGCGAGTTCTCTACCAGCACAGTAACATGGATCACATCGCTAGAGACCTTCATGATGTTCTTCTGCGTGCGTATCCCATCCCCCAGAGTCAGCTTTATGAAGACCCATCCTAATATCCTCTTAGGGCCCAATCTTCGGAACTATGTTCGACAGCTACGGTCCGCGCTGGGTCCTTCTCCTCGGTACATTCCTCCACGTCTTCGGCCTGATGATGGCTTCCCTCTCAACAGAGTACTACCAATTCATCCTCGCACAAGGAATCTGCAGCCCAATCGGCGCGAGCGCCATCTTCAACGCCTCCGTCAACTCCGTCAGCACCTGGTTCGCTAAGCGCCGTGGTTTCGCCCTCGGCGTAACAGCCTCTGGATCGAGTCTGGGCGGAGTCATCTTCCCTATCATGGTCAGCCAACTGATTCCCAAAGTCGGGTTCCCCTGGGCGATGAGAATCTGCGCCTTCCTCATTTTGTTCATGTTGGGTATCGCCAATCTCACGCTCAAATCGAGATTACCGCATCACCCAAAGCCATTCCATATCAAGCTTTTCCTGAGACCGTTGGCGGAGATCAAGTTCGCGCTTACGCTTGCTGGTGCCTTTTTCTTCTTCTGGGGCATGTTCTTGCCCTTCACTTTTGTGATTACCCAGGCCGAGCGATATGGCATGTCTGGCGATCTGTCCGGGTATCTGATTCCGATTTTGAATGCTGCTAGGTAAGTTCTCTCCCTGTCTAGTTCATACACTTCACCTCGTTCATGAACTAACACAATCCAAATAGTATCCTCGGCCGCACACTCCCGGGCTATTACGCCGACAAAGTTGGCCGCTACAACATGATGGTGATAACAACGTTCTTCTCCGCCATCATCGTCCTGGCCCTCTGGCTACCGTCAAGAGGCAATGCCCCGGCAATTGTGTTCAGCGCTCTATATGGCTTCGGCTCTGGTGCATTCGTCTCGCTCGCACCGGCTCTTGTGGCGCAGATATCCGATCTTCGCCAAGTGGGCGTGCGCAACGGCACTTTCTTTGCTGTCATCTCGTTTGCGGCCTTGACAGGTACTCCTATTGGAGGTGCTTTGGTGCCGGATGTTCTCCATGGCAGTTATACCAAGCTACAGATATTCTGTGGTGTTGTCATGATTGTCGGGTCGGTTTTCTTTGTTTTCGCCAGGGGCGCTGTTGGTGGATTCAAACTTAACAAGGTATAACTATGCGGCCTTTGGGTCTTATTAGACTAGACTTTTTTTCGGGTTTTGATCTTTTATAATTCTCCATGTTTAATAGATAATCTCCCCTTTATTGAGGACAAGAGTTAACGAAATATGACATACTCCTCGAGAACACTGAGTACCTCCACATCACTATCAGCGCCGTGTATGTCGGCTTTGGGCCTTCGGATATATGGGACGGTCTTGAGCAAGGAGTCACGGCCCCGGGCAGACTCAAGTTGCGTTGTCGCTCTATGTTCGTGTCATAGGAGGGATTGCTCATGGGGCTGCTAGTTTGGGGTCAGGTCCTAAGAAGCAGTGTGCCGGGGTAAACCGAGGGGTTATACCAAGACCACGAGGATGAAAGATTAGGAATGTTAGAGAGGATATTGTATTGAAGATAAGTCCACCGAGGTGGTCATATCTTCTAGTCAGCAACCAAGGAAACATTGGAAAGGATCTTGGATCAAGTATAATGAAAGGGTTATGACAAAAGAACGCGATGAGGATGTCTCTAAAGCACCTAAGGTGGATTCAGAAGATAGAACAAAACATTCAACAAAAGTATAGACAGGAAACGCCATAGCACCGTCGCTGAATGATGATGCATGAAAAAAAAGAAGAGAGAAACACCGTTATGCTCCGGTATATGCCGCCAAAAGATGCAACAATTAATTAAGCCAATACCCCTTGTCTCATGTTCTGAACCGTCTTGACCCCAACGCCTTTCAGCTGGCTCAGTTGTGCCAGGCTGGTGACCTGGAATTGGAGCTGGTCTGAGACGACTCCGCTGTCGGTTGTATCCACTGTAGGCTGGTCCATCTCGCAGAGGCAATCAACAAGAGCCTCTGCCTTTTTGGCACCCACTCCCTTGAGCAATCTGATCCGGCTCACGTCCCGCGAGTTGATGATGGAAAGAATATGCTTAGTTCGGGGAGAGAGGGATGGGTCCTCACTGTCAAGGAGTTCGGGGGCTTCCTCGACCTGGCCGAGCTTGGCTGCAGCACGCTTCTTATGTTTTTGGCGAAGAACATCCTCGCCACTCGAGAAACCGGCATGAGTCTGGTCTATATAGCTATCCTCATGAGTCTCTGCTTGGCGTTTGCCGAGGGTTTGTGTTACGTCCTTCTTAAGGGAGAGCATGCTACCCAGCCTCCCCTTGGGCGGGGAATCGGGTTTCTCTTCCCAAGCCTTTGCATGAACCCGTTCCTGCAAGGCAGCAATCTTGGCTGCCAGCTTCTCGTTGTGAGGGAAGTGAGGAGCTGCCAGCTGGTACATTCTCAGGGCTGACCCGTCTTCACCATGTGCCTGATGTTGTTTAGCCATCAGCAGGTATGACAGACCCTCAGCCCGTGCATCTTCTGTGCCATCAATGCGCTGCTCCAACTGCTCCAATCGCTTTTGAAGCTGCTCATTAAGCTCATGGACTTGTGTCTGCCGCGATTGTTCGCTCACAGCCCGCACAGCTAAGATCTCCTCAACCTTCCTCTCAACCATCTCCTCAATCCTAGCAGCCGAGAAGTCATCATGACGCGCGGTGGGTTGCACACCCAGGGGCTGACGGGCGGGCTTCAATGACGGAAGGCCGGAGGGGGCATTGGAGATTGAGGTGCGTTTCGGTGCTTCCAGTTTTCGGATCTGGCTGATAAGCTTGGGTTGGGGCTTGTCCGAGTATACGCTGAATGCCTTAACGGGTTTGCCCTCTTCCTTTTCTGCGGTGTCCTTCGCAGCAGGCGCCGGCATATTTACATTCACAGAAGCAGTCAGTGCACGTAGAGGTTGCCGCGTACCCATAGATGGCCGAATAGATGGCCGGGCCGGACCCTTGAACATGGGATCATTTTCGACCTCTCGGACCTCGATCTTCCGTGTGCGATTGGCGACGTTTAGAGAGCTAATTGTGTCAAGGTGGTAAGACCGGACAGGCGCAAGGTTGAGAATCATCACTGTCAATCCATTGTTCTGTCCCAAGGACAAAATTCTTGTCATCTTGGACTCGCGGTACGGGATGCGGTGCTGCTTCTTGTTGATAGCCTCGACACACTGTGCCAGAACGAAAAGACTCTTGTTGATGCTAGCCGATTCCACCATGCGCTCTTTGTCATTTTCCGTCCGTCTATTGTCTTCGGATCCCGCGAGATCAATAGCGGAAGCAGTGCTGACGCGAACCTTGTCAGGAGAGGAGATGGTGACCTTCACACCGAGAACGGCGTGAGATCGAGATGAATGGGCGTTGAGCTATGTTGTATGTTTAGCGAGAGAATATGGGCCCTAGCTTTCGGCGTGGTATCATACCTTTGTCGCGGAGGTGGAACGGTTAGTGTTAGCCTGGTCATAAAGCTGCTCAAACTCCTTCAAAGTGGTACACGGCTTCTCGCTCAGCCCGCAAACCACAGTCTTGCCACCATTATCCCGCAGGGGAAGACCTGACATTGTGCGCTTCTCGGGCGGCTCAAACAAGTCGTACACCTTGTCATTGTAGATTTCATAATAACTCAGGGCGACCTGGACTGTCGTCTCTCCCTCGCTGTCCTTTTCAATCTTCCGGCTACGTCGGTAGATTCCACTGAGCAGCCGCGGGATTACACCCCGGTCAGCCAGTGTTTTCCCGCCCCGCATTGTGTGTGTTTTGCCTGTTCCGGTGACACCGTATGCGAAAAGGGTCACGTCGAATCCGTTGAGAAGATGCTTAATTGTTGGGGACACTGTGAACCGGATCAATATACTGACCCATCGCAGACCAGATGAGCTTAAAACAAGAACTTACCCTCAGCATCGAACAGCTCCTGCTGCGATACCTCTGCGCCGTACACGCCATTGAACTGGAACGCATACTCCTCCCCCTCATTCTTGGGGTTCGGAATTCGAACCACATTATCTCTGTCCCTCAATGCTGCCAATTTCTTGTCACTCTTGTCACTCTTGTCGCCATTGATTGACTGGCGTGATTTATCGGTGATGGCGGAAGATCCTGTACGAACGATCACATCGGCCTCCCGTTCGGACTTGAGAAGGGGACGGATACGCGCGACAACTCGGACACTCATTGTGGCGGGGTGTTCATTCAATTGTCGTGTGATGGTCTGGGTCCTGGTCGTCAGGGATGCGATGCAATCCAATCAAAACAAACTGAAGGAATGGCTAGAACGAAATGTAAAGCCAAAAAAAGACAATAATCAAGAACAATAAGGTCCTCCCCCTAAAAACAAAGAAACAAAACTAACTACTCGGTGTATGCAGAACTGAAGGTTGTGGAACGTGTGGAGGAGTTCTCGTGTGCAGCAGCCGATGTGGTTAGTGTTGGCAGGGCAACCGCCTCTTTCGACAACACATCTTACATACTAGTACATTCTTAAGACTCGAGCACCACAATGGGGATATCTAATTGTCCGGTACAAATTTAGCAAAGTAATCAGCTTGCAAATCGCGTAGTCTCATTATCATAATTGACAGTACAGGAGAATCTGTGGATGTGCTCTACGCTTGGACCAGGGATTAGGTGTTCAGTCTGACCAGCCCAGATACTTAGAAACATATATAGGTCAGCTCGACGACAGTAAATAGTACATATATATCTGCATATGCAAATATCCCAGCATTGATATCTAAATGGTCTCGTACTCGATATCAAATGTTGTCGTACAGTATAAAAACACCTCTCGTCACATGTTCTCTGAACTCTGATTGGCTGGAGCGCCACGACCTAAAGGCCACCGTAGACCATCATCACCGCCTCTCCCACACTCCCTTGGTTTCTTCTGGTGAGCTGTCTTTTGCCTCGCTACTGCCTTTTGTGATACTTCTGGGCTTTCTAAAGGTACAGCTACCCCGTACGCAACCAGGTTCACCCTGTTCCGTTGACGAGAAACTGATTGTGGGGTTCCAGGAGCTGTTACCACCCGTCTCCTCACATCGATTCCACCCGCCGACTTCGTGACAAGCGCAACCCTCTTTTCCTCCCAACCGTTAAGTGCGACTAAACACAATCTACTCGACTCTAATGGCAGCACCACAAGGGGGCTTCCCCCCTCAGGAAGGCTATGCCCAGCCCGCCTACGGCACCCCAGAACCCACACAATCCCCGGTATATGGGCAAGGCGCACCCGCACCAGCTGCAGGCGGAAAGAAGAAGAGAGCGTACGCTGGTGAGGCATTTGATTTCGGTTCTGGCGCCAATGCCGCGCTAGGTGGACAACCCACGGCTGGGGGTGCTTACGGGGCCTATCCTCCACAGCCCCAAGTTGTAGGGTATCAACAACCCGCCTACGGTGCGGACCCCAACATGATGCAGCCCGCAGCATACGGCGCACCTGTTTCCGCAGATGTCTCGCAGATGACCCAGCAATTCGGTGGAATGGGCATGAGCGAGCCTCATCACATGCCACCCCCGCAGCCCGTGGCCCAAGCCCCTATGCGACCTCAAGTCCAGCTCAACCAGCTTTACCCCACGGATCTTCGATCCCAACCTTTCAACGTCGCTGAGCTGGACTATCCCCCTCCTCCAATTATTTTACCCCCGGGAGTACGTATAGATGCCATGTTGCGCATATGGTTGATATGCTTACAATCGACAGACCAGTGTTTACCCGTCGGAAGCCAATTGCCCTACGAAATATATGCGATCTACGCTCAACGCTGTCCCCACAACCAACTCACTCCTGAAGAAATCAAAGTTGCCCTTCGCCCTTGTCATTCAACCGTATGCTTCTCTTCACGACGCCGAGGACCCTATCCCTGTGATTCCAGACCAAGTCATCTCACGATGCCGACGTTGTCGCTCTTATATCAACCCCTTCGTTACCTTCCTCGACCATGGCCACCGCTGGCGTTGTAACATGTGCAACCTGACGAACGACGTGCCACAAGCCTTCGATTGGGATGCTACACTGCAAAAGCCCGCCGACCGTGAGCTCCGTGCCGATCTCAACCACAGCATGGTCGAATTCGTTGCGCCGCAGGAATACATGGTCCGACCACCTCAACCGCTGGTTTACCTCTTCTTGATCGATGTAAGTTATGCATCGGTGACCAACGGTCTTTTGGCCACTACCGCTCGCACCATCCAAGAGAGCCTCGATCGTATCCCGAACGCAGATCGGCGTACTCGCCTCGGTTTTATTGCAGTGGACTCAAGCTTGCACTACTTCAGCATTCCTCGAGACGATTCCGAGTCTTCGGAGCCCCGGATGTTGGTTGTCAGTGATCTGGACGAGCCTTTCCTTCCCATCCCTGGTGATCTCCTGGTGACGCTGAGCGAATGCCGGGAGAACATTGAGATATTCCTCCGCAAGCTGCAAGAAATGTTCCAGAACACCCAAAACAACAGCTGCGCCATGGGTGCGGCATTGCGAGCTGGTTACATGTTGATCTCCCCCGTTGGTGGAAAGATGACTGTTCTGAGCTCATCTTTGCCTAACACTGGTCACGGAGCGCTCACTATGAGAGAAGACAAGAAGGTGCTGGGCACCAGCAAGGAATCGAGTCTGCTTCAAACCGCAAACTCTTTCTACAAGAGCTTTGCAGTTGAATGTTCAAAATCACAAGTCTCCGTGGATATGTTCCTCTTCTCATCGCAATACCAAGATGTGGCCTCGTTGAGCTGCTTGCCCCGCTACACTGGTGGTCAAACCTACTTCTACCCTGGCTGGAACGCTGCACGAAGTGAAGATGCCATGAAGTTCGCCCGTGAGTTCTCTGACTACCTCTCTTCGGAGATTGGTCTGGAGGCCGTCCTCCGCGTGCGCGCAACAACCGGTCTGCGTATGAGCACCTTTTACGGCAACTTCTTTAACCGTAGTTCCGATCTCTGTGCTTTCCCGGCCTTCCCTCGTGACCAGGCCTACGTGGTCGAGGTGGCCATTGATGAGACAGTTACAAAGCCGGTCGTCTGCATGCAGGCGGCTGTCCTCCACACTACCTGCAACGGTGAACGTCGTATCCGTGTCTTGACCCTGGCGCTTCCAACGACCCAGAACCTGGCAGACGTCTTCGCCTCGGCTGACCAGCAGGCCATTGCCACATTCTTCAGCCACAAGGCTGTCGAGCGCACATTGAGCAGCGGTCTCGAGCCCGCTCGTGAGGCTCTTCAGGCTAAGATCGTAGAGCTTCTGCAGACCTACCGCAAGGAGCTCGCAGGTGGTAGCGTTAGCGGCGGTGGCCTCCAGTTCCCTGCCAACTTGCGAGCCTTGCCTGTCCTATTCCTTGCAATGATCAAGAACGTGAGTTTTATCTTTGGTTGTGATAGCTGTTCTATACTAATCGAGTATTTAGCTTGGTCTTCGCAAATCCGCCCAGATTCCCACGGACATGCGGTCCGCAGCTCTCTGCCTTCTCTCGACCCTACCCCTGCCGCTCCTCATCCAATATATCTACCCGAGAATGTACTCACTCCATGACATGCCCGACAATGCGGGTGTGCCTGATCCACAGACCGGCGAAATCCTCTTGCCCCCTGCTGTCAACTTGTCTTCGGCTCGCCTCGTGCCTTACGGCCTGTACCTCATCGACGATGGCCAGACCCAGTTCCTCTGGGTTGGCCGCGATGCTGTTTCGCAGCTCATCGAGGATGTCTTTGGCGTCCCTGACAAGTCGCAGTTGCGGGTGGGCAAGCAAACCCTCCCCGACGTCGAGAACGAGTTCAACCAGCGTGTGCGGGCCGTAGTTGAGAAGAGTCGGGACCACCGGGCCAAGGGTGTGGGCAGCATTATCGTGCCTCACCTGTACGTCGTTCGCGAAGATGGTGAACCCGGTCTGCGTCTCTGGGCTCAGACGATGCTGGTGGAGGACCGTGCCGACCAAAGCGTCAGCTTGGATCAGTGGATGGGTTCCTTGCAAGAGAAGGTTTGAGCCCTCTGCTCTGGCCATAGTATCGGTCAGCACTGACGATTTGCTCGCAGGTCGTGCAGTAATGTGGAGCTGACCGGCCGGTCTCGGTTGACCATGAAATTCGTGTTTTCGCGAGCTCTCCCGCCTGTACCATTACGTTGGGAAGATTGCGTTTGGCTTTCTATCACGGCGGGCATGTTTGGATTATCTAGTACTAGTAGATCGCTGAGTTATAGTTGACAGGCGATAGACGCTGATCGCATCTATGAAGAATTAACGGTATCATTTTTCCACTATTTTATTGCGGAGCGAAGCGAAGCAATCATGAGAATATCCATGGGAGGGATGGCACCTCAGATGGTTTTTAGCAAATTGATCCAGTCCAATCGAATCAAATGGTCTAATTGTTGAAAAGAGAGTGCTCGGTCCCATTCACGCCCCCAATTCAGGTTTAGTGATGCTTGGGTAGTAGTCTAGTGCACTAACGCACCGGGGTAGTAACGAGATTATATCCCTGCACTTTCCTATCTGGCGACCCCCCATTTGACATTTCACCCCTAGTTTACCTCTTTCAGTACTTCTCACCATGTTACCTTCGAGAGATGACATAGCGAAGTTCATTTCCATCGCTCCAGAGGCTAATGAAGGGACGGCCCTCAGATTCTTGGAGGTAAGACATTCAATCACTTTCCTTTTTTCCTACACTAACACATCTATTCCAGGGCGCGGAAACCATTGATGATGCTATTAGTCGGTATTATGAGGCTCAAAATGAAGCTATAACTCCAAGTTTGCCTACTATAGATGCCGAGGTTGATATACGGAACTGCCCCCCACCGTATGCACGTTCAGTGATAAGAGAGCTTGCACACCATCACACCAATAAATTTATTGAAGCTGCCGAGGTCCGCTCTAAAGATGAAGTACGATATAGAATACTTTCGTCTTGATAAAGTGCTAACATTTGTCTGCTCTGATAGCAAGATATGAAGGCCGCCCTACACGGCATCCAGCAGGCCTGTCGCATTTTCAATAAGGATATTGAACCAGAGCATACCACACAGTTTTATAATTGTAATTGCGATGTCCACAAATACAAAGACAGAAAGGCTGCCCGCCTTCATATTCAGGAAATATGGTCCAAAGCAGTCATCTATCCAGGTCAGCTTTGCCAATTTGACGATATAAGTTGCGTTGTGGTCTCACTTTCTTTCTCGACCAGGTGAATCAGCCTATCATGATAGTCATTCGTCGGCTCTCATCATGAAAAACCCATATAGCCGTGTGCCCTCGCCTTTTCCGGTTACAACTCCCGGGACTTACAACAAGGCGAAACCTACTCCGTCCGGCTACAGCCAGCATCTTCAAAGGATGGTACAGTTGAATGCAACCCTCAATGCTGCGGCACAGGCTGTCATTGATTCCAAAGAGCCAGCATCTACCATATGGGATAGCGAAGACCCAGAGACCTCTGTGCCGAATGAGGCTGACACCACAGCTTCTCCTAATACCCAGCAACCAGCAGAAAATCCCCCCATAGAGAGCTCCAAGCCATCGGCATTTGGCAGTTTGAAGAAGATGTTATCCAAGAAGACGCCAGAGGAGAAGGCAGAGAAAGCAGCTAGTCACACCAGAGAGCTACGCATGGCCATCCTAGAGGAGGAGCAAGGCAGGTGGCCAAATCAAGAATGGCGACAGCTCGTGATAGTGTACCAAGAAACAGCCGGGACAAGTCAAAAGATCGCCGATCTTCGAGCCCGATGCCCAATTCAGTATCTCCACCTCCTCCGGGCAGGATATTTCGAGCCTATCCCAGAGGATTGGGCGAAATCCACGTCCAACCCGCTCAGATTGAGCATTGACGCAGTTGGTGGGTGGAGAGGAGTCACTCCCGGTTGGAGAGGATACAAAGATCTCGCCGAGGAACGTCTATACTGGGTCAGCAATAACACAGAGGGCATTGTTGGAAACAAGATGAAGCCTGATGTCATCTCTGCGATGAACATGGCTCGATATAGGATGGAATCCGCAATTGGAACACCTGCGGAATACTTCTCTCGCGATGATATCTGCAAGGCTCAATCCATCTCCGAGACTTACTCGAAGCAGGTTATGACTCCTTTCAGACCCTTACGGGAGCCGGCAGCTCCTCTAGACGAGACTATGATCCTGTTAGAGGTCTCTGAATCTATGAACTCTGCACCGCTTCGCCCGAATCATAATGAGCATCTCATTACAGGTTATTCCGCCTCTAAGCAGCCCAAGAGCAAAGGTGATATCACCCTCCGACCAGTCTATATCAGATACTAAGTTCAATAAATAGATATTGCCCAGGCCATCGTACGTCGCTTTTCCCAAGCAATGATCAATCACGACCATGATAGCCGAGGCTACCAGCTCGTCACATTCGCGGATCAGGCCCGCTACATGGGCCACATCAACCACCAGAATTTCGAACAAATATGGCCAAACATTAGATTTGGAGGGGAGACTCGACTGATGCTAGGCTGGCAAAGAGCCAAGGAACTCCATTTCCAAAAGCACTCTCGGACAGCAATTTACCATCCTATGTACGGATGGCAAGCCGGTCCACAAACACCCATACTGCGACTGCTTATCGTCCTCGACGGTGAAGCACCAGACATGAACGAATTCCAGCTCGATCTTCTTGGTCTGTCCTGGGTGTATGTCACGATCTTCCTAGTAGGTGCAGAGCAGTGTCCAAATCACCATCGTCTTGCGAACGAGCTGCAGATAATCAGCAATACCAATCCCCGGGTCTCTTTCCTGGATGCACAGGGGAACATGCCGGAGCGTTTCATCGCCCATGAACTGCTCAAGCGACATCTCCGATACAATGTTTCGTTCGCTGATTTTGAGACGCTGGAGCAGGCGATGGTGGATCTCCCATCGTATGTAGAGTAACTACAGTCTGATGGAGCATCAACCATGATTAGGCCCATATTTATATTGTCTTCTGTTGCAAGCTATCATGTTCTCCTCACTCCAATTAAACCTAGGCCGCTGCTACCGTTATCAATCCAACTTGCAAGTTTATTTCTAGAAGTAAGCTTTGACCCGAACATAGTGATGGTCTATATATATCAGACCATTAGTAGAATCCACATCCACATTTCTATTTTGAGTGTATATTTTAGCGCCATGCTCAAGCGTAAGCCCTGAAACAAATAAGTAACCTCATGAAAGGCCTGATGAGGAGAATCACACGGCCTACAATCGGAGTCCATTGACCTCACCATATGCGCATGACCTACTCCGTATACTTGTTTTACCTGAGATTCAGTGTCTCAGACCCAATTAACAGGACCCCCCTGTGACTAGTGAAACTAGGAGTGGTGGATTCTCCAATCAGGATGAAACCAGCACCTCCTATGTTGGTGGAGCGGGAAAAGGTGATTGTGACAAGTTTCGTCCGGTGCAGTAGCGCCGTCCAGCGGCCAACGAGCGTGACAGGCGAGAGACTTTGGCGCCGTGGCGGAGATCTGAGGATCGCTGTGGTGGGATGTACATGGGGGATACTTGTCAATGTATGGGTCCCTTGTAGATAAATTAAGTACCCCCAGGTACTGGTGGAGACACTTTGATGGTGATCCAAGGTTCCACGGCCATCAACCCAGCGAAAGCGCCAGGGGGAAAACAGCGACAGACCAACTTCTTCTTCTCTTCCTCGACCTCCTCGTCTTCACTCCGCTCGCTCTGGGATCGTCGCTCACCCGGGCTCCCTCTCACGGTTTCCTTCTTAATTGACCCCAATTCCCGTGTTCTGATCCTGAACCACTTTGTTTCATCTACCGGAGCCGCCTTAAAGCTCTCTGCCCCACCACTTCCCCTACGGCCCGCTGTTTCTCCAGGTTCACCTATCCTCATCCTTCTCTCCTTTCTTCTCTATCTCCCTTTGCCTTCGTAGAGAAAAGGCGACCCAAGGTGAGTCGCAGTCCAGACCCGTTGTGATCCCGCATGAGAGAATGACCCCGCTTCCGAGCGGCTTGGCTCATCTCCATGCGCTCCAGCATCATCACCGTCAATCCCACTGACATGCCACGTTCTTAGACTCTGAGCTTGATACCTGATCCGACCTGACACCTACACCTGTGCTCTTCGTATCCCCCCCCCCCGGTCTCGTGGGTCTAGACGCTGTACTCCGTACCTGTCACATCTTCCCCGCTCGGAGCTTCGTACGACCGAGTTCCTCTCTTCTACACCTCGCCTTTATCCCCTGAGTCTCGCCGACCCTTGAAATCCAATCCAGGCAGTAGCTTGGACGGTTTTTCAAACCAATTCGATTACAGCGCAAACGAAAGTAAGCTTCATATCCCGGTTTCCCTGCTTTGTCGTTGCGTTTGTTGCGTTTGTTCCCTCGCGTTACTGCGGTCGAGTTGCTTGCCTTTGAGCGATTGACCTCTGCTATTGTTTTCATTCCCTGGACTGTGAATCGCCAACTTGTGCGCCATCCCCATCTACTGTTTTCAATCCCCGGCTCTCATTCATTAACCATGGACTGTGTTCGGCCTTTTTTCCACTGGATCCCAAGGATGTTCAAAGCTGACAATCACCCCAAGGCTGAATCTATTAGAGAAACCATTCTCGCCATGGGTCAGCAGAACCCTCCCGTGGGAGGATCCCGGAAGATCTCCTTCAATGTCTCCGATCAATATGAAATCCAAGATGTTATCGGCGAAGGCGCCTACGGTGTCGTCTGGTAAGTAGACGTGATTTCTTCTCAATGCTCTTCTAACCTCGTACAGCTCTGCCATTCATAAGCCCTCCGGCCAGAAGGTCGCCATCAAGAAGATCACGCCATTCGATCATTCTATGTTCTGCTTGCGTACACTGCGCGAGATGAAGTTGTTGCGCTACTTTAACCACGAGAACATTATCTCCATCCTAGATATTCAACGGCCCCGCAACTACGAGGGATTCAATGAAGTTTATCTCATTCAAGTACGTTGAAGCTGTCTGAGATGTGCATGCATGAAATATGGTTCACTAACAGCATGCAGGAGCTGATGGAAACAGACATGCATCGGGTTATCCGCACACAAGATCTCTCAGATGATCACTGCCAGTACTTTATCTACCAGACCCTGCGTGCGCTTAAGGCAATGCACTCAGCCAACGTCCTCCACCGAGACTTGAAGCCCTCAAATCTTCTGCTCAATGCCAACTGCGACCTGAAAGTCTGCGACTTCGGTCTAGCTCGCTCGGCCGCTTCCACTGATGATAACTCTGGATTCATGACTGAATATGTGGCCACACGTTGGTACCGCGCACCGGAGATCATGTTGACATTCAAAGAATACACCAAGGCTATTGACGTGTGGAGTGTCGGCTGCATATTGGCTGAGATGCTAAGCGGAAAGCCTCTCTTCCCTGGCAAGGATTGTACGATTCCACTTTCCCTTCAAGAGTAACAGAACTAACATACACTTAGATCACCACCAGTTGACCCTCATCCTGGATGTCCTCGGCACACCCACAATGGAAGATTACTACGGCATTAAATCCCGCCGCGCCCGCGAATACATCCGCTCCCTCCCCTTTAAGAAGAAGATTCCCTTCCGCGCACTCTTCCCCAAGAGCAACGACACGGCTCTGGATCTGCTCGAGAAGCTGCTCGCTTTCAACCCGGCTAAGCGTATCACCGTTGAGGAAGCCCTGAAGCACCCCTATCTTGAGCCATACCATGATCCCGAAGACGAGCCCACCGCACCGCCCATTCCTGATGGATTCTTCGATTTCGACAAGAACAAGGATGCTCTGAGTAAGGAGCAGTTGAAGCGTAAGTTATTTGTCTCTGGTTCCTCTTCTCTTCCATATTTACTAACCTCTCCCAGTCTTGATCTATGAGGAAATCATGCGATAAATCGACTTGACTGTTTCCAAATGATATTAAGTTGAGGGAGGATACTGGATTCTATTCTGCACGCAATTTGACTTGACAGCGTGATTTGATACATGTTAGAGATAGCAGGCAACTCGAAATGTGATTATGAGTATTTAAGTAAAATAGCTGACTCCGTAACGCTACCTGCTGTATCTCTGCTAGTCCTATTCCCAAGTTTATATACTTATAGTTCCATTTTACATCTAGTTATACACAGAATACATAGTTATACAGATCCCCATCCCTCAAATCCCACTCATAAACTTCTCAATCCCCTCAAGCACCCCCTCAGGACTAGGCCTCGGCGCACAAACATGCGCCTCAAACCCAAACTCCTCACGCAGATGATCCCGCGTCGTCGGCCCAATAGTAGCAACAAACACCTGTCCATTCCCATTCCCCGTTCCATTCCCAGCAAAAGGCCCCAACCCAAGAACCCTAAGCATAGCCTCACACCCCGTCGGCGAAAAAACAACCACCCAAACCGCCCCATCCGCCGACCTGCGCACCACATCCGCGAAATCCCCCTCAAAAGACCCCATCACGCCCGTCTCATACACAACAACCTCCTCAACCCCAACGCGCTTCTGCACCGGCAATGCCTCATCCATCAGCGTCTTCGGGATGATATCCCTGCGCACTTCGCCGACCAGGAATAGGAGCGAGGGCTTGTGCGTCGGGTGCAGGGCGTCGTAGTGCTCGAGGATGAAGCGCGCGAGGTTCTCGCCCGTTCCGGTTTCGGCGCCGTGGATGCTGGCGTGTGGGAGGTGTTTGTCGCGGAGGGTTGTGAGGGTGCGCGCTGTGGCTGGGCCGACGGTGTAGAGGGTTAGTGGGGAAGATGGGGTGTTGAATTGGACTGGATTTGTTGGTGTTAGTGTGTTGGAGTCTGGTTGGATTGGGTTGTGTGTGGTATGTACCGTCTTGTTCGTCTTCGATCATCTGCGCGAAACCCTCTACTGCGCGCTGGCTGGTGAAGATTAGACCGCCGTATTTTCGAGGGGTTGGGGCTTCGGTGTGGAATTCGCCGCTGGTGAATCGGTCGCGGACTTGGCTGAGGTTGTCCTTGTGGAAGCGGTGTTCTAGGACTGGGATGAAGGTTGGGGTGTAGTTTTGTGCGGAGAAGAACTCTTCGTAGCCATCTTGGGGGGAGGATTTTGTTTTTAGGAGGAGGATGGGTGTTGGAGGCATTGTGGGTTTGGTTTGGAGTGAGTATGAGTATGAGGCTGAAGGTGAAGAAGGTAAGACGTAGGTAAGGTTTGGAGGTAGAATATGATGTTATCGGGTGCGGGTGCGGGGAGTTCTGGGGAATTGGGTTTTTGATATTGGCGAGTGATCATCTCTACTTAAGCTTCTCTACGAGTCTACTTGTACTATGCACTCATCCAACAAAGGAAATCAACTTGGGTCTAGGAAGGCTTATTTACACATTAAAAACACAAACTACTGGTCGTCCAGCACATGCACGTACCGCTTGTCCTCCCGGCGCTCACGCTCCGTAGAAGGAGGCAGATCGTAGTAAGAGGCACTACGGTAGGCCTGCAGGTAGTGGAAGGTCAAGTTGGCCAGATCGGCGGTCTCGTTCATACCGAGGTCCTTGAAGGTCTTGGCGGTCGGGTCAATCACCTGGTCAATGAACTCGCGCTCCACCTCGTCGGCGGACAGGGTGTGCCACCACAGGAACTTGTTGGCGTAGTGCGCGAAGGGCTTGAGGAGAGCCTTGGGGACGTTGATGTGACGGCGCTTCTTGATGATTTCACGGTCGACCAACTGGGCGATTTCGGCGGTGGAGTAGTTCTTGGGGCCGTACAACTCGAAGGTTTGGCCGGCGGTGCTGTCATCATGCAGCATAGCCTCCAAAGCGGAACCGACATCAATGGCCTAGAGGGTTAGTTCAATAGCTTGTCCAGCCGGGAGAATAACTTACGTGGACAGGCCAGTAGCGCTCGTTCATGTGGTTGGCGGTCAAGACATTGCCCATCTTGGCCAATCTGTGGAGCAGGTTGTCCTCGAAACCGAACATTGGTGCAGGTCGCACGATTGTGGTCTCGGGGTAGATCTTGCGGACAATCTCCTCACCCCATCCCTATACATTATCAGCACTCTCGCTCTTGTATTCCAGTGGATATGCTGACCTTGGTGGCAAAGAACTCGGAAGGCGAGTCACGGCGAGCGTTGTAGGAGGAAACGTGGATGAAACGGTCGACATCGTACTTGGCAACAGCATCGGCAATACGCTCGACACCATCGACGTGGACATCCTCGTATGAGAAGTTCCTGGGTCGTCAGAAAGTATTCATTCATGTATACCACACATAACTCACTTGGTGGGATATTGGCGACCGACAAGGTTGTAGACAACATCGGAGTGACGAACACTCTCCTCAATGGACTGTGTGTTGCGCAGGTCGTATTCCTATACAGGGTCAGACACTCCACATTCAACAAATATGCGTAATACGGCTCCATACCATGAACACAACTCTGCCAAGATCACCAGTGACCTTCAAGTGTCGCTTTGCCATCTCCTCGCGGTAGGGAATGACAACGGTACATCCCTGGCGAGCTGCGGACTATTAGTCTACGGTCCAATTGCAGTGCATCAGACCTCAACCTACCAAGCTTGTTGACAATATAGCGACCGAGGAAACCAGTAGCACCAAAGACCGTCGCGGTGTGACCTAGAATTGCGTGAGCACATCGGGATCGAGCGTAGCATCGAATTGGAACGGCTTAGCTACCTCCAATGGAAGACCTATAGAAGAGCGCGTCAGTAAGCAGGACATTAGAGTTAACCACAGCTTCATTGATCGCTTACCGGCCACCTTGGACCTTTATAACGGGCTTGCCAGTCCGGGTGATGCGGACATCCTGAAGGTTGCGCTGGAACTGGGGCTGCACCCGCGGAACTGGCACAAAAGGCCGGGCGCCCAGGGCAGTGTTGATAGTGCGAGACTTCTGCATGGTCTCTGGCTGGGTATATCTCTCGAGACCAGCGAATTGGAGCGGAGTGTTGCCAAAGGGCGTGGTGATGTGCGGTCTTTCGCAGCGTCAAGTGGGAAGAACCGCACGGGACTATTGCGCTAGTCCTGATTCGGGAGTACGGACCACCACTTTAACAAATCACCTTGTCGTCTTTCTTTTTTATTCTTGGGCTTGGCTGGTATGATAGCTTCTGGTTGTTCATTTGATTTGAAGTTGGTATCTTTACTGAAAGCTATGAGTTAGTATATCTACGACCTCTATAGGAGAAAATCCCCGTTTTGGTCTGACAACACCTGGACTGTGATTGGATGTTCCCCATGCTTTATTCATATCTATAAGAATCGATGTTGTATCCATGGATACTTTTCTATATACAATGAAATTATAGCTAGTGGGTTGGCTCTTGTTAGCTATCTACTATTCATGTTAAATCCATGTTCGGACATTATTCACTAGTACGTATAAGTAACTAGGGCTGTTCAAGGATGTATATCCTGCCAAGGTAGCTCTAGAAGCCATTCATTGTACGGAGTATATAGGACAAACTAGAGATATCAAGTCGAACCCATAGAAATAACAGTTTACAGCATTGCAACTAGGAGGAATGGAAGCTATACAACATAGATAACTGCATAGCAACAACATACATGTCGTCAATAGCTGCTTAAGGATACAACCCTATACACTATCTACACGGACCGACGTTACGGAGTATGCACAGCAGTATTTCCCAGTTACATACAAATCAAAGTTTTCTACGTATGCTGGAAATAATTAAAAAGCAAAAGCAAAAGCAAAAGCAAAAGAAAAAAAATGACAGCTGTGTCATTGTGTTTCCAAAGATTTATAAGAGGAGTTTTGTGGGCAAATCACGGCCATCTCTGGTAAAAGGCAAGAAATGGGTTCTGCACTAACTTGTCCCACTCCTCGAATCTGCTTCGTGGACTTAGTTTATAATACCCTCATTGCTAAGTTTGGCTGTGGTCTGGACACGGGAACGGTCGGAGTTCGATCCTCGTCGGTCGATTCATTCCGCAACCCCGCATATTCTTTTTTTTTTTTTCTAAATTGAACGCTTACAACATAGCTTCACTTCGAGATCATTCAAGACCTTCCAATTTTAAAGCTTTACAAAATGTCGTCCGCTGCCTGTATATTCTGCAAGATCATCAAGGGTATGTCCATTTCACACTATAGCTACTCCGTACTCTATCGCAATGTCCAGTCGACACGTCATAGCAGAATATGCGTTGACTGACCTGCTTCCTTGGGGCTATACAGGTGATATCCCTTCATTTAAGCTCTTTGAGAGCGAGAAAGTCTTCGCTTTCCTCGATATCCAGCCGCTGAGCCGTGGCCATGCGGTGCGTATTACTTCCTACCCCTCTTCCCCGCATCCGGCGTGTTCATTATGGCGGGGAGCGAAGTTGCCAAAACTGCCATGATAGCTCCAGCGATTCAAGCACGATAATTCGAGAAGAAGAAAAGTCCAAACTGACAGCATGTGCAGCTTGTCATTCCCAAGTTCCACGGCGCAAAGTTGACCGATATCCCTGACGAGGACCTACTCGAGATCTTGGTAAGTCGAGAGAACAACCCAGGACAACGAAGAGGGTGAAGAGGAGAGTCTATGTCTTCGGTCCGATCGGATTCGATTACATATCTTCGGGGACCTTGGGGGCAACCCCGCAAGGTCCCTAGAGACCCGGAATTGGATTGGAGAACAGGGATAGCTAACCAAGATGTACGCCCACAGCCCGTCGCGAAGAAGATTGCCAAGGCCAGCGGCGCCGAGGATTTCAATATCCTGCAGAACAATGGCCGCATTGCGCACCAGGTCGTTGACCATGTGAGTTTCAGTTGGGGATTCCTCTAATAATTGTGCCGTGCTAACCAGTCGTCTCTCATAGGTCCACTTCCACATGGTATGCTCTACTATCTTTCGAATTTTTGGTCCTACGCTAGAAATCGCCTTTGAATATACACTGACAATATAATAGATTCCCAAGCCTAACGAGAAGGAGGGTATGTCCATTGGTTGGCCTACACAGGAGACGGATATGGCCAAGCTCAAGGCTCTTCACGAGGAGATCCAGTCGAAGATGTAAACGGCTTTGGTTTTGGTGACAATGAATTCAAGAACAATGAAACTGAGTTATCTCTATTTGGATCGCCTCTGATTTAGATCGCTGTGAACTACATAGGTTCTTCTGAAGGAAGAGTTGTAGGGCCTCTGAAGTAGGACCCGGTTGGATTTACCCAGGGCTCTGCTGTTGAATGTATACCAAATGTTCATATATCCTCTAGTTAACAAAAGCCAAGTCTGTGTATACTACACACATGCAAATCAAAACTCTATAGTTAGCAGGTAAGCATGACACTATCTAACTCATGTACTGCGACTCATGTACCGCGACTCATGTACTGCGTAGCTTATGCCGATGTCTCTGCTCCCTTCTCCAAGCCAGGATAGAAGTTAATCTTCCCACCGCCCTGGACGATATTGAGTCTGTCATAGAGCGAGCGAGCCCGGACATACGGGTCAAGAACCCAGTATTGCGCACGCAGCTGCTCGATCAAGCTATTCCGCTTCTCCTTGGCAGCAGAGGCAGCGTCGGTCTTCTTTTTGAAGCTGGTGCTGATCCACTCAACGGTGACATCCTGGATCTCCTTGGCGAGCTTTTGGCGCTCGGCCACCAGGGTATCTCGCGTTTCCTTGTCGGCCATCTTGGGATTCTCGTTCTCCGGCACCTCGACGTATTTATATTCCCAGTCTTCGTCGCCTTCGAGCTCTTTCAAGATCTGGCTTGGGTGGATGTATTGTTCGAGATCCTGACGGTTCTTCGTGAAGTGAATCTTCGCTGCGACGACTGGGTCGAGCCAGCCCTTGATAACGCCCCAGATGCCTGGTTTGGTTAGAAAGGGGTTTTATATATGGTGCTAGGATACGAACTTGAGAAGATCCAAGGGGCCTTGTGGATGAGCACTGCTCCGAGAGACTCGGGGTAGTTGGCTTCGAAGCACTTGATCATGAACTTGACCGGGGCGTAGTCCTGGAGATATCAGTATAGTGTCAAGCACGTAGAGACGAAAGCTTACCATGTTGGCCATACCAAAGTCCGTCATATCAAAGATAATAGTCTGAAGAGTCAGCTCCCGAGAGAAAATCCGCACACCGGAATACTTACCGCAGTCTCGATCGGCGGCGCAAGCAACAAACGCGCAGTCTCGATAGTATAAACAGTAAAGCGCTCCAATCCTTCATTCTCCTGATCACCAGCCCGATGCAAGCGCACGCGGACAACACAGATCGGCCGACCAGTCCGGTCAACACCGTGCAGGAAACTCTTACCGAGACGTATCTGCGTCAGGAAGTCCTCACCCTTCTTCTTCTCAATGGGATCGGAGCCCTGCGACATCTTCAAAGCCAATGCCTCGCCGTTGAACATGATATCGTCGTCGACATGCATTTCCAGCAGTCGCCAGCGCATCGTAGAAATCAACATAACAAGCGCCTTCTTGATGTCCCACTTGCGTGCCCGCAGGAACCGAAGTAGCAGCGAATCCGGGTTGTCGCCCTTCACCATGTTCCAAAACGCTGTCCGGATCTCCTCGGGCTTCATGTCCTCCAGCGCTTGCTTGAACTCCTTGGACTGGCCGTACTTGTCGTCGCCGTCGGCGAGACTGATTGAAGCTATGCTGGTACCGGCGCCGCTGCTGGGAGCGCTTTTCGTCTCATCGTCGTCGCCGCGGCTCCAAATTCCCCACCGGCCCTTGGACTTCTTCTTATCCTGGACTGGGGCGGGTGTTGGGGCTTCACTGGGGGCGGCAGACACGGGGGCTTCGAGTTCTTCGAATGTGAGGCCGAAGACTTTGAGTGCCAGGACCCAGAATTCTTGCAGCTTCACTTCCTGCTCCGGAGTGAGGTTCCCAACTGTTCCGGGGGCGAGTTGGGCGGGCATCGTCGCGAGCGTATCGATTACTCCGAGGAAGGGTTCTTGAGACAGCTGGGGCTGCGGAGTGATTGTGTCTTTGGGATTGAAGTATCTGTCCTGGAGCCAAGCGCCTCCTCCGACAACAGCGAGAGTAAATGTAAGGGTCCAGAAAGATGAAGCCTTTCTTGGTTCTGGGTGCGTAGAAAATGGTCGCGCGAATGAATACCGGGCGACAGGGAACTTGGCCGAAGGATAGAGACGACGTAGGATTGTGCCACGCATAAGCAGTATGATCGAGGTGTTATGGTGGTATGAGTGAGCACTAGGTCTTAGCACTGGGAGATGGGAGGGAAGAAATTGTAAGAGCGCCGAGCGGAATCAACAATATGACGATGCGGGGAAGATCATTTCCTTATAGGTAATGTAGGGTAGAACGAGGAATCAATTAGAGGCATGGATTCTTATGTTCAAGTCCATGTAATACATCTACATTGTACAAATACAGTCCTCATCTCCAAATTGCAAGTATAAAAGTTGTCGCGTGCGAGACATTTCCTTCCGGGGAGATCAACAATCCCAAACACAACCCACCGACATCGCTCTGACAACAACCCACTCTTAACAATAACAACCCCCAGTTATTTATTGTTGGCCTACTATCTCTCGCCAGCACTCCTATCAGATTATCAAATACAAAAGACATGGACGCACCTCGATCATCCTCGCGCCCGAGACCCTCATCCAGGCCCACAACCCCTCTACGCCCAAGCTCGCGATCTTCACTACGAGAAGCACACGGATATGGAAATAGCATTGGAAATTCAGGATACACACAACCTGCCATCAATGCCTTGGAGCCGCAGTTCGCCGAGCTGGCCGATTCGATGGCAGATCTCGAGGCCAACTTCATGCACTTGCAGCTAATGCACGAGAGCCTGACGCGCTTCAGTGAGAGTTTTGCCAGTTTCCTCTATGGATTGAATATGAATGCATTCTGTGTGGATTTCCCAGAGGTATGGTCGCAGACCCGTCGCCGACAGTTGTGGCAGTGGTAAGAGCGCGAGAGGGTTGCTGATTCGACACAGGCTCCGATTCCGGACTCGTTCAAAAAAGCCAACCAGGATGAAGAAGAGAAAAAAGGTATTGCGAGGGCTCTCTGTGGGAACTACCTAGGTGCGCTGGACTGGGTTTGCTAACAGGCCATCCAGAGATGGAATCAGAACGAACACGAGCGCTTGATGACGGCGAGATGACCTTTATGTGAGTCGAGAGGGCGATGCGACCAATCTACAAGAGGACACTTGAGCTAATGATTCTCACGCTACAGGACTACGGACACAACTTTTGTCGAGAATCCCCCGAGCACCACCTCCTCCTCTAGACCGACGTCCAAGTATGCTGCGGGCTTAAGGGGAACGTCGCGTGGCACTGCTCGTGGTACAGCAAGCAGCCGGTATACTACACGAGGCACTGCGCGCGGTGGGCGTGCTAGCGCACTGCCTCGGGGCAGAGGGACTGGGACTCGGTAACGGATATTGAATGCCTGCAATGACCTGATTATGAACAATTTATTATTCATGCTGCATGTTTGACTATTAGCGTCCAAGGGCTGGACCTTTAGCTATAGCTTCCACTGCAGTGGGTTGGCGCATCTGCCATTCATTATGATTACCTAGAAATGACCATTGAATGGAACTATCATGTCACCCGGAGGTTGTACAACATTAAAACCCAGTCTATATACTCTGTACTTGAATACTAAATCACTAAATACTTCCCTACACAAAAAGACCAAGATCAGCTTCTGCCTTCTGCCATCTGATCTTATCCGGCGGTATCGGTCAATCGGAGGCGAAAAACCACCGCCCGATGGCAAACCAACCTCCCCACTACTTTTGAGATCCTCAGGGAAACTTGACCCCATTCAGTGCATAATAGACTTTTATATTTACATTCATTGCTGTTGAATAGGGTCGTATTATCCCGAACTTGGTAGTGACGTCGAACCAGGTCATACGCAACCCTTTGTGGACTGTATAGCTTCCCTCTGTTCGTCTACTATTGTCCCTATTCACTTGCTATCGTGAGTTCTATTGTTCTGGTACGCTCTGTTTGATCACATTGTTGATGTCTGTTTATACAGTGCAATGCTGGCCCTATTCAGCAGGAGTCCTTGAGGCTGTACCTGCTCTCTATAACCAGCCTTTCTCTCCCTTGAATTCTCTTTCAACCTCCTCTTCTTGTCTCCACGTCGGTAGAAGTCTGGAACTTCTATTAACGTGTTTCTACTGCATATCTTTGTGTCGTGTTCTGATCAATCCTAACCTTCTCCTTTCCACCTTATCTCTTTCATTCTCTCTCCCGTCTAACCATACTCATGTCGCTCACTATGGCGACTCTCGATTCGGTCCAACTTCTATCTGAAGCTGCGTATGGTTGTGGTAAGAATGGCAATTGTCGTGACTCATTTGTGCCCATCTGACCTCCCGCTAGTACATCTTGCAGCTATTCTCTCCAAGGACGAGAAGACTGCTGGCCAGTTCAGAGAGGAGTTCTGCAAGAAGTACAAATCGCTAGCTCCGTTTTCAAAGACAGAAACGGTTGCTGTTCCAACTACTGGCCTCCGAACTGTGGCCTCCCTCAAGCCGAAGTATCACTGTTTGAGTTGCACAGAAGTATGCCTGAGTTCCAAACGAGCAGAGCATACTGCAGCGACTGGGCATGCATTTTGTAAGCCAATGGTTTCTTACTGTTCAACTTGGTTCATACTTATACATGGCAGATATCGAGTCTCGCAACCGCTTTGTCTTCTGTGAGAAGTGTGTCGATTTCATCTATGACCACACCCTCGACAGACTCCGTGGCCCTTCTGCCAAATTTGAAACCCTCGGTGAGATTTAGGCGATTCAAGAATATTTTATTCGCGGACATCTACTAATATATGGTAGATGGGCGGTCCATTTGGGCCGAAGACTCAGCCACCGAGGTCTACGTCAAGAGCAATGCTTACAAGAACCCATGCGCCATCCGCGGCGCTCGTGGTGTCTGGAACATGGGTCAAACGTGCTATCAAGCTTCTATCTTGCAGGCCCTGCTGCACGACCCTACCCTCACTGCCTATTTCCTAGGAGGTGGCCATGATGTCCACACATGCATGATCAAGGACTGTCTCGCCTGTGCAACAGCTGAAGTCTTCATGGAGTTTAACAGCGCCGAGAGAAACGATGCAGTCTCTGCAGCCGTGCTTCTTCATCATGGCTGGCAGAAATCCAAGGTACGTCGAGGTCCGAGTTGAGCAACAGAACTTGCTAACTAGTTACAGGAAATGCGCGGATATCGCCAGCAAGACGCCCACGAATACTTCCAATTCCTTGTCAATGAACTGCACTCATCTACCCCCGGACATGTGGATAGCTACGATAAGCCATGCGAGTGCTTTTTCCACCAGATGTTCTATGGCGAACTGCGCAGCAGCGTCATGTGCCACAAATGCGGTCAAACCACTAACACCCACGACCCTATGGCCGATCTGAGTCTTGATGTCCAGCTTCAACACAAGAAGCGCAAGCTCGGTCGGTCTACTTCTTCCACTACTGGAACCCTCCTCGGCTGCCTAGATAGCTTCACTGCCGCCGAAGACCTCCACGCCGATGCTGCTTACCACTGCGAAAAGTGTGGTAACACCCCCCAGCGGGCTTCGAAGCGCCTGCTAATCCGCAAACTCCCCGTTATGCTTTGCATGCAGCTGAAGGTATGTTTGAGTTCTGGCTCCCTTGGAATAAGATCTTATGCTGACTTTCCCACAGCGTTATGAACACTCCTCTAATTCATCCGAAAAAATGAATGGTCATATCGACTTCCCTTTGTCTGTGAACATGCTGCCATACACGGTCAAAAAGGACAACCTTCCTGTTGACATGTCGAATTACATCTACGACTTGTCTACGGTCATCGTCCACCAAGGGACAATGGACTCTGGACATTATTATGCATACACTCGTATTGACCACGACAAGGTTTGTTCCACTGTACCCTCGTCCCGTCTGTGTCCGTGCTAATGGGTTACCTTTATAGTGGGTATTGATGGATGACAATAAAGTCACCATCGCAGGTGTGGCGGAAGTCCTCCGCCAGGACGCCTATCTCCTGTTTTACAGCGCCCGTTATCTTCGGGCTGAGAAGGTTAAGAAGTAGAACCTTTGTGCACAGTTAGGCTTACAACACAATTAATCAGTCTCATACGTCGATAGCCACTTGATTCCTTCGCATATACTAGTATCACGCTGTATTACTGTAGACTTGGACTTCAATTTCCGGAATTCACAGGCATGATATCAGAGGGGGTCTGATTCGACATATATATCCTGGTCGACGGGCAGCTGAGAGATTCGGTCACGGTCAATAACGTGCCATAGCCGGAGTGGTCCAATCTCAGAAATTCCAACCACCGCTGAATCGCATTGTGGCGAACACCCGGAAGAATGAAAAGAATGCTTCTCGCCCAGAAGCGAGCCAACAGCCATGAAGGCCCTCGTGTCAGTCTTTCCAGTTACTCCCGAGACACCATCTCGTTGCTCTCTGATGACCAAAACAAGACCAATTAAGAACGAGGGCACGATGGATTCTCTTCATCCTCATTGATCATGATATGATTGATTGAGACATCTCGGTGAAGAACTCCTGCCTGTTGCAAGGACTGATGTCCTATAATGTAACCCAGTGAAATCCCGACGGAGCTGACAGCGTAGGTGGGAAACGTCTGCGGTATCTGGTAGCCGTAAAACGGCCACGTCGAGCTCTAGAGCTCTAAGGGAGGCCGATCGTATATTTGAGGACGTCCAGAAGTGAGCCACGTGGCCGCGATAGAAATACTGCTGGCCACGAACCTGACTTAAATGATCGTATGGATGAAGGGTATCAACATCTCCTCAACTTAGCTATGGTCAAAATATAGACACCACCAGGGTCCATGGTCCATGTCCATGTCGTTTTGCGGACCGGAAAAGTGATGGACCTTCAGCATCTCGGGTTTGTTGCGATTTGCATGAAGACCAGTCTTCGAGTTTCTTGACCTGAACTGATCAACATATGCCCTCCGATCTGATTATATCCCAGCACACTGAAAATAATGATTCGCAATGTAAGAGATCTTTGACCCCTGAAATTGAGAGTGAAATCGTCGAGTTCAATTTGTGGCTCGTGATTTCGAAGCACTTGGATTCCGGACTCTGAAGCACGGACTTGCGGTTTCCAATGAGCAGTAAAGTGTGTTGAGTTTTGGCTGAATAACAAGGCCTGCCGTCGAATAGCGTGGTATCGTGCTGGGTGATGAGTTGAGCGCGTTTATCGGACTCAGAGGACCTTGAAGGCACAAGCAGGACCTTGAAAGGACAAGAAGAAAGGACCTTGGGGACACGAGTAGGACCTTGAAAGAACAAGAAGGAAGGACCTTGGAGGACGGCATGAGGGATCCTAGCCATGGACCGATATAAATCGATGATCGCCAAAAGGCCTCTATAGACATTGAATTGCTTTTCTTTGGCTCGCTTGGTGCATTTCGGAAGGTTCGCGTTCACCCCTGGTAGCTAAGGGGTGGGTTGATCGACAGACTCATGATTGATGAGGAGAATATGGTTCCGATGTAGCTAAGTGCTAGATCAAGTCTGGGAGGGCAGTATGGGGCCATGGGCACAAGTGGCAGGGTCCCATTTCCACCTGGGAATATATAATCGGAACATGGCCAGAGGCTAGATAACCTGGCCACGTCGAAGGGAAGACCCGGCAGCTTTTGATTCCTTCATGAAGTGAATGCACTCGAGAATAGCCCAGTCAACCAGTCAACCAGATCACCAAGCTTCTGAGTGACTTCGGCGTTTAAACAGCAAGGCTAACTTGCATGCCGTTGAGGTCGGTTGGAAGTTTTCATCGAGACCAGCTGGGGTGGAATGGGAGGATGGATGATAGGAAAGAAGATCAACCTATATATATAATATATTAGAATGAAATATGGATGTAGAAGTGCCGAGACTTCACCTCAGGAATATACAAGCTTCCAGGTTGGCAAGAAGAAGAAGAAGAAGAAGGAGAAGAAGGAATCAACTGAGGCTAATTAAATAGCTAGCAAACAGGACACGTGCCTCAACACGAGGTTACACACATCCTCAAGAACAAACATTCTTCTCTCTATGCTAATATGCAGCCGCTTATGTGCTATCTCTTTCTGTTAATCACCACACTTTTTCTGCAGTCTTCTAAATGGCAATATAGACCCACTGATTTGCTTCCCCGAGATTATCCTACTTATCCTGGTTATTCCAAAACGTATAACCTAATTGACATGTGGAGGTCATTCTTGACCATATCTAGTCTAGGCCAACTGTTCCATGATTGTGGGGAAGATGCCCACAGGTCTTCAGACAGAGAAAGCAACAGAAGGGCTCTGTTTCAAGAGCAGGGAAGTCACTTTTGCTGTATATTACGGCTATTAATATGCCAGCATTCTGAAGTACGTAGATTCAAAAGAAAATACAGTTTCGCTGTAGTACAAACTGGTGGCTTTATGCACATAGCCTTATGAATTCCTAGTATATTGAATTTACAAGAGCAGCCCACGTTGTCTTCATAATTCAAGTATCTCGAAAAGTTTCGAATAATAGTCAAAGTATCTATCAATAGCACTTTGAAGAAAAGTCAGCTAAGATTAATGTTGAAAAGTGAAGTATAAGATCTGGCAGCCTGAGGCGCTAAGATGTGGTGATCGCCCATTGGTCACATGATACACCAAAAACAGCTAGCGCAACTCAAGCGAGTTGGCCCGTGCCCTATTCCCCATTGGGGCAGCACACAACGCAAATTCCAACCCTAACTCCTGTCTCTGTTCTTAACGCCCAACGCCAGCGACCCTCGTCCCGTCAACAACCCCGTCAACTCCCAGGTCCCACCTTTAAAACCTCAAGATGACTCACGAGAGCGTTTGGTACAGCCGGCCCCGCAAGTAAGTCGAAACCGCACCACGCACACACTAGGCACTATCTCGAAAAAGAGCGACGAGGCTAACATGGGATTTCTCTCCGCTCGATAGGTACGGCAAGGGCTCCCGCGAATGGTGTGTTTACCCTGCTATAATTCCCCGATGAACGATCCAGTCGACACCGAGAATGAAACTTGGAGGAATCCTGGATGGAATCAAAAATCGATACAAAACGAACGGGCTTGCTAATAATTGTGCGCCTTCAGCCGTGTCTGCTCCCACCGCGCCGGTCTGATCCGCAAGTACGGCGTAAGGAGATATCAATCCCTCGAGCATATTGCATATCGCAAGATGTGACATGACATGGACTTGTGTGGCTAATACGGATCGTTTTAGATGAACATCTGCCGTCAGTGCTTCCGTGAGAAGTCCACCGATATTGGTTTCACCAAGGTTCGTTTTAATTCCTCTCTCGACAATCCCGTCCGATCCCATTCGAATACCACACAATCACATTCTCCGACGTGAAATTCCAATCGATAATCGACAATCTTCCCGGCCCCCACTGCCACCACACATGCACACTGCAAAAGCACAACACTAACCACAAGCTTCTCAACCTACAGTACCGCTAAGCGAGCAAAAAAAACCAACTCCCCCCTCTCGAACCGTTCGCATCCACGAAATCCATCTACGTACCCGGCTCGACTACGGTAGCGTCAAGTGGAGCAATGTTTCAGACGGGCTCAAAAATGGCGTCTTTGATGTTTTTGTGAATGGAGGAATAGACATCGGGCTTGTGTGTCCGGTGTCTCGGGGTTGCGAATCAAACCAGATCTTGGCTCCGAGGGGAGGATTTGGGGTTGTTGCATGGAGTGTCTTGAAAAACGAGGATTTATGTTATTTCCCTCATCCTGGTTTTTTCTTAACAATTTCAATGACGGAATTTTTCTCTGGGAATCATCTCTGCTCCAGCTTGCTGTACAACTTGCTCGTGGTCTGGATGCCGGTGGGCGTGCTCTCGCACGGCTATTCTTGTCCCTGGATTTGGTGTAGCTTTTGATGTTTGGCTGGGTGAGCCTCTCGAGGTGCACCATTGATCATTGAGCCCGCGAATTCTTCGTAGCGGCTGTAGGTGTCGACAGATCGGATATACTGGTCCCGTTTTGGTGCCGCGGCTAGATAGACGATCTATCTAGATGACGCCCCATGCGGTTAAGGCTCTATGCGGCGGCACTAGCAAGGCAGGTAATCATTTATGCAATAGGACACTAACTGGAATAGTTAGTATTTGCAATGACTTCATTGTGATAGTGCAGACATTCTACATGACTTATACTTCGCTCCTGGAGATATTCCGTCAAATATTCCTGGCACTTTTTTATAGCTAATTGTTATCCTTCTAGCCATAACACCGAGTATAAATTTAGATCACTCAATCTTCAGCTACTTCGGAGAATAGCAGAACAATACGTCGGTGATTTAGACAATATACGTCATTTAGGTGTCATTTTCTAGATATATCAGCTATACACTAAATTTTTAGCGTCCTTATCACCCCTGTTAAAATATATAGGTTTTAGATACTTACTACTCCGTGAATATCTTTAAATGGTGTGCCATATGTTACGTGCCAGGTCTAACCGCTCTATATCGGGGTAGGTTCCACTCTCTAAATCACGTGGTATTCCGCTCTTACTCTCACCACAAAGTCAACCTGGTGGCAGAAAGAGCACCATGCCATGTCTGATCAAAAAAGATCACAGGTGATTATTGAAAACCTTATTGGGGATGGCCTAAATGGCTTTCGCAACAGATTCAAGTCAATCTGTGGAGACGATGTCGATCAGCTTACACAGGAGGGTGCGGCACTGCATCGCAAAATCTTATTTTGGCTAACTTAAATACAGTTATGCAATCTCTCGCGGTCGCCCTCGTGTCAGCCCTTGAGGGTCTTCCCGCTGCTGGTCTTCAGCTGTCCAAGTCGGGAGGAACTCTTCAACGGGGTCTGCTTCAACTTATCCTATCGGGTCATTTCGACCTTGATCGAATCAAACCACTTTTCAAAGCATCTCTTGTGGAGACCTCAACAGATGAAGAGATATGGAATCTTGTGGACGTGGCCGTAACGGAATCTACGCCGCCCCCTCGAGCGATTGCCTCCTCCCTCTAACAAACCCCCTGGCTCCAAAAAACGAGTAGCTTCGCTAACTCCTCTGAATACTGCCAAGATGTTGACAGGGTCCTCAAGTCAGAGCTTGGGTGTCTCTATGTAGGGCTCCCGCATTTCCGCTCAAAATTTTTTGGAAATATCAGTGGTCTTCAAGCAGCATCCGATGCTATATTCGAAAGATGCACTGAAGGTAGCAATCCGATTTTTGCCGACGGGTAGAAAGATTGGCCAAAAGATATAAACCAGGAGGATGTCTTGAGTTGGTTTACAGATCTGAGTGAGAAACTGGCAACGTTCTCAGTAGACTACAATTCTGCGTCGACGTACCTGCGAAGGCCACTCGCACAGCCCAATATACCTATAAAGGGTTCTACAGTAGAGCGTAAGCTAGACATCGGCTTTATAAGTGATACTACCGCTAGAAAGGATACCCAATGTCATTGGTCACAGGTCATCGTTCCTAGAGAGCTAAAAAGCAATCTGGCAGCTGACACAGCTTCTAAGCCATGGCTTGATTTAGGGAGATATACTAGGGAAGTTCTTACGGCCCAAGATACACGCCGATTTGTCCTAGGCTTTACTATATGTGGATCCTTTATAAGGATATGGGCATTTGACCGTCTCGGGGGAGTCGCATCCGAACGGTTTGATATCAATGAGGATAGGCTCCAGTTCGTGTCCACTATTCTCGGTTTCCTATGGATGAGCGAGGAGGAATGTAGGTTTGACCCTACGATTACCTCGAAAGACGGCCAGCGATTTATCAAGATAGAGCAGAACGGCCGGACCGAGCGTCTCATTCTCGATAGATTGATAATACAGGCAGGTCCAGTGTGAAGCGCTCTTCTAGTCAAAGTGGCCTCTTTCTACCACCTAATAAACGATCATGTTCGGCATCTCCTACCAAGGCATCTGCTGCCAAGGTATCTAATACCAATGCATCCAGCAACCTACTGCTAAACCGAGTGCATCGGCGTGTCGTCCTGCGCGACTATGGTAAACTAATTTACAAGGCTAGCACTCATTCGTCCCTGCTTGCTGCATTGGAGGGTTGCATTACAGGACATCAGTCCTTGCAACAGGCAGGGATCCTTCACCGAGATATCTCAATCAATAATATCATGATCAATGAAGATAAAGAGAATCCTTCGTGGCCGTCGTTCTTAATTGATCTTGATCTAGCTATCAGAGAACAACGAGACGGTGTATCTGGAGCAACTGGAAAGACCGGCACAAGGGCCTTTATGGCAATTGGCTCTCTTCTGGGCGAGAAGCGTTCTTTTATGCATGACCTTGAATCGTTCTTCTGGGTGATCTTTTGGATATGCATCCATTATGACGCGCCAGGCAAGGGAAGAACTGTTGCAAACTATGACAGGTGGAACTTTATGGATACAGGGATTTTAGCTGGCCTGAAGAAAGGCGAGATAGCCGATGAAGCGGATTTTGTGAGATCCGCGAATGAGTACTTCACAGAGTACTATCAGCCACTAGTTCCATGTGTTAATACACTTAGGGAGGCTGTTTTCCCTAATGGAAGCAGGTGGAGAAATGAAGATATGGGGTTGTATGATCGGATGAAAGGTATTCTACAGAAGGCGCGCGATGACTGAGAGTTGAAGGTAGTTGCCTTAGAGAAAGTGTCACCGTCATGTAATCATCCTTCGAGCTATAGCACTGAGATACCCTAAAAGATACCCCAAAATGACTCCAAAAAAAGACTCCCAATAGTATAACGGCCCTCTACTATCATAAGCCAAATAGATTAGATTTTAATCTACAGAGAATTAGTTAATATGAGCCAAATTAACTACACAACGAGGCCACGGACCTAGATTGGTCTACGGACAGGCACACGAATGCGCTAATCCCCAGCACTAAGCTACTGACGTAGTAGGCGGTTTAGCGTTTTGTACTTCCAACTAGCGCGAGTGGCCTTTAGTCCCTAACCATTCCATCGTATTCGTGTCCGTGCCCAAGTCCTACATCCGTGTTGATCATACGGGATCTCGAGGTATTCACACTCTGCTCATTGGTCGCCGATTATTACCATTACCCCTGGGGAACGGCTAGGTCAGCGCCGGGTGCGGATAGAATTTGTGCCGGACTCCCGATTATTACTGCCTAGGTATTCTCAACCAGGCAATATTCCTGGGAGTTCTGGACGTGTCGAATGGCTTGATCTCAGGTCACACCGTCTGGTTATAGCCGGGTACTGCCGCCATAGAGGAGGGGTGTGGAAAGCCATGGCGTTGGGCGGTAGTCGAGATTGGAAATCAGACGTCTAGGGTAGCGGCTTAAGGTTATGCCATGTACAAAGCATGAGTCATATCACAGCTTACGGCTGACCTGCACTAGTTAGTTGGTTAGTCTCCGTACTCTGTATTGATTAGCAACACGAGGTCAGTCGGAGACATCTGTACTTACACCGAGTCTCGGAGCTCGGAAGTAAAGCGGAGTTTGCGTTCCGGGCATAAGAGCTCACCTTCACAGATTAGCAATTGTTCAACGCAGATCCTAGGGACGTGCAGGTGCGTGGATGTAACAGCCCAGCCTTTTCTCATGTACCCGGATGCTCACGGATACGGTTCTCCAATCGCCAAGATCGGGCTTCGGCTCGGTCTTGGCACGACTTTTGTCAACGCCCACTCGCTTATTTCTGTACTGGGAGATGACGGATCCTTGTGGCGTTGGCTGAGTAGATGAAGTAGAGTAGAATGCAGTGTTGTACTAAGTATGGAGAATGGAGTACAGCGGGGGCTTGGTATGGTAAAGTTGCACAATATGCAAGCTTGGACCAGGATGGTTAGGAAACCACATGACGATATGCATCGTGGCTTGTTTTTTTTTCGCATGGAGTCCCACTATGCCACTATGTTATGAGATGTTTACAAAATCTGTGCATCAGAGATGCAAGGACCACCCCTCGGTCTTAATTTCGGTTTATTCACGGCCCACGGGAATAAGGGCAGCTACTATGGAGTACAGAGTAGCAGTACTTGGCGCAAACTTCAATATCACCTCTTTAGGCAACAAAGCAAGGTGCCGAACTTCCGCTCAAATTTGCTCTTATTGCTCTGTTTTCGTATGTCGGAGCATAGAGCCCGACATTCGGTTACGATCAGACTATAACCCCCACTACAAGGACGGGCCAGCTCAAAATTGCGGCTCGGGAAACAAAGCGAGGGAGGCCGAGATGGGTGGAGTATGGAAACACCTGACAAGGATTTCATATCGTACCCCGTAGGCTATCGTTGATTGGGGGGATAGATCCCTGGTGATCATCTCCAACGTTAGACTTGCACGTAGTCAGTCAACCTGATGATGGGTGGGAAGCTATATTGTAAGCATGCATATATACTCCGCACATGCTATGCTCATCCTATTCCATGCATCCTATGTCTGCCTAGACACACATAGAAGGCCTAACGGAAGCATACAGAGCTGATCAGGTCGGTCACGGTCCAAATAGAGTAACGATCGACTACGTCATTGGCCAAGGCGCCTATATTTCTGTATACATCGTGCCACACGTAAGGCATCAGATGCTGTACAGACGGAGAACTGCGCCCTCCAGACTCCATACAAGAATTCCCATTGCAAATATCCCGGATCTTGGGGCTCTATGTAGTCATAGGTCATAGTTCCAGGCTCCCAAACTCATGAAGTCACCAAAATCCACATTTCTTAGACGCTCCCGAGACACCCGAATGACAGGAAGAGCTAAGAAAATTCGATTCATAAACGATATATCAACAACTTTGGCGTCAATTTCCATAGTTCAACGTAGTTCGTGACACTTAGACTTTAAATAAAGCATAGGATACCTACATATGCATCATGCTACAAGCAGAAATGAGATCTACCGAGTTGGGCATGCCGTGAGGGCGTCAATCCTTTTCTCCACGCACTTTTTTTTCCATATTTTTTTTTTTCAAGAGCATTGGAAATCGGCACCGGCGAGCTCATTTCTATTATTTTCTATTTTTTTTAAAAAATTCTATTTAGCTTTATTAGCAAGTTTCCCGGTACTTCATTCCTAGCTCGCCTGGACTTATATACTGCATTCCCTCCTGGTGTCGCATACTTCAGCCCTACAGCTTCATTTTCAACTACAGATAATTGGACAGTCTAGTTCGTCACTCTCCGAGTAGTCCTGTCTAGACTTGGAGGAGTAAAAAGCAAGAATAAATACGGGCCCAGCTACCGGCTTGACAGGCTCGCTACGTCACGATTCCATAGAGCTTCGACCTCAGCTGGTTGGAGCCTTATACTTCGCGGCCACTTGCATTTTTTGCACATACAGCCACATTATTATTTCTCGCAGTATATCACATCATCTTCCTGATGTGGCCTTTAGCCACTCGAGTCGCCAGGGCGGCAATTTTCACGCTACTACTCGCATCGCTTGCGACCGCGCTTCCACACGGGGACGATGAATCAATGGACATGGGAATGCATATGAACACGAGCACCGACGCGCCGCAACCTACACCCACCGCCATGCAAGCTAACACCGATGGTCCCATGAGCTATTTTGCGTATAGCAAGCACTCCAGCACCATTATTGCTCACATTGCCCTTATGGTTCTAGGATGGTGCTTTGTTCTTCCTGTCGGTAAGTAGCTGTTGTTGAGCTCTGAGCATGAAAGAAAACAGAAACTGATCTCAAATAGCTGTCATGCTGAGCATCGCACGCTCACGGCTTGCGATTCTATCACAATTCCTCTTCCTGGCCTTCAACGCGTTCGGTGTCCTACTTGGGGTTATCTATAACAGCCAGACCCCAGACCTCTACGAGAACAATGCGCACCACAAGCTCGGCTGGGTTGCGACGTGTGCTGTATCCACCCAGGTCGTCCTGGCTTTGCTCTTTGCCTACGCTGGCCGCGGCGAGTCGAATAAGTCGAATACGCCCTCTTATGAACACGCTGCGTTTCTGCCTGTCGCGACGGACGATAATGATAACGAGCATGCTTGCTTCAACGGTGCGATGCGCGAGCATCGCTGGTCTCGCGATAGTGGTCAGGGAACCGATAGCAACTCGTCTTCTATTCATAGCCCTGGATCGTGTTGCGAGTCGCCTACCGATTACGACGGATTTGAAAAGCCCGACGAACTACCGAAGGATACCGCTCCGCAAGGCTGGATTCGTCACACCGGTGTTGGTCGTTTCTTGTCCAAGACTGTCCCTGGTCTGATCCCCGGCCGAGTTCTCCGCGTTTTGAATGTCGTGTATAATATCGTTGACCGTGTCATTCTTCCATTCGGATTTGTCTGTATTGCGACTGGGGCTGTGACTTATGGTGGTATCATGAGGGGCCATGAAATCTTCAACGGCCTTGCTCACTTCATCAAGGGTGGTATTTTCTTCTGGTACGGTGTCCTGACACTTGGACGTTATATCGGTTGCTGGGCAGATCTGGGCTGGGCCTGGAACAAGAAGCCTTCGGCGTCTATTGTCGGCTGGAAATCTAAGGTTCCATCAGCTGAAGCCACAGAATCATTCGTCATTTTCCTATATGGCGCGACAAATGTCTTTCTCGAGCACCTATCCGGTGCGGGCAAGGCATGGTCTGCTACAGACCTCGAGCACGTTTCGATTTCTGTGCTGTTCTTCGGCGGCGGTTTAGTACGTCCCATCTCCTTTTTTTCGGCTCTTTATAAGAATCAATCTGACTAACCTGAAATAGGCCGGTATGCTTTTCGAATCTACCTGGATCCGCGAATTGGTCAACAACACCATCCTCCAGACCCCTGCTCATGGCACCTCGGATGAAGCCTGGACGCCACCGAGGTCGCAGGGCGTTTCCTTGAACCCCATGCCACCCCTAGTTATTATGTTGCTTGGCATGATGATGGGGTCGCACCACCAGGACAGCATGACATCGACTATGGTACACAAGCAGTGGGGTAACATGTTGGTTGGATTTGCGCTGTCGCGCGGCATGACATACGTTCTGTTATATCTCAAGCCACCGACCTCGTACCTCCCGGCTCGTCCCCCGACCGAGATCATCGCTGCATTCTGCCTAATCTCGGGAGGTCTGATTTTCATGATGAGTGTAAGTGCAATTAAGCTTTACAGTTTCCCCCAAGAGCATGACTAACAAAGATCTAGACCCGAAATGTGATCCAAACTATGGAGTACTACGACGTGGACGCAATGTTCACCTTCACTGTCGGCCTAGGCTTCAGTGCTTTCGTTATGGCTTATGAGATCTTGACAATTGCCCTCAAGGCCTGGGCCGTGAGGCGCGCACAGCGCCCTCAGCCAAACTTCCGCTTCGAGTGAAAAATTCTGCGACTTGTTTTCCTTTGATACCACCTTTACACTTCTGAGGTTTTTTGTTTCATGAGATATACGGAGTCATTTTGCTTGTGAATTCTTCATGCGACATAATATTTCCTGCAGAAAGATACCCCGGGAAGGAAAGTTTCTTGGAGGACCTCGGACATGATATTTTGTGACGTTCAATGTGTGAATGGACTAATGTGGTAATACGGTTGGTGGGATTGACTGGGACTGGATGTCCTAGTATCCCAGATATATGCAGTACAGATGTTTCTATGAATGCAATGTGATTTCTTATCTCTTCAAACTTACCATTGTAACGTGTTGGGGTAGATATAAGGAGTTAGGGTCTTATTTCCGTCATTGCCAGATGCCGACTGCCGAGGCAATGAAATCTTACTCTCATACATTTCTAGATGGGCAAAAGCCATGGATATATGCAAGTCGGATATTCGAAGGCAGTGCAAGACCATTGAGCCTCAGCTCCAGAGGGTCAGCCTTAGGTACCTAGTACCTACATAAGCAATGAGAATGTTAATAACGGCGGCGGTCCAAGAGGTTTACCCCTAGGAGCCAAAGAGCTCCATGAGGGGCAAGTAGGGGCAAGTGGAGTAATACGTCAATCAGCCAATTGGATTGGATGAAATAATATCTGACGAAATGGGTCAAAGACTCTAAGTTCGACATTGTACACCCAAGGGACATTTATAAGCAACCCCTCTATCCATGATTTGATATCGTACTTCATTTTTACATTTTATACCCCTTCATATTTCAAAATGGCTTCCAACACTCCCGCTGCCTGCTGTGCCTCTGGTTTCAAGCACGAAGGCACTCCCGCCGGCGAAACTAAGACTATCAACGGAGGTAATTTATAAAACTCCTCTATTTCAGCCACCCGAAGCCCCCCAAGCCCCTCAAGCCCCCGACGCCCCCGACGCCCCCAAAATTGTCCTTTTTAACCGAGTCATTTTCTAGTCAATGCCTATATCGCCCACCCCAAGGGCAGCAAGACCCCCGAGAAGGCCATTATCTTCGTGACCGATATCTTCGGAATCTACACCAACGCCCAGCTCCTCGCCGACGAGTACGCCAACAATGGCTACCTGACTATCGTCCCGGATATTCTCCAGGGCGACGCGATCGATGTCAAAGCCATGGAATCTGGCAAGGTCGACTTGTCTGCATGGCTCCCCAAGCACAAGCCCGCGGACGTTGAGCCCGCTGTTGAGTCGGCTATTAAGTACGCCCGGGAGACTCTCGGCGTTAAGAGAGTCGGTGCTGTTGGCTACTGCTTTGGGGCTAAGGTATGTATCTATAGTCCAGATCTAAAGATTCAATCTCCGAAAATACCTCATAACCCCTGGCTGACAATATTGGTTTAGTTCGTCTGCCGCAACATAAAGCCCGGCCTGATTGACGTTGGTTACATTGCGCACCCTTCGTTCGTCACCCACGAGGAGCTCGGCGCCATTAAGGGGCCTCTGTCTATCGCTGCTGCTGGTAAGTTGTTTGCAGGATATTAGTTTGAAAGGATGCAGCAAAGGCTAATTTTCGCGTTTCAACAGAGGTCGACTCGATCTTCACTACCCAGCTTCGCCATGAGTCCGAGGATATTCTTATCAAGACTACCCAGCCGTGGCAGATCAACCTGTTCAGCGGTGTTAGCCATGGCTTCGCTGTTCGCGGCGATCTGAAGGACCCCAAGCAGAAGTGGGCTAAGGAGCAGGCTTTCTGCCAGGCCATCGCTTGGTTTAACGAGCACCTGTAAATTAGTTGGACAATTTTAAATATAGATAGCAAATGCAAAGGCGATATACACATTTTGTGCTGAATAGACCTAGACAGCACGGGGTAGATTGAGCTGTCAAATCACCACCACGGGGTTTGTCTACCCGGACACCTTGCGCGGTTGGTCTTTATCGCGCGGCGTAATATTCGCGAACAAGTCGCTTTAATGGTTCGGTCTCCCTTGACGTCTCTTCGAGTTTGAATTTTCCATTCAGATTGTTTCCTTGACATTTGGAAGGCTACTCGTTTTCAGTTGGGGTTCTTGTCCCTTGTCTTCGTTTCACCCAGGATCGCGTGCGCCTGGTGAGTTATCCCTGGCATCGGCTTGGCAGATCAACTAGGAAAACAGAATCTAACTGATCTTTCTCTCCAGTCATTAATTGTTCGATCCACCATCTGACTGTTGAATAATTGTCAATTCTTACCAACGGCTCCGATCGCAACCCCTCTCGTTCAAAGTCGCGGTATATCCCGACTTGTCAGCCCGACTCTATTCCGGCCGCCCTGAGTGGTTTCGTCACTATATCTATTTTCTTCGAAAGTGATAGAAACGGATTAGCATCATTCAGCAATCATGACGACCCCTGCCGCTTTACCTCCGTTGCCTTTCAATCCGGGTCGGATACGGACATACCTCCTCCGACTACCGCTGTTTACTCGACTGGTGCTGCTGATCATTCTGGCCTTCTGGCTGCTCGAATTCCAGACTATTTGGAGTGTTGTGCAATGGGGCGCTTTGATTCCAGACGAGATCAACCTGGGGACTAGTATGTTTGATTTCATGTTGAAAAGCATGTCGGGCGCATGCTGACTTGATGGTGTTACTAGTGTACCGACTGAACACCTATCCCATCATCCACACGGGCTTCTTCCATGCTTTCTTTAATGCCGTGGCAGTTGCACCGCTGTTGGAGCGATTCGAGGCCGAGCATGGCACTTTGACTGCTATTGCGTTGTTTATTGGACGTGAGTGCTCTAGAAACGCGACGTTTGCGGCCTTTTGACTAATGTTGAATAATTCAGCTCTCTCGACTGTCCCCGCTGGACTTTACATCTTGATTGAGAGGTTTATCCTACACAGAAATACTTCGGTGGTCGGCGCAAGGTAAGCTTCAGATCACTAGGTTGAATGTTTCGGTAACTAATCTTCAATCCAGCATTTGGGTTTTCCTGCTTCTCGGCTCTGAAGCCATCAAGACATACAAGTCTCACCCTAACTTCAGGTAAGATTCACTTGGAAAACTTGCTCCAATGTTACTAACGCCCTTCAGTCTTGGCCCGTACAAGATTCCTACCTGGACCTCACCCCTGTTCGCATGTGTCGTTGTATCCATCCTCATCTCGAACGTGAGCTTCCTTGGTCATCTCTGCGCGATCCTTGTTGGCTATCTCCGTGAGTTCCCTTATCTGAATTAACCCTTCCCACTGCTAATCGTCGTTAGTTGGCCTCGGATATCTCAAGGTGTTTGTGCCCCCTGAGAAGGTCCTCCGTTGGATCGAGGGCAAGTTGAACCTCCTGGGACGTCTGCCTCACTATGTCTCTGTCGACCAGAAGACCTACGGTCGCTATGGAGTTCTTCCAACCAGCAACCCTGCCACCGTCAGCAGCAACAATCAAACAACCATGAGCTACTTGTGATCTACCCAGTGGGAACCTGATCACGGTATTGATGCATTCTTCATTTCATTTTAATGTATATTTTCCACTATAGTTTTTTATATTGCTGCAGACTCGGGGACATTGGATAATAGCATAGCGTGTGCATACTCACAATTAATTTGCACGGTTGGTCTTTATCGTTCGGCGTAAATTCCTCGCGCATCAACAACGGGAGCTCTATCTCCACTGTTGACTTGTAAGACTCCAGTTCAGTCCAATTATTCCGCTCATTTAACAGCTTCGCCTTCGCGGCACGGGAACTCATTTCCCGATGGTCATTAGTCAATGGCATTGAAATGTGAGCAAAGAAGCCTAATACCACCTGTCCTTCCTGGCGCCAGCACCGAGGACCCCAACTAACAAGATGCCAGCTGCAATCCGCAACTTGCGGAATAACCCCAATCTCCTCTATGTTCGCCTCCCGAATCTCGTATCCTTCATCTGCATAGTCGTCGGTGTCGTCTGGCTACTTCTCCTCCCTCTAAACGAGTATTCCCGACAGACCTACATCTCCGAGAATGCGCTCTTGCCGGGCCAAGTCCATGCGTATTTCACGGGAAGCGAGCAGAACATCTTCCGGGGTTACAAGAAAGAATTGGAAGGATTGTTGAATGATGGACAGGCGAGAGGCGGCCAAAAAGACGAGGCGGAAGTGACAGCGGCGTATGTCAAATGAACCGGGCACAGGCTGGACTATTCGCTGATACTTCGACAGGCTCTCGGACAAGTTGCAGTCAATCTTGCAAGCGGCGGGCCTTAAAGTTGCCACGCAAAAATACGAATACACCTCCGCTGGGATTACGCACCAGGGCGAGAATACTTATGCCATTATCCATGCGCCGCGCGGTGATGCCACGGAGGCGATTGTGCTGGTTGCGCCGTGGAAGACGGCTGATGATGAGCTGAACCTGAATGGTGTCACTCTTGCCTTGACATTGGCAAGATACTTCAAGAGTGAGTTTCGTGGTTGCGTGCCTCTAGTCGAGTTATTGACAGCTATCTAGGATGGTCGTTATGGTCCAAGGATATCATCTTCTTAATTCCTCCGGACAGTAAAACTGGCACTCAGGCTTGGATCGATGCCTACCACGATATGCACCCGGCTTCGGTGCAGCCACTTCCTTTGAAGAGTGGAGCATTGCAAGGTGCACTAGTCATCGAATACCCATTCGAGCACCGGTTCCAGACCCTCCATATTGTATATGACGGAGTCAATGGCCAACTCCCTAACCTCGACCTGTTCAATACAGCTGTAGCCATTGCAGGCGGCCAGATGGGCATCGGGGCCAATCTACAGGAAATGTGGGGTCACGACGACAGCTACGAGCATCGTCTGCAGACTATGTTCCGCGGTATGACCAAGCAGGGTCTCGGGTATGCCACCGGCGCACACAGCAGCTTCATGCCGTACCATATCGACGCTATCACACTGCAGACCAAGGGCGAGGGATGGGAGGATGAGATGGCCCTGGGCCGGACGATTGAGTCTCTTTGTCGCAGCTTGAACAACTTGCTAGAGCACCTGCACCAGAGCTTTTTCTTCTACCTGCTCATGCAGTCCAACCGTTTTGTCAGCATTGGAACCTACTTGCCCAGCGCGATGTTGATCGCTGGAAACTTCACCATCATGGCAATTGCTCTCTGGATACGTACTGGGTACTATCCGGAAAGCAAGCCAAGTGCTAAACCAAAGAATGAGAAGGCACCCACCGAAGAGAAGGGGACGAATACTATTGTCGAAAGGAATACTATCGCAGAACGATACCTTGCTTTACCACTCTCGCTTGTTGTCGGACTCCATCTACTCGGCCTTGTCCCGCTCTGGGTCTTTAATAATGTCTTCCATCAGGTGAGATCTGCCAGTCTACAACCACAATGATAATAGCTGCTAACGAATCTACAGTACTTCACAACTACCACCTACATATTTGTGGTCGTGGACATCATCCTACCCCTTCTCCTTGCCGCAATTCTCTCCAACGGCCTCGGTGTATCAAAACCAATCATCCCCCAACAGTACCACCTCATAAAATCCTTCTCCCTCCTCCTACTGGGTCTCTCCCTCTCAACCCTCGCCACCCTCAACTTCTCCCTTTCATTCATGATTGGTCTGCTCTGCGCGCCACTTAGCTTCATCCCTCGCCTGCGAGGCTCCGTGCCATTCCGCTTGGCAACCTCCAGTCTGGGTCTGGTGCTTCTCAACCTCGTCTCCCCGCCAGCTGTTCTCCTTGGCGTCTGCTGGTATATGGGGGTCTCAGTCGAGACTGTCCTCACCCAGGCGGCTTTCGGTTGGGATGTTTGGGGTATGTGGACCCAGGTCGTTGTTTGGTGTGTGTGGTGGCCGGCTTGGTTGATTGGCTGCGTGTTGCTGGGGTCGTCGATTTTCTGATTACTATATTGTACATTGTGTCACGCGCTTTGCCGCATTGATCCAATGCTTAGGATATTAATAAATAAAGTCCAGGAATCTACGTACTACTTCCAAGACAAAGAAACAAAGATGACTAGCGCGCTGGATACCACTGGCAGCAGGAAGTCCAAATATCAACTGCGGCTGACGTCCAGGCACCAATTCAATACCAATGCAATGCAAATACACATCCAAGTGCATTTAAATGTAGCTAGGTACGTACATGTTCTGCTCAAATATGTACTCTGAATGTGTACGCCCTCTTTAATGTGTTTCATTTGCCACGCCGTCCCTGTCTTCAAAGAACTGACTCGATTTCTGATTCTTACTCTCAAGGCCCAAGCATCTATCGCTTCGCAGCGGCCAATTACGATCAAAGAACATTCGGCATTTGACGCTAGAAGAGCTTAAGAGAGGTTGGACAAAGACCGCCCCCAACTTTATGCATACTATATCAGAGAGGTCATGCACGGGTGATTCAAGCGAACAATGAAAGCATCCAGGATGTCAAACTTCCGATACGACACATTTCCCCGAGTCTTTGTCAGGCCCTTGAACAATACTAACATCTCACATTCATCACATGCATGAATATTGGATTGTTCCTGACCAATTCCATGCGTCATGCCCTAACTCGGAAACAGCTCTGTTTCTTTCATGCAGCGTCTCTATCCAGTTTCGATTACACGGCCGCGATTATCTCTATCAATCTATATAAAGAATGAGCCTTGTTACTCGACCAAATGGCTGTATCTCCCAGGTCTACACAAGAACAAGATGGGTCTCTTTCGAATCGACTTCCTTGCTCTATGGCTTCTCTTCCTGCGTCTCGCGACAGCCGCCGTCCCGGTACCAACCAGCGACGGCTACTGCTTCGTCTATCTCATCCAGGGTTATGATACGTGTGCGCTGATTGCCAAAGCACACGGCATCACCGAGGCCGACATCGAGAGCTTCAATAAAAACACCTGGGCGTGGCTCGGATGCGGACGACTATACCAGGGCGACTTCATTTGTCTCAGCGCTGGGAAACCGCCGATGCCAATGGCCCTTCCGCATGCAACCTGCGGCCCACAGGTACCTGGCACAACACGTCCGGCAAAATGGGCCGACCTCCCTGGTTTGAACCCATGTGCTGAGTCCAAATGTGTAAGTAAAGTCCATATCCCCGTATAGATCTAGTCCTGACAACTACCAGTGTGCGTTCTGGGGTCAATGTGGTGTCTCCGATTTATATTGCGAGGGTTACCGTGCACCTCCTGCCGGTCCTACAGCCACCGTGAAAGGGGCGACAGAGGCCCCGACGTCCGAAGTCACTACCAAGGCAAAGGCAACCGGAGTCCAGCAATCCACCAAGACCGGCGCAGGCTCAAAAGCTACCTCCAAATCCAGCACCAGCTCCAAGTCCAGCACTACCGGAACCACCATCATCAAAGCCACGAAAATCACTACAACAACTAAACAAACTACTACCCAAAAAACAACAACACAAGCCGCGCCTAAAGCAAGCGCGTCTCAATATAGCTGGACGGCACCGTGGGAGATCACACTATACAGCCAAGCAAACTGCCAGGGCGACTACTACCACCTCGAGGGCTATAACAAAGAATACCTCGACGACAAGGGCTGCTTGGCGCTCCATGGAGGCCTCAATAGCAAGTTCACCGAGACAGGCGTGACCTGTAAATGGTGGACTTCTAATAGCCTCACGTGGACTAGTTGTGATGCGAGCAAACTTGTGAAACCCGAGTCGTGGCTGCTCAAGAATGGGTATTGCTCGATTTTTACTAAGACTGATTGTGATTGCTTTGATACTTGGAAGTTGTATTATCAGCCTAAAGGATGTCATAATAGGACTGAGGGGATTGATCCGCCTACTTTTGCTGCTTTGGAGTGTTCGATTAATGGATATTAAAGGGGATGTGGAGAGTTGTGTATATAGATTCTTTTCTCGGAATGAAGTTGTTCTGGTTTGTTATTCTAGAACTATGAATGTCTTATTCTTCTTATTCTTCCTTGATGAGTGAAGTAGATATCGAGTCAGGAAAACATGTAGATCACATGTAGACTCACTCATATTCGAACTAAAAATATATTGGAACCACCATAAGAACGACACCATTGTATTCATTATAATAGAACTTATCAGAACACAAGTGAGATAAGACATCTATGCAGCCCAAACATCCTTACCAGCCCCCTCGATCCAGTGACCGAGCTGATTAACACCAGCATCCCATTCCTTAAGACGGTTTCGCATGCCATCAATCTGCTTCATATCCAGAACCTTGGGCTGAACCCAGTGGATCTGTGCAACCTGGGCAACTTGATCAATAGACCCACGCAGCAAACCCAGCGACAAAGCCTTCATAACGAGATGTTCGATCCCATCCGGCTGCACCTTGGTCTCGGACGCGATAGCCTGGAAAGAGAGAGAGCGGTCATGAGGGGGACGGTGGAAGACCATCTCCGTCAGTGCCGAGAGCGAGATCTTCTGGTACAGGAATACCCGGTGTGACTCCAGCAGCTTGTTCTTGCTGATGTTACCGGCCAGCACATCGTAGGCAGTCAGGTCGCCCTTGTTGAAGGCGAAGAGAAGGTCGCGGAGCCAGTTGTGCGGGGTCTGGGTCAGCGAGTCCAGAATTGGGTGCAGGAGGAGCTCTCCGAAGTTGTAGATCGTGTCTGATACCAAGGCCGCCACGCTGAGGTTGTACGCGCGCGATGCGCGCTCGGTCTCGGTGAGTTCTTCCAGGTCAATGCAGGCGAGGTAGAGGAGGGCGTTTTTGTAGAAGGAGGCGAATTCTTGCTTAGCCTGGAGGGGGTGTTAGCTTCAGTTTGAGTGCCGTGTCCGGCTGGACATAGGATAAGTCGAATCACATACGTGGTAGTAGTCCGCATTCACTTTGTAGAATGACGCGTGCACAACAGTCTCGACCGAGTCGAACGTGTCTAGCACCCGCTGGCAGGTGGCCAGATCCGTCTGTGCTCCTTCCAGATGCTTCAGCGATAGCTTGACGTTGGCCACGTCAGCGAGCGCGTAGACATATGCATCCTGTGTGTCGGGCGTATCCGTCTTGTTGGCGAGGGATGTGAGGAAAGCTAGTCGTTCTTGGTCATCTAGAGGGAGATGGTTAGCTTACATCAACGCAATCGAACACTCATCATGGTGATTTTTTGAGCTTTCGGGCTAGACTGTGGACCACCAACCTGCGCATTCTGTTGCTGCCATCAATCCCAGCGACACAAACTTGAGCTGGTTGATTCGGTCGGCGAAACTGAGCACGAATGTCTTAAACAGGGCTAAGCGATGCGGAGCACTCTCTGGCATGCGGAAGAACTCGACCAACGAGTCTGTAAGCTGGTGCCATAGTTTGCGCTCCCAGTAATCTTCGAAGGTGAGGAAGTAGGGTTGTGTCTCCGGGCTTCCTTGTGCTTGCTGCTCGAGCAAGAAGTCGGGGATCTTAGACTCCATGGTGGAGATCTGTGTGCTGTTTAAGTTGGTATCACTGACAGAGGACGGTATGCTGGGTTAAAGAGGAAGGTGGGTAAACTCGGACGGAATTGGAGATGTTGATGGTTGATGCGGACTGCAAGAGAGCTGATATGATGTCCTCACGTCGGCAGTTTGGAGAGCTCTCGCTCACCGCCTTGGCTTCCACGGTGTTCGATGCTTTGCTGTTCGACGTCGGTTCTCTGCTTTGATTTTGATTATCTTTGGGGTTATATAGCTTTTTAATTTACATTTTCAACTGGTCCTGTGGTACTTAGAGATATTGCATTAATACAAATGAGAGGAGGGTGGTTAGTTATAAAATTCTCGGATTGATAAGCTAAGTGCCTTAAAAATCCAAGTTACATTGTGCTTAGTTGAAGGTCTTCACGCGAATTGAATTGATTTCAGCCAAAAAATCATGCTTTTTAAATACCGAACAGAATTTTAGGGTTTCTCGATTGCCTCCGTGACGATGCTTATAGACTTCAAAGCAAATTACTAGTATGCGGAAGGATACAGAAGATGAAGATACCACTATGTTCGCAGAGTTTGGCCATTTCGAAGGTGAAAAGGGAGCCAAACCCATCACAAAGAGCATTCTTCGGACACTCCTCACCCGCACGAGTTGTCTTTCAAAGGGTTGAACGTATTGATGCGCAATCTAGTCATTGGTGTAAGTACAATACGTTCGTCCTGATAAAACCATGAAGCCAGCGATATTGGATTAGTTCCACAGAGATCATGATTAAAGGCGGAATGATGAATTAGATTAAAGGAAGGCCCAGAGGGGTTGGGAAGTTTTAGTATGGAATTTGTAGCTGTCAAGATTTGACTATATTTGAGATGACATTCAATTACATGTCCAGCTCTCCGCGTGGCCAACCAATCCAAATACGACCAAGGCTTAAGCATCTAGGTCTTTGGGCTTGACAGCACGCACCAAATCAGGGTAATCAAACTTAGCGGCTGAGTTAAGAAGCGTCGAATTACGAGGATGCGCCTCCTTGGTCTCTCCACGGAATAAGAAATTCATCGGGAACCCAATATCGAACTCATAGGCCCCCTCAATCTCCTTGATATCCTCATCCGACAAATCAAGCCCAAGGGCCTGGATGTTACTCTCTAAGTGCTCAACCTTCCGCCCGCCGATGATAGGCGTTACATAAGGCGCCTTGTGCAGGACATATGCCAGCGCCACACTTGTCATCGCCGCCCCGTGTCGCTTTGCGACACTCTCAAGAACTTTCGACACCGCAATTTCTTGATCCGTAGCTGTGCTGCCGCGCCCAGGGCTCTTTGATTTGGAAAATTCTTCCCATTGCGCTTGACTTTTGAAGTTGCCACGCCCTAATACGCCCCAGGGTGCAAGACCCATCCCTTCAGATGCGGCCATTGGGATGATGTCTCGCTCGAAGTCGCGTGCCGCGGCATTCCATCTGCCTTGGTAGACGGAGAAAGGCCGTAGGCCGTGGTAGCGGGCGTCTGGGTTTTGTTAGTGTGTTTTCGTCGGTCGAGGTTAGGTGAGCTCACATTGGTTTGCTTTCACCACGACCCAGGCAGGTGTATCGCTGATGCCTAGGTAGAGCACTTTTCCGGATAGGACCAGCTGATTGAGTGAGGTCATGACTTCTTCAATGGAGGTGCTAAAATCCCACCAGTGGACATAGAGCTGCATCCAAAATTTAGCAAACGCTGAGCTATAACAGGTTCTTTTATCTCATAGTGGCCATACCAGATCAATATAGTCCGTTCTGAGCTTCTTGAGACTAGCATCAACCGACAGCTTTAAACTTTTGGCATTATTACCGACAAAGTTTGCCTGAATCTCAGATGGAACATGGGTGCGGTAGCCAGTGGTATACTTGCTGGCGAGAACAATCTGATCACGTACACCGCGAGCTTCCATCCACTCGCCGAGCCATTTCTCTGAATCTTCGTTTTGGTAATCGTTGGCTCTTCTGTTCGTTAGGTCTATCTCAATAGAGACAAGCAACAATTGTTTGACTCACGTGTCAATAAAATTGCCCCCATTGCCGTAGTATGTGTCGAGGATCTTGAAAGATGTATCCTTGTTGCATTCGCCGAGTCGTTCTTTCCTGTTGACAATTGTAGCGTTGGAGAGAGCGTTGATTGATATCAAGCACCTACCAGCCTTCACCGAAGTTCATTGCACCTAAGCATAATGGACTGACCTTAACGCTGGCAGTGGGGGCGAGGAGACGGTAACGGCCGAGATGGGATTTTGGGGTACAAGCAGGGGCAAACATGATGAATAGGTGTTTTTAATGTTCAGAAGCTTTGATGGTTCCAAAAGTGAGAGACTAGAGCAAAGAAATATCTTATTTATATTCCTCATGTTCTCATACACGGGGTCATTTATCCCCCGGACTTTACAAGGTCCTAAGCCCGATCAGTGGTGGGGCATCGTTTGGTGGCGGTACGTCCGTAATATATCCACCAATCAAAATGTCACTAGTAAACCTAATGCGGCAGCTCCGTCGTGCTCCACAATACAGTAGCCTCCCGGTCATAATCCTATTACTCCGCAAATAGATCGCGATTACCAGCCAAATGTGGAAATTATTGCTTAGTTGGGCATATATTACAGTGATGGCCAATAAGTCCACATAATGAACATGTTGGAGGTCGACGACCTCCAGTCTAGGGAGGAAAATTAGGCTCCGCTGGTGTGACCTCTCCCTCCTCCCTTTCTTTGTGTCTGTATTAGATCCTGAGCCTCTGTAGTAGATAGGCTGCCTTCGTAAGTGAATTGAGAAAGAAACAAACAGGGACACAAGATGGCTTGACTCGTTCCTGGAATCATTCATCATTGGGTTGAATAACTTTCACGGAGATAATGCCTAGGGATTGTACATAGCCGCACGTCCTTGCTGTCGGCCAACTATGTTAGCAGAGCAACCGGCTATAAATGGGTTCCCGGCTCTATTTCCGAGGCATTTGACAATCTGTACGCCTTGAAAAATCTTGGCGAATACTGGATATGGCCCCAAAAATATAACATTTTCATCTCTTAACTCCGAAAACCCGAGATGTGAAGTTATATATGGAAGATAGACCAAGAGACAACAATTTGATATATTCCAGCAAGCGAGTAAATCTCTACAGGCCTTTACTATCATCGTTTTTATTTTGATCTAGTTCTAGAATGGTTTCAAAAGGCATTCTTCCTTGGGTTGCTAGCATGCTCTTTAGTGCTGCAACCTCGGAGGTCTTGACTTGCAGTGACTGGCTTTTAGGAAAGGATCTTGATGTCATACAACCTCAACATGGAAATATTGATTACTTGTGGAATCAGCTGTGGCGGCCATTGGTAAATTTGTCATACTTTTTCATTTTTTATTGGAGATTGAATTCCGGCTAAACTTCCTAGGCGATTGCTCAGGCCGAGCCCTTTTATGACGCAAATGTGTCAGACTTTGATCCTATATTTGATCATCTGATCAAGGTAAGCTGAAAGGGTCTTCAATTATGAGTATTCGGGGGGTTTTCATATTGATGTTACTACAGTATAATATATCGGATGCAAATACTGACGAATATGTGAATGCTTTTCTTCCAACTGCCAGAGATCTCATTTCCCGGGCAGAGGAAGCAGAAAATCACCGGAATACACAGATTGCGGGAGATTTGTATACGTATGTACCAGTGCTCACTTTGCAAGACATGCAAAGAATGATTCCGCTCGGGAAAGGGAGCTGATTGACAGAGAAACAGTCGTGCTGCTGTTGTCTTACGTATTGCAAGATATCCTTCACCAATTATACCCACAAAAGAGCTTGCTTGGAGAATGCAGGTCGATGCTTACTTCAAGAGCGCCAAGTAAGTAGCCATATAAATCCCCGATCTCTATTTTTGGCCTTTGGCGTGGTAGCTAAGCACTGATCATGAATTCTTAATAGATACCTTGATCCTCCAGTCTCTTCCGTGCAAATAAATCACACATATGCTGCTAATGGGGATGGACCTACGATTCCGGTTGCTGTCCGACATGTTCCAGATTCGGAATCCTCGGCCATACTACACCCAGTTCTTCTTTTTGTTACTGGCGTCGACGAATTTCGGCCTGACTTCAATCCATTGACCGAATGGGCCGTCAATCAGGGATATGAGGTTGTTGTGGCCGAGGTGCCAGGAACAGGTGACTGTCCAAGCAACCGATCGGACCCGGTGGCCGGGGATCGTCTATGGAATAGTGTGCTCAATTGGATGGAAAGCCAACCTCAATATGATACCGGACGAATTGGAGTCTGGTCATTCTCGACGGGAAGCTATTACGGAGTTAGAATGGCACATACCCACTCTGATCGTTTGCATTCGGTCGTCGCCCAAGGGACTCCGGTGCATGAAGCATTTAGCCCGGACTGGATTAGTCACAATGACGACCACGAATATGCGTTTAGGTATAGTTGCTTTGGGGTGTTTTTGTATCAATTACTAACAACGTTTACAGGGCGACCCCTGCGCTGACGTCTAAATGGGGTTACGAGAGCCTCGATGAGTTCAAACAGAATAGTATGCAGGATTATTCCCTTGTCCTAGATGGTACATTGGAACAGAATTCAACGCAGCTACTTATGATCAATGTAAGTTTTTCTCCACCCTGGCGGTAATTATTATTGCTATGGTAAATCTCAAATTTTGATAGGGGATAAAAGATGGGTTCTTTCCAGCCGAAGACACACTGATACCTCTTGATTTTGGCCAGCCAAAGCTCGTCAAGCTTTTCCCTAATGAGACCCACATGGGAGGTGACCCAGGTTTCAAATTGGCTCAAGATTGGTTGGTGAGTGTTCTGTGAATGATGAGATAGGAAAAATATTGCCTATAGTACGTATCATACGCGAGGATTTCCAAAAACAGTGATTTCGATTGGATTTTCCTCATGATGAACAGTTATTCGTTCGATGTAATGTATTCTTTAATTTTGTGCCACTCTACAGGACTGCCGTCAGCTCAGCAGGCAGCTCAAAATGAAAGGAATTAGTCCAAGACTGATTTTTAGCAAGTAGAGCATAGGAGGTCATTTAAATAATAGCTTTTTAGGTGACCTCAAACAGTCAAGGGGGACAAGAAAATTGTCTGGACATGATGGGTTACCTGGCACTGCGGTCTAGGAACGCAGTATCAGATCTAGCCCAAATGACCTGGGACAAACTAAGATGGTAGAGGAACGGTAGCAGACGCAGCGAAGACAGCGGTACTGGTGAGAAATTATTCGTTTCCCTCACATTACGAAGCCTCTTCCACATGGAGCGGCGATAGGGCGTCTTTCTACGCTCACATGTGACGTCTTCCAATCAGCTTCTATTACGGTGACCATTTTGAACGAGCCCGCAGATGTGACGCCAAACAATCTTCATATTGATCAATCAAAAGACAACAATTCGTCTATTTCAAACACGAGCGAGCGAAATTGTGCTCGAAACACGGTGGGGTACCCTCGAGAAAGGCCGAGGACCGTATGATACGGATCAAGAACCGATTGTGCTGGTCCCCTCGCCCATGGTAGATTCTTCGATGGACAATCACTTGATATAGGCTTGGATCTTGTCGGTAACATCTTGGAGACTATGAACGACCAGTGTGGGCTTCAGATCCGGGATCACAGCGTCTTTCCAGCCTGAGCCTGCTCGATCGACCCAAACCGCACGCATGCCCATGTTGCGTGATCCGACAATATCGAACGGATTAGCGCTGATAATCCATATATCTTCGTTTGCAAGTCCCTTGCCGAATTGCTCAGCTAGACGCTGATAGAATAGTCGAGAGGGTTTGTAACGTTGTATGTCGTCTGCCGTGAGAAGCCCGTGAAAAATGCTGGCATGCTGCGAGAGGCAACGATTCACCGAATTCGACACCATTACATTACTACCATTGGAGAAGATAACCGGCTTGAAAAGGCTTTCCTGGCTCAGTTTGTCCAACGCTGGCGCGACATCAGGGAAAGCAGACAGATTATCATAAGCCGTCATCAACTGTGATATACTCGCGTCATCAAGCGATTGACCGTTCTCCGCAAGTGCATGCAACAAGGAATTCCGAGTGACCTCGGTGAAATCTTCGTAACGTGCTATCATGAGTCAGCTCTGCTATCGATGCAAGGAACATTCTAGGCAGCTCACACATGCTATTCAGCCTCCAAGTATATTCCAATTGGAAACGTCTCCATTTTTCCGAAATTGCCCTTGCAATTTCTGGCTCGAAATGTATCTGCAGATGACTTTGAATCGATTCCGTGGACAGCAATGTGCCATACAGATCAAACGCCAGTAGTATTTTGGCACACATTATGGAAATTTGCAGTGAATCCTTCCTCTTTCCAAACGATATGACTAGAGTGATGAAGCTCGACTGATGTAATCCCTCAGCTATGAGAACAGTGCGCTTTTATATGCGAATGCGATTTCTCGCATTCGGCCGAAAACCCCGCTCGCGGCGGGAACGTATTACAGAACATATCCCAGAACCCTATGTAACCTATGTTTTGGAGTGTAGAGAAACCTCTCGCATTACGTCAGTCACTAGAATCCCCAAATGGTTCGGGCAAGTTCCACCAGCCTATGGCAAATCAAGTGTTATTGTATCTTACCAGGGGGCTCCACTGTTATGGGCTGCTATGTACCATACATCCACACCTTCAGCCACTGCACCCCCGGTCCGGAGGCATGCCTTTCGAGAGACATCACCTGATGACGCATTCCCGGGAATAGAGGACTTATCTCCAGTGCGGCTGGCCCGGGTGATAGTCAAATCGAATTGGGATAACACTTCCAAGATGAGCTAAATTTGTGGAGGCAAGTTGCTACCCTTGCAGCGTTAGGCTTTTATGGCGATCCGATGCCAGTCTTTTATTCCTCGGTCTAGAAAAAGGTGCACGGAAGGCGGTCTGGACTGAAGGGAAGATAAATTCCAAAACTCGGGCATTTCGGGCAGTAGAAGTTGACGGAAATACGGTGGTAAGGCAATTGTATATGTGGCAGAAAAATGTCAATAAATTCTCTAACTCTCCAAAAGAACTCGGTACACGAGCAGAGCGTTAATACTCGGCGGTGGTCCAAATAGGTGTTTTGCGGACTTGCGCCTATTCACTGCTGTACTGCCGGGGTTGAGGCCAACGAGACTTTCGGTGTTTCAGCCGGTGGTGGGTCCGGGTACACACCCGCCCATTGTTTCCACTCTTTATGTTCCGGGTTTACAGGCTTACTGGAGATGGCAACTGGGGAAGCCAAAGGAATTGTGATAATTCCGAGGCAAAGATCCGCTGCCCTTATCTGCTCTCAAGGGTAATACTCCAATTATATTGTGGGTGCGAGACTGGTCGACCTAGGCGTACATGATTGTGATATCAGTCCCTCGCGGATATACCCCGAAGAGATAAGCGATCAACTCGATATTCTCTCACTCAATTTGCCCACCCAAGTAACCACTGTTCGAGGCATACAAGACCTCATCGGAGACCGGCTATTCAGAGATCTCCATTCGAACATGAGTCCGCACGTTGGCCTAGTTGTTGAGGGTACAGCTCATGTGAAAGGCAAGGCTTGCGGCACACTCATCGCAAGTGACTTAGAGCTCAGCTTCTGGGGTGGAGTCAATCCTCAGACAGGAGAGATTATTGACCGTCATCACGATTTGAGTGGCTACCATCTCCAGGATACTGTCCTTGCTATCCCCAGTGGTCGTGGTTCATGCTCTGGAAGTGGTGTCATGTTGGAACTTCTCCTGAACAAGAAAGGACCAAGAGCAATCCTTTTTGAAAGACAGGAGGATATTCTCACTCTCGGGGTGTTGGTCTCGGAGGAGATTTTTGGGAAGACCATACCGGTTGTCGTATTGAAACCGAAGGATTTTCGGGCAATGTTGAGAATGAAAGGGAATGCTATCTACGTCGACTCCCACCGCGTTTCCGATAGAGTCTTCAGTGACACACGAACAGAGCTCCAAAAAGAGCCAAACGGAGGCTCTTTTGCTGAGGATGTGCAGCTCTCGAATTTCGACAAAGAACTGCTTCAAGGACTCCACGGGGAGGCCTCTCGTATCGCAATTCGGATTGTTTTGCGGATGGCAGGCCTCCTAGGAGCCCACGAACTGATGAATGTGACTCAAGTTCATGTGGATGGCTGTGTTTATACAGGCTCCGGGTCTCTTCAGTTTGCAGAGAAGCTCCGGGACTGGGGAGGGAAGGTCCGAGTTCCTACCACGCTCAATTCCATCTCGATCGATCAAGAGCGATGGCGTGATCAAGGTGTCGATTCTTCATTTGGGGAAGCGGCCGCAAAATTAGCGAAGGCATACACCGACATGGGCTCTAAGCCAACCTTTACCTGCGCGCCATATCAGCTGCAATCAGCACCAAGAAAAGGGGAGCAAGTCGCTTGGGCAGAATCTAATGCAGTTGTCTATGCCAATAGCGTACTTGGGGCTAGGACCATGAAGTATCCCGATTATCTGGATATATGCATTGCCCTTACTGGGCGCGCTCCTAAGGCAGGACCGCATGTTGACATCAACAGAATGGCGTCACTCATCGTGACAGTTGATCTCCAGGATGTGGAGGGTATTGACGATTCCTTTTTCCCTATATTGGGATACCACGTCGGAAGCATTGCTGCAAATCGCATTCCCGTGGTTATTGGACTACAGAATTTGGCGCCATCCAAAGATGATTTGAAAGCCTTTGGGGCTGCGTTTGCAACCGTTTCTAGCGCGCCCATGTTTCATATGCTGGGTGTCACCCCCGAGGCAGCCTTGCTCAGCAATATCATGGACGAAACACACCAGGTGCCGTCCGTCGCCGTTAGAATGGAAGATCTGATTGAGCCCTGGCAGAAGCTCAACAGTGCACATGAGCATCAGTCCATCGATCTCGTCTCCCTGGGGAACCCGCATTTCTCAATAAAAGAAATCAAGACATTGGCTCTCCTTTGTGAAGGCCTTGCTAAATCACAAGATGTTTCCATCGTGGTGACATGTGGGCGGTCTTCCTATAGCTTAGCCAGCCAAGCGGGTTGGGTTGAACAATTGGAGAACTTTGGCGTCGAATTCATTACAGACACTTGCTGGTGTATGATCACGAAACCAACGATCCTGACAACTGAGAATGCCATCATGACTAATTCTGGGAAATATGCTCATTATGGACCTGGTCTGACAGGACGAAAGTTTTTCTTTGGAAGTCTCATGCAATGTGTCGAAGCGGCATGTCGAGGCACCTATGCAAAAGAAATGCCACAATGGCTGCTCAATACCAGTGGACGATGATTTGCGGATTGATTTACATGTATGACTTTTTGAATCTGCTTTTTTTTTTTTCAATGGCAAATATTATCTAGTTATAGTTCAACTTCATAGCGCATTTACGAATACAATATACAAGGTCCTGTAATGTCGATGAGTCGTATACGAGACGCGAAGACCTGCTTGCTTAAGAAGTCGAAATTGACCGCTATTTTATCACGATACTTAAGTCCTGCACTCTTCATTTTGAACAAATCAATTCCAGTGCCTTTCAATTCCTCTTACTCTGTTAAAATCCTCAAAATCACCGTGTCCCCATCACGCTTTGTATTGTAGATGATATGATTGTACCTGCCGGAAACACTTAGTGGATCCGGGTACACTCTCCCGCCCCACTGCCCCACTACTGTATTTGGTTTACAGTCCCCATCGAAAGTTTCCGTAATTTTCTGCGAGGCGACGCGTAACGAATTGACTAAACATCTTATGAAATGGTAACATGAAGATGTTGAGTTAGCGGGCAGGTACAATTCATACAATCTTCCCACGTGACATGATCTCATGATCAGGGCGGTGAACAAAGAACTCTCATCCTCATTCTCAGATTCCATCATTCATGTGCTAGAAGACGAGATAACCAGCCATGGATGATTCTAGAAAGGGCCGACGATGGCGGCATCCTGTCCCACAAGAACTTCGGAAACGAGCTACTCGAGCGTGAGACGGTCCCGCTTCCTGGTTCCTGCAGTTCTTGTAGGATGGCATCCTGGTAGACAGCTTGTCACTGACGATTTATCGTATCCTCAGATGCATTGCCTGCCGTAAGGCCAAGGAAAAATGCGAGGGCGGGCGTCCTTGCTCTCGATGTTCTCGATTTGGACAGCAATGTATCTTCGAAGCCGCACATTCCGACCGGTAATTTCTAGATCTATTGCTTCTCCAGATGTCGCTCATATGCATCACAGACGTTTTAGAGAAGAGTTTGACCGAACAGACGAAAGAGAACGAATTCACTGGATGGAGTTACTATTGAAGCATTATGTCCCAAATATATCGCTCGAATTGCAGTCGCTGCGAGAGAGGGCTTTGGAAATCAGCAAATCAAGTACCACTGGACAGGTGAAATCTGGTCAGTCGAATGAAATTATGTCAATAGGCTTGGCAGAAGATACAGAATTTGCCATCAGTCCCCAGTCGAACACGACAACACGTGAGTCTGGCCTACTACAAAGCTGCGATACTGTTTTCGTCTTCTACACCAATGAGCTGACTTCGTTGTGGGCCAAAGAGTACGCAGGTGAGCTCTCCTATGTGTCTCTGTCTATGAGAATGCAACAGGTCATCCACCAAAGCCTCCGTAACACACTCCCAGAGGTATTGTCTGACAACCTTGTCCAAAAGGCATTTCTCAGTAAGCCCCTTTGACTAACTGATTGATGAAGGTATATGAGCCAACAGACCTATTTGGGGATCAGTGGAGTGCGCATCCATTGCAAAGCGAAACAGGCTTGATTTCCTCGTCGTTGGAGTGCCTCCCTCCGCGCGATGTTGCTGAATTTCTTATCAACTCTTTTTTCAATTATGCCCAGACAAATGATTTCTACGTGGAACAAAGCCAGCTCTGCGAGACACTAAATTTATGCTACTCATACTCGGCTCAAATGCAGTTACCACATCCCGACGCAAGCTCTGTATGCGTCTTGCTAATGACACTGGCTATCGGCACTCGCTTTGCGCACATGGGTTCTCCTTGGTGCGTTCGTTCTGATCGAAAGATCCAATCTGTACCAGATCATAAAGGCGGTACTCAATTCTCCGAAGACGAACTGGGACTCAAATTCTACCGATTCGCGTCGAAACTTCTGCCCCTTATAATTGCTTCGGCCTCACTGCGCACTGTTCAAGCATGCCTCTTAATGGGGACTTACTTTATCCATATCGATGCATCTGGTCTATCATTCACCTATTTAGGGTTGGCATTGAGAATGGCAGTCCAAAATGGAATGCATAGGCGATACACCGGGCACGATCTCGATACAGAAACCATCGAAATTAGGAACAGGGTATTCTGGACCACGTATTCCCTGGAAAGGTATGCAGTTATATTAGATTCGTGTACTGATAACCCATGATGACAATAAAATCAGGCGCATCGGGATATTACATGGGAAGCCCACTTCTCTGAATGTTGCGGAAGTTGATGCTGCATTTCCCACAAATATCCCTAGCTTGCGACCAGCAAATGACCCGTCCAACTTTTCAAACATGATAACTTCTATTTGTTTAACATCGAACCTGGCGAACTTCGCCACTGAGATGTAAGGAGAATGCTTAAGCGATAAGTGAACTGCTACTCATACTCCTTTAGTGCATCGCTACGGAAAGCATCCACAGACCATAAAAAGCAATGCTTGGACAATTTACTTTCGCAACGAGAATCATTTCTGGCTTGGTGGGCCAGCCTACCAAACGGAGGGTTGTGCAGAGACCTCGGTCCATCAAGTGGCTATTTCCGCACCACCATTCACCTGCAACTCGACTGCTGTTTGATTAGAATCTTCCTAGGCTGGTATCCTTTGATTGAGAGGGTCACAACTTCCTTTTTCCACAATCCAGAAGCCGTCGATATAGAGGATGATCTACCAGGAAAGTCGATACTAGAAGCTGATTGTGTGAAAGCCTCGTTTGAGGTCGTTAACCTGTGCACTCTGCTCGATGACAAGATAGGTCTTGCCCGGGTGTCCTTCACGGAATTTAGTGCATGTCGGGCGGCGTTGCTGGCGATTCTTGCACAATCAATCTCGACACGCACGGCGAAGCTTCGGAATGCGTTATCTACCGGACTCCGGTTGTTTGGGGTCATGTCAATGGGGGTGGGCTCTGCGCCATCTGTGGTTGCTTGTATTGAATCTCTACAGAAATCTCTTCACCACAGAATGGGACACAGCCCTGGGAAGATGTCGACCGAGGATTTAGGCTATGACCTTTTTAAAACCTGGGTCAATGATTGGGGAACTGAAGCCGCAAGCATCGGAGCCAGGGCTTCGAATACAAGCCACTACACAAGTCGTGCAACCAATCATAACCAAGGGGATGGCGTGCTATCAAATGTAATGGACTCGTTGGGGTTCGATGGCCTATCATCGGCCGACTGGTTCAATTCGTGGTCGTCTTTATTCGCAGAGGTGGAACAATGAGAAATTTTCGAGGTGACATGTGCTGCTCTTTAGTACCGAAGCGATTAGAAAACAGAGATAAAAAGATTATATACCTAGGTATATTTTGCTGATCTCAACAGTTCGTTCTCGAGAAATCAGAGGAATCTCACAGCTTGAACATGACATACAATGGTGGCACACCCAGGGGAACGGCCAGGTCAATGTGGTCTTCTCAATCACAGTTTACCCTCGGAGCAAGATCACCATCGAGAATTGGGATCCTCCAGCACATGGAGCAAATCCTTTGCCCACCCAAAAGATGGAGATTGTTCGACACCCAACTAAAATTGGCGGATCCCTCAAGATCGATTTCGAGGACGTATACCTTCGCCCCAAGCAGCGCAATGAGACCGATTTTATTCTTACGAATGCCGAAATGGAAAGGTTCGCATACTTAGTATAGTGCGCTCAGTTTCCCTGGCTTCCTAGATCATTCTTTCGACCTGAGCGCTGACTGAGCATAGACTGAGCATAGACTGAGCATATCCTGAGCGCTTACTGAGTGCTAATTGAGCAATATTTGGACATTATTAAGCATACCCTAAGTGCTCACTGCTCACTGAGTGATCACCTGTGCTGTGGAATACAGTGAGCAAGACCCTGGGCGCCACCATAAAGCAGCGGCACCGATATATACAGCAACATATTTTTTCACCTTTCTTCGTACTCGAAATCCTGAGCGGTAGTTGTACTTTATTTATAATTGTTAATATTATTTGCTCCATGCTAGGAAATACACCCTAGATCAGCTAAGAAACACCACTAGCTTTCCTTTCACAATCCTCTTCCAAGTCCTTAGGTGTTGTATATGGACGGGTCCCCTGCCTAATCCTAATTGGACCATCAACTTGGACAGTGAACATAACGGCTTATTTCTCATCGCGTGAAAGCAATAGGTACCGTAAAGGAAATGATGATTTCTAGAGACTTAGTACTCACTTGCATGAAGGCCCCGGAGTCTACGTAAGTTGTATGCCGAGCGAACAATGCACGTGTTGGCCTCCAGGTTCCAAGGGATCTAAACTATATGAAAGTGGAGACATAGGTGTAATTGAGCGACCTTGAATAATCCTGCTGTCAAGTTGCTCCTGGTGCTAGGACATGCTAATCAAAGTGGAATACTACGATACTATGACATGATGTATAAGAAGGCCCCAAAGGGAAAGGTATTTTGTATTTTTGTAAAACCCCGACCACACCCCAGCAGGGAACATGGAATCATAGATGCTAACGAAAAGCGACACATTTAAGCGTCATCGACGTTGGTGGTGTGGAGGCCCTTGGGGTCCTTGACGTTGACGGCCTGGACGTGGGAGTAGAGACGCTCGGTGGCGTTCTCCTCGTCGTTACGCTTGCGGGAGATGCGGACACGGATACGGAAGGGAACGCCCTTGATACCGGCTTCCCAGACCTTCTTGTTCAGCTGGGGGTCGACGCGGACGTCCTTGGTGCCCTGTTGGTGAGTTGAGCATGTTAGCGAACTGATTCCCCAGCGGGGTCAGGGGAGATCGCTCAAACTTACCATAGCCTGCGTAGCGAATGCGCGGATCTCCTTGATGGCCTTAGGAGCACGCTTCTTGAAGCTGACGCCGTGGCACTATAATTCCGGAAAAGAAGTTGCAATCAGTCTTCCGCCCGAATGCCATCTGCTAGAGAAAACTCTGCGCGATGAATGTTCTGGTCTTTCGGCCATAGTGGACTTCATAAAACTAATTCTTCTTTTGTGTTCCGGGTGCGGATATGTGTGGATGCGAGCGAAGACTTTTTCAAGATCTCCGCTCGGCTGTCTCTATCGCGAAGCAGACAAAAGACGAAAGCGCCATGTCCTACCTGCAGATTTCTCCGCAGGCCATGGTGAGGGTGGTAGTGTGACATAGGGGGGATTGGTTTCCCATTCGACCCCGGATGCACACACACACCAATCCACACCACACACATTCTTTTCCGTAACAAATTCCATTTTCAGGAAAAAGTTTCTTGTTCTCTGTCCAATATATGCCTCCAGAACTGAATCGTATTCGAATCGTCGCAGGTAGACAGGGAAAGGGTTTGTGTTCAACATACTCGCTTGTGCAGGTTGATGGTGTACTCGCGAGTCACCACATCGGCGATAGCCGAGCGCTTGTTGCCAGTCTTGACGTTGGACATCTCTGCGGAGAAGGTTAGAGGATAAATTCGGAGTGGTGATTTGAATAGACTGACTGAAGGGGTGGTCGACGGTGGGCGGAGGTGATCGATTGTCAGAAGAAGAGTTCGCGGTCGATTTTCGAGTGAAATTCAGTGTGGTCTCGCTTGCCTGCGCGGGGTCTGATTGGACGGAGTGGGGCCATTTTCAGCCAATGATATCGTGGCTGTGGATATCGATGCCTCAGGCAATAACCACCTTATTCAATCTCTGTTATAGTGATTTAATGAAGTTCTCTGAATGTTCAAGTTGAGACTATATTCTCTAGATAAAATTCTAATAAAAATCCTTCGCAGTCTCCCAAAATCTATTTCTGGCCTGCGCTCACATCGGGATAAAGATCAAATCGGCGCTGGGTGGAGATGGGAATTCCACTGCGAATGTCCGCAATGGAATCGTTATCCAAGTCAGCGTAAATAATAGTCTCCTTATCTTCAGCCTCGGAGAGAATAATTGCGCTTGGGTTAGCGACCAAGCTGTGACCATAGGCGTGGTAGGCGGCATCGAGATCACGCGCCGGGCTGCAGAGTGCCACATATGACTGGTTATCAACAGCCCGGGCACGAGCAAGGAGCGACCAATGCAAAGGACCGGTGGTGGTGTTGAAGGCCGCCGGGTAGACGAGGAGGAAAGCGCCCTGGCGGGCGGCGATCATCGCTGCCTCTGGGAAACGAATATCGTAGCAGATGGCGAGACCGATCTTTCCATACTCCGGGAGATCAATGACTGTCAGCTCGTTGCCAGGTGAAAGTACATCGCTCTCCTTGAACTTAATCTTGCCCGGGATATCAATGTCAAACAGATGAGTCTTGCGATGAGTGCCAATCAACGCGCCCGTCGGCGAGAACACCAACGAGGTATTGTAGTACTTCTTTGTTGATGGCTCCAGCTCGGGAATACTCCCGCCGACAAGGTATGCATTTGCCTCTACGGCGATGGCCGACAGGGCGTGGAAGGAGGGCGATTGTTCAATCGTGGGAGGAGAGGGAAGGAGGGTCTCGGCGTATTTGGGGAAGAAATTCGTGCCATAGGGTGAGTTGAAGCACTCGGGAAGGACGATCAATTTCGCGCCAGCCTTTGCAGCTTCCAGGACTTTGCTCCGAGCATGAGAGAGGTTCACGGCCTTGTCCGCTCCTAGATGGTTCGGTCAGCTGGGAAAACATTGACAGATCTTGGAAGTCAAACCTGATGCGAGCTGGACAAGAGCCAATTTGAGGGGCTGTTTCAAGAAGGTAGCCATGATTAGGAGTAGGAAGAAGAAGAGTTGGAGGTGAGGGGACTATTAGAATGACTGGAATGATATCGGAGTTGCGCGTTGCGAATGTTGCGAATTGCGGGGACGGCTATTTCGCCGATAAGCAGATTTCAACATTACTCGCTCAAATTGTTGTACGTGAGGTCGATGTTGGAGATGTTGGAGTAATTTCGACTTGGTTCTTACTAATTCCGTGTAGATAGGCTGGTAATCTTATCCGGCTTCAATTATTGGAGTCCAGTGGTATTTTAGGCCTCTTTTTGATCCGAAGTAGAGACGTTCAGCAGGTCACTCTATTGAGTAATGCATTTACTCCCAGGAAGCATCCCAGGGTCCACTATTTGGGGTAATAGATCCTCTACGGAATATTTACTAACTGGTATTCATATGTCAATGAGCTTTTGAACCTCATATATGATTCCGATACTGAGTTTCTCCATTTTATACCCGAATATGCGTGATCTCGACCTTAATCTCTGCTTAGATGCCGCTAATTGCTCACAATGCTTCTGATACTAAGATATCTCAATTCCGACTCCGAAGCACCACTTCTATGGGTCCCTTCGCCTAGGCACTAGGGACCCCCAATTTGGGGCATCTCCACGGAGTATCACCTAACTACCCCAACACCAAGCAGCACCAGGCGCCCTTGGACAGCAATTCAGCTACGGAGTAGAATTAGTTAGGATTAGCGGGAAACAGACCTGCATTTATAGGTTACTAAGCAGGCTTAGAGCAAAGCAATGAAACCCTAAGCCCTACCTGCCTAATTGGGATGATGCCAAGCAGAAATTAGCATCTAGTAATGACCACCATATTCCTAGTAGTTAGGACATAATGCGCTTGTATTGCATACTGAAATACCATAAGTGCAAGCAAATCGTCAATCGGGGCTATGCGGCTATGCCACTAAGTTCTTATGGACGTCTGCGAGACTTCTCAGACTACCTAGGGTCCGATCGACCATTACGGATTTTTCGCCTAATCTGGCATACTTTACGCTGGGAGCAATACATCTAGAGATATGAAACATAGTGGGGAATGAGAAGCAGCGATGAGACCAACCAGGTTCTAAGCCAGAGAACTACCTAGTATATGAGATAGAAGCATAGGTATTGAGGTGCTTAGGCATTTATTGATCTGAGAAGCAAGGAAGAAAATACTACCTTGACTGGTCCAAAGTTTGGTCACAGGCGACGGTGACGGAGATGATTGCAACACTCACAAAGGGCAACATGGAAGGAAGGTGATGGAGCCGCTAAAGAACGACGAAATCACCGACCACACGACAGGCGAAGTCGTCTGACTCCCGAGAACATACGCTCACCAATGACGCAGCTATCGTCTCGCTCTACGTACACAACAAGGCGTTCAATGTTCAACCTAGGCGACTGCTCAAATACTTGTCGAATGTGCTATATTGCATCGTCCTAGGCATACAGAGAGAACCCCTCTTACTTTCTACGTATGAATATATACAGAATGAGAAGGAGGTATTTGACAATCCGTATGAAGTTATGGCAAGGCATAGCATAGCCCTGATATAAAAAGGGGGTTATATAGTAGCTGAGGCCCACTATGATACAACTTGACCAATAAAAATGCGATCAAGTGCGGAGTTCCGTTCCTTCATTTCTTCCCAGTCAGACACATCGGACTCGAGTTGTTAACTTGTTCATCATCTGACTGCTCCTGTATCTCGTTAACTCGATCCGACTCACCGTTGGCCTTGTTAGTGTACGCTAAGACGTCATGGATGAAGTTGGAGCCCGTCATCCTAAGGCATGCATAACCTGTGCCAAGGCCAAAGTACGATGTTTCCCGGAAACCGAAGGTCCTTGTAAACGGTGAGCATATAGTTGATTTTATACTTGATCCATATTAACTTTTCTAAGTTGTCGTCGCTTGAGAAAAGAATGCCAAAAGCAAGCACCCGGCGCCCATCGTCGTGAGAAGAAATCCGTCGCAAGTGGCTCGTAAGTGTTCACTAAGTGTCCACCATTATCAGGCGAAACCGCTGACACTCTAGTAGAGATGTTGCCGCACTTGAGGCTAAATTAGACCGTATGGTCGCCATGCTGGCCGCCTCGGAACGAAATACCAGAGAACGGGTAGAAAGCGGCCCAGAAACGAGATCATCATCTACGGTTGAAGAGAACCCTGCTGCTCCCGATGAAATTGAAGGCCAGCTGTTGATAGAAGTATTCTCCAAGAGAATGTTCCCTCTCTTTCCATTCCTTATGATGCCCCCGGATATCACAGCAGAGGAACTGCGTCGAGAGAAACCATTCCTCTATCTGAATATCTCAATGGTCGCGTGCCAAAACGCGCCACGTCAGCGAGAAATTGTGCATGCAGTCAAAGAATATGTGGCCGAGCACATCGTCATGAGAGGAGAACATAGCCTGGATCTTCTTCAGGGGCTTCTCATCAATGTGGCTTGGTTCGTTTCAGTCAGTCGTTTCCCGCGACCTAGGAACCAACCCCCCGATGTGCTCAAATCGGAAGAGGAGATTCGCCAAGCTATCCGAAGCACTGCCCAGCTTGATACATTCGTGCACTTACTCGTGGCGCAATCCTTCAGTTTGGGCCTAAATCAAGAACTGAATTACCAGAAGAACTTGAACTATGCTCTGAGTTATTTGAAGGAATCTATAAATGATGACTCTCATACTCCGGTTCGGACGTTGGAAGAGCGACGAACCTATCTTGGGTGTTATTATCTGACTACCATGTGTGTATGACCCTTGGTCTTGCTGGCCATAAGCTAATTCTTCAAAGGCTCTCAACATGTGTAAAAGACCTGGGGCCGATTATTCGCTTTACAAGATACACCGACGAATGCTGCAATGTCCTAGACCAGGTCGCAGAGTATCCCACCGATGCTTCTCTCGTACAGCTAGTCCGAGCGATGAAACTGGCAGACAAGATCCATCACACACTATATTACACCGACCTCCATTCTTCATCGGGTTCATCAGCGCCCCCGCCACTTGGTCTAAGCATACGATGGCTTGAAGCCGAACTTAAGCAACTCAAAGCTCGCATGCCGAGTCAGGCACCACACAATGGTAAGTTGTGCTGTTTTCGCGCACAATCTAACAATGATCTGACAACAACGACAGCCATTCTACAGCTTCATTACAACACGCTCGAGCTACATCTTTACCGGGTTGCGCTTATTAACGAACCCAAACCTAACTACGGTGATCATCCTCTCATACAACTGGATCTTCTTTTCCGCTGCGTGGAAGCGACAACCTCCTTTTTGCAAAACATCCTCTCTCTCCCCTCTGCTCTTTTCCCTTTCTTCCCCTTCACCATAATGTGTCAATTTGGCAAGGCAATCGTCACTCTTTCCCAGCTATCTCTATATGACCATCCCGGATGGGACCGCGCATACGTGGAAAGCATAATGGACTTCGACCAGACCGTTGATCGTATAACTGGCAAGCTCGAAGAAGAACTTCCATTCTTCGAACAGGCTCTTGCGCAAGACCCCAAGTCTGCTGAACTGCCGGAGATATTTGGAAGGATGACCAATCGCGCGGTAACGATTAAAAGGATGCATCGGCGGAGAAAAGAAGCCCTGGAACAAACCTCCCTGCCAACAAATGCCGCCCCGATGGACTACAACTTCATGATAGATTGTCCCCTCGATATGCTGTTTCCTTTCGGTGAGATGCCACCGATTTATGGGCAATATAGTTGATTGGGCCTGCAGCGGACCGAACGGAGTCCGTCCCCGAGATTCGGTTATTTCGATCTGCTTGTACATACCTCAATGTAATAATTATCTCCTTCCACTTCCTAACTAAAGATCGCTAGAAGTAAAGAAATCTTGGTAACGTACTACATCTAGTGATTTTTTATTTCAAAAACACGACATGGCTGCATCTCAAACTCAATTACCCCTTACTTCAAGCCATGTTTGCAATACCAGTGACCTCAAGAGACAGACAGGCTCTATCCCGGGTCAGCTAGAATATACAGGTCGAGTCATTCCCACGGACCATCTCCCCGACTTCAAATGTGGAGAGAGTCTCGCCAAGAGGGCGGGTCGTGCAGATCGGCGATGCGGCTCAAACTCTTCTCCTGCCGTGGGACAGTGGTGTGACATGCTATGGACAAGGAATAGGGGGTTGTTCCGCAAGTGGGTATATTTCTGAGTATTTATCTAAATCAAGCCCGTCTCCTCTCTCCAAAAACTAAGTACAAATCCGACTTCCACAAGGTATAAGTACAAAATCAAGTTGAAATTACAGCACCATAACTCCGACCATAGCGGCAAGCACGGCCATGATACCGGCAACATTAGAGGCGGGGATAGTGGCAGCATTGAAAGCGGGCGAGCTGGTCGCCGCAGCAGCAGAAGAGGTAGCGTTACCGGTAGATGAGGCCGACGAGGTGGAAATCTTCAACGAAGAAGCGACCGGGGCGAGAGAAGAAGGAGCAGCCGTGATCATGCTATCAGCAGCTTGAGTGCTGGACGGGGAAGACGAAGAAGAAGAACCAGAATCAGAAGAAGAATCAGACGAAGAAAAAGAAGCGAAAGCGGAAGACGCGGAATACAAGTCCGACACCGACGCCTCAGAAGTCTGCGTGGCAGAAGCGAGCACAACATCAGTGGTCGACGCGGCTGTCGCCGAAGAAGTTGACGCCACGGTGCTTGTAGAGGCAGCCTGTTTGCCATTGGGTCCCCAGCCCGCCAGGTAGTCGGGAGTAAGCGTTGCGGTTCCGCTGTATAGTGGACATCCCGGTTGGTTGGTCTTTGGCGGCGCACGACCACCGCCGCAGTCGAGGAACGAGCAGATCTCGCCGGTGCCAGGGACGTACCAGATGTAACTGGCGTAGTATTGCTCGACTATGACTTCCGACGAGACGCAGCCTTGCAGGTCAGTGCGAGCCGTAGCGAGGCTGGCGAGGCCTAGGAGGAAAGAAAGAGCGAAGGTTTTCATTTTTGGACGGTTGAACGAGCGTGAAAATTTAACGAGTGACAGCTGAGAAGCAGAAGAAAATAAAAGGGGAACGGGGAGAGAACTGGAAAGAAGAGCGATGTCTTAAATAGGCGGGTTTTTAGGCCGCCACCCGAGTCTCGGCCCCTCGAAAATCACAGCCGCAGGGTCTCAGGGTCTCAGGGTCTTTGTTATGATCGACTTCATTTAGTTAATTGATGTATATTTACTGACATGTATTTACGAGGTATGCTTAGAAAAAAAGATCAATTTTTATTCACCTTCACAGAAATACAATGTAGACCCCATTATCTTCAATAAAAAAAGGAAATCCGACTTGGAGCTCGTGGTGTCCAGGGAGATACTCACCCGTGCCCTAACAGAGCTCACAAAGGAGACCGATGCCATTGGACTGGAAGCTGGCCCATTGCCAGTGAAGCCGCGCCGACGTTTTCTGGAGCCCGTGGCACCCAGGGAGAAACTCACCCGGGCCCTAACTAGGCTCAAAGAAAAAGAGACCGACTGTGTGAAGCCGCGCCGACTCTGTCCGACTTGAAGCCCGTGGCGCCCAGGGAGATACTCACCCGGGCCCTGACTGGGTTCAAAAGGAAAGAGGCGGATGCTATTGGGCTTGAAGCTGGCCCACGGCGTGAAGCCGGGCCAACTTTGTCCAAGGGGAGGGGTCGATGCACAAAGAAAAACAACAACAAAAAGCAAGAGATCAAAAAGAAACCGAACCATAAAGGCAGAACACGCAAATGCAAACCATGGCCATGCGCTTGGGAATTAGCATACACCCCCGGAAGGGAGAACAAAGATGAAGAAAAAATGGGGAAGAGATAAAAAGAGATCTAGGTCTTGATCTCGTTGACCAGTTGGAGGAACTCTTGCATTCTTTCAGCCGGAATTCGAACTGTACATTGCGTGAATCCTCCGGTCTGGTTGGGCTCTAGCAACTGAACCCTGTTAGAGTTACTCTTGTAGTCGAACTGTTTCATCAGGGGAGCGTTCAAGATAACATTTCCACTTGGATCGGCACGGGCGACGATGCGTGCACGTCCAGTGACAGGGTGCTTCAGAACGCGAAGGGGACCGGTTCCTTTGGGCTGCCAGGTGCCCGTAAGTTTGAAAATACGGGTGGTCTCTTCGAACATGACGGTTTCCTCCTCCTCGCCGCTGTTGCCCTTTGTCAGATCGAAGATTTCACCAGGTTCACCGTCCTCATCTTCAGTAGCGGTGGAAATCGATTGAGTGGGAGGAGCCGAGGAAGTGGCCGAGGGAGTGGCCATCGCGGGCTGTGAAGAGACATTGGTTGAAGGGGCCGGCGATGGGGCAGTGGACGCCCGTCCAAACATACTGGCGCCCGCAGAAGGAGGGGGAGGCGACGGCTTTGTCTTTTTGGCGAGAGAATTATCCTGGTTGTCACTTTCATCTACAGATGCCTTGCGTTTTGGGGAGGTCGGCTTCAGCCCACCGAAAATGTTCTGCGAGGTCGGCTGGGGTCCGCCGAAAATGTTGTGGGAAGACTTAGTCTTCTTTGGGGGGGAATCATCGTCGTTGTCGCTTTCATCCGCAGACGCCTTGCGTTTCGGCGAGGTCGGCTTCAACTTGCCGAAAATGTTCTGCGAGGCTGGAACCGGCTTTCTGACCGATCCGCTGAATATCGAAGAGCCGACGGAGGAGCTTGGAGGGCCTGCACTCAAGGAAGGAGGCGGAGGTCCAGGCTTGGTCCCAAAGAGTGCAGCATCCGCAGGCGAACGAGTGGCTGTCCCGACGAGAGTTGAGAATTCGGAGGATTGAGGAGATGATCTAGGGAACCGGGGCTGGTATTGTGAGGAAGAGGGGGTACCATTGGTAGTAGAAGCGGTTGAAGGAGCAGTAAAAGGAGGGAACAGAGAGGGAGGGGTTGATGGGGTGGCAGATGTAGCAGGCTCCTCAACGTCCTGTGGAGCAGTGTTATCATCAGCGAACTTGAAACCCACGCCGGGGACATAAACGGAACGCTTATTAGCTGCAGCTTCGAGTTGAGCGCGCTTCTCGCGTTGACGTTCCTCATCTTTACGCTCCCATTCAGCTTCATCCTCCTCATCGGAGTCAAACTCTTCGGCCTTTCTCTTGGCCTTCGCTTCGGCTAGGGTCTTGTCCGACACTGATTTGAACTGCGCCGCAAAATCAGTGCCAGTAGCTCCACTACCGAACTTGGGAATTTTGAAAGCAGGGGCACTAGTTGAAGTGACTGCATCGCCAAACTTAGGGATTTGGAAAGCAGGAGTGGCGTTCGAAGTGGCTGCATCGCCAAACTTGGGAATTTGGAAAGCAGGGGTGGCAGTCGAAGTGGCTGCATCACCAAGCTTGGGAGTCTCGACGGTAGGAGTGGCTACAGGAGTAGCATTGGGGGCGGTAGTCGGAGGAGAGGGCTCAGCCAAAGTGACAGGAGCAACCGAGACAGGAGCCGCGGCTGAGGACGAAGGACCAGCATTGGAGGTGGAAACAGAAGTATTTGCTGGAGCAGGGGTTGGAGCGGAGAACGATTGGGCGAACTTGGAGGAAGTAGTAGACCCACCAGAAGGCTTGGTGGAAGAAGATGAGGGCGTGCCATCAAGAGCAGGAGGTACAAAGGTGGGAGGGGTCGGGTTCCGAGGAGGTGCGTATCCATTTGGCGCATCTTTGACGGCAGCATCTTTGGCGGCGGCACCTTCGTTCCATGTGGCGCGTTGGTGAATGGTGGCACGTTTGGCCGGTTCCCCGGGTTTGATTGATCCAATGGGGACGCCTAGCTCACGGCGAAGTTCAGCGTAAAGAATGAGGATATCGTCGATATTCTCTTTTGTGGGGTCACATTTGACGATCTCACGCTTGAACGACTCGGTCAAGACACCGATATTCCTGAGCAAAGAAGCTCGCGTGCGGAGTTCGTCCCGATTCTTTTCTGGGAAAAGACGTTTGAGTGGCATACTGTCGAAGTCTTCAGTTGACTCAGGATAGTCCAAAGATACAGGATGATCAGTTGGTGGGAAAAGACTGTCAGGGTCTGAAGCAGTGAACGTGTTGGGAACAGTAGAAGTTGTGGAGGAGGGCAGAGAAGAGGTGGAAGAAGAAGGAACAGGTAAAGACGACGAATTTTTGTTGTCATGTGAAAAGTGCGCGAACGACACACGAGGGGTGGCAGTCGTCGCACCTTCCGTTTGGGGTCCGTTCGACACCTTAGGCCCCGGGGTGAATGAGTTGGTCAATGGGCTATTCAGAGCTGCGACCTTATTGTCTTTATTACCCTCAATGTCCTTATTCTGCTTATTGTTGTCAATTGCCGTACTTGCACCAAAGAGAGATGTACTCGGTGCTTGGGCCTTTGCAGCCTGCTCTGCCGGCTTTGGCGAGAATGGATTGCTGAATGCGTTCTGCCCTGGAAGGTTCGCGAATGGGTTGCTAGGTGTTGCCTGGGCTGTCTTTTCTTTTCCAAGCTTCGACGCAGGAGACGCCCCGAAAATTGAGCCGAATTGTGAGGTCTTCGCAGGTATAGGAGTCTGCGCTTCACTTGTCACCTTCGGTGTAAAAACGCTGCTTGCCGCTGATTGTTCTTTTTCAGCCTTTGTAGGCGTTCCAAACATGGAATTGAACGGCTTGCCCTCGGATAGATTTCCAGCCGTACTATCAACAACCGGCTTTGGTGAGAACATATTACCAAATGCGGGTGAAGCAGTCTGTTCTTTCCCGGCTTCCGAGGCTTTCGACACCGCAGGTGTACCAAACATGGACTTGAACGGCTGATCTGCTGCAGGCTTTGCAGCCGCGTTTTCAGCGACCGGCTTTGGGGAGAACAAATTGCCAAATGCTGGTGCAGGCGTTCCAGTCTCCACAGCTTTCGATGTCGTAGGTGTACCGAACAGAGGCTTGAACGGTTGTGCTTCGGTAGTTTTCTCAGTAACCTTCGGTGAGGACAAATTGCCTGATGAACTCGGCACTGGAATGCTCGCAAATGGATTGCTCGCCTTTGGTTCTTCTGCCGCTGGCTTGGGCGCAAATAGATTGCTAGCAGGCCCCGAGGGTTGGGAGCTGGAGGTGGACCCGAAAAGAGTACCAAAGGGCATTGCCGCCTCAGCAGGTTTGGCAGGAGTTTGCTCAGCTGCCGTTATTTTCGGGGCAAACAGGTTAGTACTGCTGGTTGGAGCCTGCCCTGGAATGTTCGCAAATGGATTGTTGAATGTTTGCTGCGGTTTCTCTGCACCGAAAGGCTTCGAAGCGGCGGGCGTTGATCCGAAAAGCGGCTTGAAAGGCTGGGTCTCCGCAGGCTTCTCGGCAGGTTTCTCAGATGTAGCTGTCTTTGGTGCAAATAAATTGCTGGACGCATTCTGCCCTGGAAGGTTCGCAAATGGATTGTTGAATGTTTGCTGCGGTTTCTCTGTACCGAAAGGCTTCGAAGCGGCGGGTGTTGATCCGAAAAGCGGTTTGAAAGGCTGGGTCTCCGCAGGTTTGTCGGCAGGTTTCTCAGGTGCAGCTGGCTTATGTGAAAAGATGGAAGCCCCCTTGGGCTTGTTATCAGGCGAAGTTTGCATGTTCTCATCGGCAGGCGAAGTCATATGTGTTGTAGACTGCCCAAATAGGACGGGCTTTGCTGGAGTGCCTGTGTTCTGCTGCGCTCCGAACCCACCGAACGACGGAGTGGCCTGGTTTCCGGCGTTGAATCCCCCAAAACTGAATCCATTGGTACTTGACTGGGTAGTTCCGCCAAATGATGTGTCAACAGAAAAAGGATTGCTCGACGGTGCAGATCCAAATGAGGTTGGGCCCGAGCCGAAGTTGAAAGACGCCTGACCACCGGTCTGGCCGTTAGTGCCTGATGAGAAGATTCCACCCTGGCCGGGGCCCGAGTTTGTCCCAGGGAAGCTCTGGCTCTGAGTCTGGCCGAATGTGAACCCAGTCTGGGTAGGCGCTGGTGCCGGGGCCGCGGATGCGAAAGGGTTGAACGAAGCCGCATCGGATGCGCCTCCACCGGTTGTGGGAGT